CAGATCACTGAAGTTCATTGCTTGAGTGCTGGCTGTGAGCCTGTTTATATGCTGGGCCCCATCACATGTGGGTGGGCCAAAGGATAGTGTCCTGGATGAAGGATGCATTCAGGGTGATTCCAGTCACTTTTGCAATGTTGCCTAGACAAACCCTACCATAGTGAAGGTATGTTCTACTGATTTTTATCTACAACCGACAACACCAAATTGAAAGAATGAGCAAGGGGAGAACTTTAAAGCTAATTGGTGGACGTTCCTTTCTGCACTTAGTGTCCAAAAACCTTGTGGAACTCTGAAGGAGAGTTTAAAAGCACTTACAGTGTAATCCTATGCATGTTTACGCAGACATGACTTGTACTCAGCTAACTTCCAGGTAAGTGGGCATAGGACTGTAGGGTGTGCTTTTCACCCTGGCTCACTGCAGATAGAACCGTCAACAAACATTGAACTTAGCTCAGCACCTCTTGCAGCTTGGTACCAAGGGCAAGTGTCCAACCTGCCTGTTCCTTGATGTTTCAGAGAACCTGCTTTGGGTTACTGGCTGATAAAGCAGAAGGTTACTTTAAAAGGCAGTGCGTGGGGTGGATGAAAAGGAACAGTTGGAAGAGGCTGTGACTGTGCATATATATAGTTAGCACATTTCACACATCCCAAGTGTAGCAAAGTGAAGGGGTGATCTGGAGCACCGTTTAAAGGAGAAAAATGTCCAAAAGCTCAAATTCTAGCCCGGCTGTTGTCTTGCTAACAGCCCCTTTTGCTAATAGTATAGTTTGTCTTATTGATCATTCAGATTCCATGTCTACTTAGTTCAGGAATAGCGAGGCATTTTTTCGAGAGTTGTGAGTGTAGGCATGCTGCGTCACTGTCTGCATAGATGGACAAATGCCGTTGTCTCAGAACATATGGAGGCTTCTCCTTTCTTTCTAGAGTTAGCTGGCAATAGATCCAGCTCCATCTTCTGCTAGGGTAGATCAGACAAGCATTATGTGGTTCTGCACTGGACAAGCATTGGACATACTTGCCTCTGACTCATGGGGAGATGGTGGTCTCACAGAGTGAGACCATGGTGACCTAATCTGCCCTGCTCCTCCCTGTCTTAACATGACTTATATAGCTAGTGTGCATGAAGCATCAGATTGTTGACAGTTCATCCAACCAGTCCTCACTAGCTCACCTAACTGCACATACATCAAGGGAAAAGATTCACACTTTCTATGGACGCTACTAAGTTGAGTTCTTGTCAGCTGGCTTGCCATGATTATGACTGATGTTCCTCTGGTCTCATTTTCTTTAAACACTCTTTTCTTCCCTGTTTTGCCAATTTTTTTCTTGTAAGCTCACATGTGTGCATTTTGCTATACTTCCTTTGCTACCTTTGTGCCTGTTTGCTTTTCTAAATTAATAGATTTAAAGCTTTTTTTTCTTTCTTGTGTTGAAGACTTTGTGAGAATGGTGTAGGAATGAGGGACAGACTAGAGCAGTGATGGAGAACCTTTTAGAGACCGAGTGCCCAAACGGCAACCCAAAACCCAGTTATTTATCACAAAGTGCCAACACTGCAATAAAACCTGAATACTGAGGTTTTAGTTTAGGAAAAACAACCCATAGCCAGTCCGAGCAAATATATATATATCCTTGGCAGTGCACTGACTGGCCATGCAAAAGCTCGGACGAATTGCAGCTAATGAGTCATGGCTCGTGATGTCATCGCCTGGCACCACTACTTTCCGAGCATGCGCATGGCCCCTATATGTACTGTTATCGAATGCTTGGCTGCTGGGGCGATGCTGGGGCGACTTGGCCTACCTGCTGACAGAGGGGGCTTTGCATGTCCACTGCGGCACATGTGCCATAGGTTCGCCACCACTGGACTAGAGGCTATCCGTGTAATTTCTGTCTGACCACTGAATACCCATAGTATTTACAGCCATACTTAAGTTGTTTCCTTGGGCTGTGTACTAACCACTGAAGTAGCAATGATGAGTTTTGTAGTAGGTACTGTTGTAAATATCACACTTTCTGTTTCACTTTTTTCATAATATTAATACATACATGCAGTTCAGGTAGCTGCGAGAGTTAATGACATCAATGAAGCAACATTATGTTATCTGCATTTTGGGATCATGACAGTAATTAATTCGGTAAATGTAACATGATGCTAAAGATGAGGAAGATGAACTTATTTAGAATTTTTACCTATTTATCATATAGGAAGAATCATCTAAGGCAGGGGATATGCAGAAGGCAGATTTCCAGATGTTTGGGACTTCAGCTCCCAAAAGCCTTTGCAGTGTAACCAATGGTCAGGAATACCAAAAGCTGTCATACAAAACTCCTGGAGATCTACTTTCTGTTCACCCTTGATCTAAGGCATGCAGGAGATAAGCCACTTAAAGCTTTATTGTAGATGTCACTGGGTGCATTGATGAATTTGGAAGTTAATCAAGGCCACAAGCCTGCAGACAGGCAAGCTTTTAAAATGTAACCATTGTTTTGAACTTGGCTGCAGGCAGGTAGTTTGAAAAGAAGCAAAATGAGGATAAATGTGTCCTGAAGTTGTATGTAATTCAGGGAGAAATAGCTTTCAGAGTCAATGGCTCCCCAAGAGGGGCCTCCAATCACCCTTCATTGTAGCAGAGTGGTGAGAGTGCTGAACTGGGACTCCGGAGATTCAGGTTCTAGTCCTCATTCAGCTCTGAAGCTCACTGTGACCTTGGGCCAGTCATGGACTCATGGCCTAAGCTGTCTCGCAAGGCTGTTACGATGATAAAATCAGAGAAGAACCTCATAAGCTGCTTTGAGTTCTTTGCAAGAAGAAGAAAGGTAGGGTATAAATGTAATGTAATACTATCTAGCCTTATGTATTGTAGCCATAGCATATATTAAGAAACATTCAGTATTTGGTCCCTCCTTTGAGATATATGTGTGTGTGTTTAATTATCATGTGTATTTTCTTTTTCTCTTCACCCCAGGAATGATGTCTGTGTCCTTATGCATAATGTGTATGACCTTATACATTCTCCCAGTGGAAACCTGACCCAATAATTTATATGTTCCTACACATTCTCCCTGTGGAGTCTTGACCCAAATAAGTTATATGAATGTTGAAAGCCTTGCCTTTCTAGTACTTTCTACTGAGCACTACTGCAGTTTTCCCCAACCTGGTACCCTCCAGATGTGACTAAGACTTAAAAAAAAAGTATACATAATGGCACACCATACATGGTTGGTTTGATTTTCTAATGATCTGGATATGAATGAGAAATGGGAGGCTTTTTGCATGTTAAGGACACTGTAGACAAGGAGGTACATGTCATTTATAGGGTCCCTTTTGGATTCTGTTTACAGGATAGCATTGTATGTGGTTTGTGTAGCTGGAGGAAGCATCCCCTCTAACTCTGCTGATTCCTATTTCTAGGTTTTGCTTGGAATAGCATAGTAGCATTGCAATACATAAAACAGGCAAAGCTATCACTAAACGATAGCCAAGCATTACTGTCAGTTCTGCGCAACTTAGCCAGCACATTTGTAGAACATCCTTATTAAGTGTTCTTTATATAGAAGATGCAGTCAAGTTTTATAGGTTATGCTGCACAGTGGGAGAATCTTCTAAGTTCGGGTTTGCAGAGACATGCCAATGTTACATAGTAATTACATGGTGGCATGATGCCCGAAACACTACTTTTCAAGACTTAAATGTCAGTGCTGAGTGCACTCAGTAGTGGCATCTAAAATGGGTATTTCTTGTGCATGGACAAAAAATAATCCCCAACAATTTCAGCAGATTGAAGGCTATGCAAGATTGACCTTGTACTTGTTTCTTGGTATGTGTGCTAGTTTGGCCCATACTGCAATTTCCCATGGAACAGCTGCCAGATCTTCCTCAAGGAATAATGATTTCAGGGGACAGCAACAGCTCTGTACTTACAAGGAGATAGTAAATGCAGGTTAACTTCCTTCTACTGGAAGTCTGCTTCAAATTTCAGTCTATAGTTTTGTGGAGAGCACAAGATGTCTTCTAATGCACCAAGAAAAACTTGCAATCAACTTTGAATTTTTATTTCTTTGTTTTTAGAACTTTATGCTTGGAAAAAATAAGTTTAACGTCCTATTTTAAAACTGGATTTTGTCAATGTGCTTTTTTTTGTTGAAAGCAAATGTAAGTTACTAAGGCAAAGTTGTTCCTGACTGGTGTGTTTAATTTCCTCCATAAGTTGAAAAATCGGACTGTTCTTGGTACCTCTTTTTCCCCCTTTTATACAAACGATTTCTAAATTGTGGACAAGTTGGCACAAATGTGAATTGAAATAGTTTAGTAGGGACTGGAATGCTGTCAAATAGGACAGGAAAACAGAATATGACTGGTATCCACATAAACTTATACCAGAATAAGTTGTTTAGGTTTTAAAGTGCCACAAGTTGTATAGGGATCTGAGAAGCTGTGCTGTGCATTGAAGTTGTACTGAGTGTAACATTCTTCCTGTCAAATTTCTCATTTGATTTTGGGGTCTTCAGCAGGTGTTCCTTATTTTGTCTATGTGAGAGCTAGCAGAACTTTTGAGAGAGAGAGAGGGAGATGACAGGAGACTAATTTGTAGGCTTAACATGCAGGGCTGTGATGAGTTGACTGGGAATAAAACAACTCCTGTGACTGTGGGCTTCCTCTGCTGTGCAGTCTTTTCTATTAGTAAAACTACTCCATTGCCTTCTTTTGTGTCTCATCCAAAACTTGGTAGAAGAATTATTTTGGTGAACTGACTAGAATTCAAATATTCCAGGTTTGTGGAATACTCTGATCTGTACTCAGTGTACCAGCAGATGCAATAATGAGTGTTCCGTCACTAGATAGTTTCTGGCGATCGCTATCCTATGTGTGTACGAAAATGGGAATCTTCACATAAATTGCATTTGTATGATAGACAGTATAACATAGCATGCTATCCATGCTGTTTCACTGAATTCTTTCCTGTTTTGCTTTGTTAAAGGGGGTTTTCTAGAAAATGACCATAGAGGATCTTCCTGACCCTTCCACAGAAGGAGATTCATTGACTAGAAGATACCAATATTTCATCCCAGGCGCCGAAGATTCAGTAACCTATTCAGTTTCTGCAGCACCAATGCCTTCTGAATGTGGTATGGATATTTGTAGAAAGGGAGATCAGCTTTCAAAATGAGTCAGGGAAGATGCATGCACCTCAAAAGGGCATCCTTAACTCAAATTAAAGCATAGTTTGAAAATGCTACACCTGACTTCTTTACCTGAAATGTTTCAAATTATTCTATGCTAAATGCTGTAGAATCTAATCAATTTTAGGGCCTTCCTAGGTACTTACTTTGAGTAAAGCAAAACATTTAAATATATGTCTCTAAGTTGGCTGAGTACTAAAATAGCAGTGTTTTGGTGTGAGGCTAATGAAGCTGGCCTTCAGCATGAAGTGCTGTATATAATTTTTTGTAGATGTCACGGGAACCTTTTGCCCATGGCACGATAGGTGTTCGAAATCAGATATGATACGGTGCATAGAGGGCTGGACTCAGAAACGAGGTGCTCTCTATGCAGCAACGTAAGTTGTGGGTGATGTTACCCACTCAGCATGAGTCCTGTTATTAAAGAATATGGTCAGATCATATTGAAAGCTGCATATGTTCCAACATGTGAACAATGGAGCACTCTTGCTCCCACATTTGTGTATCTCCACCTCCACCCACATTTTACTGTATTGCTTTATTTTGCACTTTGGGCTTAAATAAGCAAAAGTTAATGTAATTTCAAGGATCTGTTCATGTCAGTTGATGCCGGTTTTCTGGAATAGTTGCATTAAAATTTATTTATATAGGGTAATTTGCACTGAAAACTTCTAAGCTGGCATCAGAAAAATTTCAGATGACCTATTCAACCTAATTTAGCATGTTTATTTCACTTGCACCCAAACAGCAAACTAAAAAGGAGTACCCAGTGTTATTTTTTAATCCAAATTTGATATAAATATTTGATGTGAGATGGAGGGAAAAATTAAAATGCACTCAGTTTTATTTAAATGTTACAACATGGAGTATTTTTGTTGGAATACTTGTAAAAAAGAACCCAAAAGACAATCACTTCTTACATTGTGCTCCCCTTACATTGTTTAGATTTAAGAAAAACACAATGATACAGTAAAATGTTGACACAAAATTACCCTGTAACAATCCAAAGAATTTTGCGTGTTATACTGACAACCTTCAACTTTCCAGACTTTCCTAATATTGTATTTGCAATTAGCATTCATTCTTTCTTGGTATTTAATCTATTAAATGGAAAATGTCTGTGGGAAAATAAAGCAGTGATTTTTTTTCATCTTATATTACTCTAGATATCATTTAAAAGTAAAGCAGGTGTGATACATTTATTATGCAGGACTGAATCTAGCATGAGCATTTTCTCTTCAACAAAACCAAATTTTGTCCACTGCAACTTGTGAAAGGGTAGGTTGTACATGATTAATGCACACGTGTTCACTGGTGTCAGTATATGTCTGTCCCCTGCTCAAATACTTAATTTATAGAGACTGTGGGAAGGGGGCTGAATCCATTGGGCTGGCAACTATAATTTGTATTTATGTGTACATAGGAACTCAAAAAAAATACAAAAAACTAATCCCCATACCAAAAATAGGATAGTGAATTGTCAGAGATGAATAACAAGATAATCAGGACTGTTGCAGGAAGTTAAAGATAGTGGGAGTATGTGACAGGGTATCATTGGAGTGACATCTTGTGAAATTACGGCATTCTGAACCAGAACTGCATCGCTCCTCTCTTTAGAGGATTTCCTCAGATGTGGTCGAAATTGTTGCCATTGCACGGGAAGCTAATTTGTATGGCGCAGCTATTGCTCGAAGCCGTGTCTGAGCAATCACTGCTTTGTATGACTGTAGTGTTAGGACCTGAGAATGCAAACCCGGTGCATGTCCAGCAGAACAAAGCACTCCAGCATAGGCATTAACTGGGAATGCTTGACATGAGAACCCACCATGGGCAGGCAGCAATGGTTGGTTGTTACACCATCTGAACCTGGAGGATTGTCACCCAGGAGAACAATTTTATCATTGGTTGCTGGGAGTGGTTTCAGACCTGCTTGACAGGAGAGGCAAGAAAGGCAGTGTCACAGCCTCGCCAGGCAGCCTGGAGCCTCTCTTAGCAGCTCTGCCCTCCATCAATGCCCAAGCAGCCCTTTGGAGGGACTGTCACTTGTTTGCCACTTTAAAAACAAGTGTGATGTTTAGGGAGGATGCAGATGTGCTCATAACATTAAAATCGATTTTCCTCCCATTCTTTAGTAAGTATGCAAGAGTACATGTTTTAGCTAGTGTGTACTCTTGCCTGGTTATCTTCTTGAACATTTCTGCTGTCAAATTGGGAGCATTAAAGTGGAGTAGGCAGCGCAGAAGAAAATCAACAAGATGAGTGTGCATAGGCTAATTTGTGCACCATTTTGAAGGCGCTGGCGGGCACGAGGGATAATAGCAGGGGAAAAAGGGCAAACAGAGTAAGTGCATCAAGAAGTGTTGTGTGGCAGGATCATCTTTCCTCCTCAGCGATGTGATCCACTCTATTTTAAGTGGTTAACAGGACTTTGGTGTCCTACTCTCTTTTCATACTTCCCTGAGTCTTTGGCTAATCCAAATTAGGAGTTTTTGGGAGCAGTTATTGCAGCAGTAACTGCACTTGGGCAGATGTGTGCAATTCTCCCTGAAACAATCCAGGTGGCTGCATGGAGTCGAGTGTGGGGGCCCCATTTGCTCTTTCTCACACATTACAGTTTTCTTAACTATTGGAAGCAGTTACAAAAATTTAAAGACTGGGAAGTAAATGGAATGGTGGTGGAAATCATTTGAATGTAATGGGAAATGAATGGGAGATGCATAGAGGGGAAACTTGTGCACTTGCAGTGGCAGCTCTGAAAAGATGCTGTGAAGGGTGAGGAAGCCAATGTCTGGATTTATTGGAAATGTTGAATGGGAAGGGAACACTGACAAATGTCAGCTCATCACTTAAAGTGAAAAAACTACATCAGGGAGGCAGATACATCCCTCCACTTTGAAGCACTTGTCCCCCCTTTTTTTTTTCATTTTCTGAATTATGCTACCAGGTCCTTCCTTTCTTCTAGTTTGCTTTTCTCCTCTATTCATTCTCCACTGTGAGTAAGTTATCATGTATGAACCCAATACCTTGCTAATTTCCATGTTGCCTACTCCTGCTCCATGGTGACACCTGCACCTTCCAAGCGTAGTGACCAGGGAAGGCAATACAGATTGGACAGGGACAAGCATGCTCTTCTGCACCTGTGGAGGAACAAAGGGAAATAGAATAAATTATGAACACACCATTCAGAAGCAACATTTTTAAAAATAAGATGGAAAATGAAAGGGAGGAGTGATCAGAGTGGGGAGGTAGCCTGGCATATGTGTTTGGACTGGCTTAAGGACTGAAGGACAGGGAGAAGAATCTACAGCAAAGCCATTCATCTATTGGAAGGACTGTGGTTGTTCATCCAGCAACCAACCATGAGTGATTCATTAGGGAGAAAGCTATGAATGGCTATGTGCCCCGATGGCCATATAATACCCCCAGTATCAGAGGAGGCTTGGCTGTGTACACCAGTTGTTGAGGAACATGGTGCAGTCACGCCCTGTGTGTGGTTCCTGTGGGCAGCTGATTGGCCTCTGTATGAACAGAATCCTGGACCAGATGGATCCTTTGTGTGAACCAGGATGGCTCTTCTTAATTCAAAGCCCACTGTAATATACTTGCAGGGTGGCTCAGCATAACAAACTATTCTGCCCACCCCGCTAATCTGTATATAGGGTTGAGCCGGAACCTAGGCAGCCAACGGGCTGCTTACTATCCATACTAAATGAAGCAGCATTAGGATCCAGAGCGCATGAAAATGCACACACTCTCCTGTAGTGTGTTATGGACAGAATAGCCTTGAACACTAAATGATTTTTGGGCAAGAGGCAACTAGTGAGCAGAGTTTAGAACAAGGTGCATTGTCATGTGTTTCATCTGCATGAATTAATTGTGGACCTTGGTCGGAAATGATTACAGCTGGTTCCATTCAAGTATTTTATCCCATTGTACCTACCCAATGTTCAAATCTCTCTATTCTGCCTTGGGTGGTCCCGGTGGTGACAATGAGCTCTTAGATCCATCAGTGCCTTCCATGAGGGGGGTTGATTTCCCCCTCCCCTTTGCATATCCCTGCATGCCCCCAGTGGAAGGGGGGGGGGTCTGCCAAAGAAAAGCACCTCCTCGCCTTTCTGCTCACAGAAGTGGATACCTCTCAGTGTGTGTGCATGTGCGCCTGCACCTGAATAGGATATCTGCAAGCTGGGTCTGTTTGTTTTCATTTTAATCCTTTCCCAAAATACAGCCCCTGTGATAGCCTCAGGAAAAGTAGAAGTTCAGTGACCTTTAGTTCCCATCCCTTGGCTAAGAGAAGCATTTAGTTTCCATTCCTTCCAAAAATAACCATCATATTCTTCGCTTCCCTCCTCCTACCAGTTTATTTCTCTCTTTTTTTCAAGACTGGTAGTGATTCTCATAATGGGAAGGTTGCCATCTCCACTTTCCCACTGTGCAACCATCCTGACAGATTTTTCCCCTTTACTGTGTGCATTGTTTTGTTGCTACAGTGACAACAGCACACAGCATCCCAACCCCTTCATTACACATAATATCTCTTCCCACATTGCAAGTTATACGTGTGGGTGTACATTTGACAGTGCACGGCCAGATGTGCATCACATGTTTGCATGCTGCGGAAAGACCCAGCCTTGTCCCTTTTGCATCCTTTTGGCCAGGAAGACCTCATCTTGAGCCAAGATGCACGCAGTGGCAGTTTAGCTATCTCTGCAGTAGCTTGTTAAGATTAATCCCTGCTTGAGTACTCCAATTAGGAAGGTGCATTCAATCCATACTGGGAATGGTTGTTTGCTACCTGCAGTTTTGGGAATTTTCAGCGTTGGCAGTGGGATCTAGCTCTATTGATACCTGTTCCTTCTTTCATCTTAGACTGAAGCCTCCTACAACTTTCCTTTTCCTTGCCCAGTCTACATGGATTATGACGACGCTGCATGATACCAGCAGCTATATTATGATTTATGCCTCAACAGTTATACAGCTCCAAATCATAAAGCTATGTGAAAGCAGAGATGGTCCATATCATATGGGCAACTCTGCTGCCAAAAAGTTGCTCTCAGACTCATCAGGCATTTACCCTGAAACTTCTTGTGATTTCACTAGCCTTGAATCACATTGCATTCCCGCTCTTGAAATCGTTGCATATGCTGATTCAAATAGTTATTTGATGGCAGTCTATGTCTAGACTAGCCATGCTTAGGAGTAGGTTTTACTGCATTCAGTGGAACTTGCTCCCCAATAAGAGTCCATAAGGTTGCAGCTGGAACCTTATTCAGGTTCAGCACAAATAAATTTAGTTATCTCTTCTCCATTGGCCAACTTTATTATAATCTAGCAGTAAACTCCTGGTTCCTGAGCATGTCCGAATTAAAAGCAACGAAGGGCGCAAGCCTGCACACGTTTAGGCAGAAAAGGTCCAGCAGCTGGTTGGGAGTTGTAGGACTTTTTCTGTCTAAACATGCTTAGGTTTGCAGCCAGACCTGCTGAACATGCTGCCAAGGTGTTGATCCACCTAGATATTTATTCCACAAGAAGATTGTTGAGTAACTTTACCTGATATTCAAATCTAAATAGATGGAACAGTTGGAAGAACTGTGGGAAGCCAGAGGAACATCAAACACAAGCTAATAAACCAGGCATAGTCAAGCACACCAATGAAGAATAGCAAATGGAAAGTTCCCCTGGTTCAGCTATATATTGTACTAGTATGCATGTCTAGCTGAAATAAATGCATGCTCCCAGACAGCTTCTGACTTTAAAAATGCAGCAGTAAATCAGTTGGTGACAAAGTGAAATGTTAATGCAAGTGATTCAGCCATGGAGAATCATAACATACATAATTTGAAAGTGATGACTAGAGTTGGAGCAAGTTTTTCTGGACTCATCACTCAGCATTTCTACAGTAATTAAGAACTTGCTCACAATCTAGTCATCACTTCAAATTATGTACATTATGCTTGCTCCGCAATTCAATAGTTCATTTGCTTTCAAGTTAATGTTTGTAATGGCCACTCTTCTCTGTTTATGCTCATTCTAAAATGTCTAGAAGTCTCCAGTGCAGGGCCCCATGAAAGACTTGGTCCATTCCAGGCCACATTCAAGGAGACTTCTTAATTGGGAGGATTATAATGGGAGAAGATCTTTAATTGTGCCAGTGAAAAAATGGTACAAGGATTGTGTCAGCCAGCTAGCACCTATTCTGCTGAACCCTCTGCAATGCGCAAGAATTCCTCAATAGAAAAGATAAAGAGACTTACCTGAAAACAGAGGAGTGGATCTCAAACTTTTTCACAGTTAAGCATGTCTTGTTTGAGTGTCAGTTCTTTAAAAACTGCTTTCTAAGTTCACCAGATCTGCAGCGTCCTTCATTTGCTGGCAAAAGGCATTGATCAGCACACAGCTGATGCATTTAAAAATGCCTGACTTGTTCTTCTCTTCAAACACAGATTGCAGCTGTATAAATTGCACATTCCTAGATGGTGCTGAATCCAGTAGGTAGGTAACTGGGTGCCTCCAGATGTTTTGGACTACAACTCCCATAGTCCCTTACCAGTGCCATGCTGACCTGGGTTGATGAGACTTGTAGTCCAAAATATCTGGAGAACATCGGACTGCATACCCCTGCATGAAGGGGATAGATTTCCTTTTCCAGATGGTACACAATCCTTAAGATGTCAAAGATGGAATTACCATGAAGCCAGAAGGCAGTGTCATGGCCAGACTTCAAAAAAATTGTTCCAGTTTGCAAAGTGAATGGGTCTTAATTCCCCACTCAAGGCCAAGCCACTCCAAAATACTTTGCATGACAATGTTGTTGGTGTTGCTAGTCTAGAAGTCACCTCACCATCCCATGGACAACATTCCTCCAGGCCTTCCTGTCCTCCACTGTCCCCCGGAGTCCACCTAAGCTCAGGCTGACTGCTTCAGTGACTCCATCCAGCCACCTCATTCTCTGCCGTCCCCTTCTTTTGCCATCTATTGTTCCCAGCATCAGGCTCTTCTCCAGTGAGTCCTTCCTTCTCTTTAGGCGGCCAAAGTATTTGAGTTTCATCTTCAGTATCTGGCCTTCTAAAGAGCAGTCAGGGTTGATCTCTTCTAGGACTGACCGGTTTGATCGCCTTGCGGTCCAAGGGACTCGCAGGAATCTCCTCCAGCACCACAATTCAAAGTCCTCAATTCTTTGGCGTTCAGCCTTCCTTATGGTCCAACTTTCACAGCCATACATTGCAACTGGGAAAACCATAGCCCTGACTATATGCACTTTTACATTACAATAAGGAACAATATATTCTTGCTGGGAAGATATAGTCCACCCACCTGGCAACCGTGGGGAGTGCAGCTCAACGCAACAGCATTCCTAATAATAAAACGTGCTGGTGCTGCATCTCTGCAAGTCCCAACTCCACAGAGATTTTGGTTTCCCATCTTCTTCAGCCAGGATAGTTAATTGCCATGACGTTGACCCCTTTTGCAAAACTGCCATAAGCTGGGGGAATCTGCAGAGTCTTTCTCTGGGTCTTCTCTTTCATGCTAATGTGTGCTGTTCTGCTCGATGCTGAGAAGGCAATTATTAATGCTAATCCATTTAATTAGAAAAAAATCTTCCTTGAATTGCCAGGGATGAGGGTGGTTAGCATTCGGACTGTAACTATTAATACCCATTCTGATGCTTGACCTAACAGTGCAGTCACTAAAATATGTTTAGTTGTGCCACAAATAAAACTAGCTCCAACTGTATAGGGCTCTTAATGTCAATAAATTGATCTGTTTATCCACTCCAACAGCTGCATACATCAATAGGTTTTTATTAAAACCACATCCTTAAATTTCCCTAACTGACAATAAATGCAGTTAACTAAGATGTAGGAAACTACGGCTGTATATTCTCTACGTAAGCTCTGTAAATTCTGAATAGCCAGCAAAATGCTGAACATAGCTGTAAGACAACTTAATTAACCTACTCAGGTTTCTGATGAGAAGCTTTAGAATGCTAATAAGTATTGGTTGCATAAGTGAATTTGAGTGTGTGTGTGTGTGTGTGTGTGTGAGTGAGAGAGAGAGAGAGATTGAGAGAGATTGAGATTGATTGACCCCCCCCCCCCAAAGCCTGTTTTTAGAAATTAAATCTGTTTTGTTTTTTTAAATTCCCATAGAGTTCTCCTTTTTTGATCCCAATGATGCAGCATGCCAGGAAATACTTTTCAACCCTAAAACGTCTGTGTCAGAACTATTTGCTATCTTAAGACAGTGGGTCCCCCAAGTTCAACAGAACATTGATATTATTGGGAATGAGGTAAGAAATATATTGAGGTTTTTTGCCTATGTATAATAGCATTCTGTTTTTAATTCTATGTTCAGTCTTGATGTATTTAACTACCAGTTCTGCTTGTATTTGAGAGCTAATAGAGTCGAAAGTGTTACCACCTTTGCTTCCTTATAGGCTAGAAATTTAAATCTTGTTCAAATAAAAGAGCAGATTGTTGGAATTCTAGTAAAAGCTGGTGAACGCCATAAAACGTGCATAGGGGACTACCTACCATTTTAAGCTTACATGTACCTGGCAGTTTAAAAGAAAATGTTAGTGTTGGAGAAATAAAGAAACAGAATTGGTGGAGTGTACAATGATAATGGCACTCTCTTTCCATTGGCATGAAGTATGTAAGAAAATTGCTGTGGTAATAAACTAAAATGAAAGTCGTTGCTAGGCATCGCTATGAAACCAATCACTTTTTATATGCCTGAAAGTAAGTAAGACTTGTTAAATAACAGCATCAGACTCCTACACAGTCTTGTTCTGTCATTTCTGCAGATCATCAAGAGAGGCTGCAATGTGAATGACAGAGATGGCTTGACTGACATGACTCTTCTGCACTATACGTGCAAATCAGGTGCTCATGGAATTGGTAAGTCCAGAAATCGGAGTTTTTCAGCAGTTCTTGTCTTTATGGCAGCAGGTATGGTTTTCTTCCATGTCTTCCCCTTCGTTGTTCTGCCCCAAACTCCAGATATTTGGGTGAAGGTTCTCCATGCACAAAAGAGCTGCCATTACTGCTTCTAGGGACTAATTTTGAATTGAATCCAGAATCTGTCTTTCATTGACTGAAGGAGTCCACTTGTAGAAGATGTCTTTGCCTCATTCAGTAGAGTCCTCCAACCTTCTTGTAGCATTTTCAGGGGGCTGGACAGGTTGCCATGGGGAGGTGGAGCAGGGACATCTGCCCGTATCAGCCCAATTTCATAGAAACATAGAATAGTAGAGTTGGAAGGGGCCAAGAAAGCCATCAGGCCCAACCCATTGTGGTTGCAGGTCACCATGTCCCCCCTCAGCCTCAAGGTTGAACGTACCCAGTTCTCTTAGTCTCTAAGAGTGTTTCCAAACCCTGGATCATCTTTGTTGCCCTCCTCTGCACCTTTCTAATTTTTCTGCATCTTTCTTAAATCTTGGTGCCCAGAACTGGACACGGTATTCCAGGTGAGGTCTGATAGTGAAGCATATAGGGGAATGATTACTACTTATGATTTGGAAGCAATACTTCTGTCAATGCATCCCAAAAAAGCATTTGCCCTTTTTGCATCACACCATTGGCTCATATTTAGCCTGTTATCCACAATAACTCCAAGGTTTTTTCCTTTTCAGTTCGGTTGAGCTACATGTTTTACATCTGCTATTGATGTATTTGGTTTCTTTTTCCTAGTGGAGGACTTGGCATTTGTCCCCATGGAATCTCATTTCAGCCCAGCATTTATGTGTATTGCCCTGGATCTTTGTTCTGTCTTCTAGACTGTATGCTCTTCCATCCAGTTTTGTATCTTCTGCAGATTTGAATATCGTTCCTTGTCCTTCTTCATCTAAACCATTAATAACTCTAAACCTAAACCATTAATGATGATGTTGAACAGCACTGATTCACACCACTGAATCTGGATCCATCCCATTATTTATATTGAATTTGTAAGTTGCTTCCTACCTACAAAAGTGCCATCAAAGTGACACGCAAGAATATAATAATGGAAATAATCAACATAATAGCAGTAGAGAGAGTATGAAGAGAAGCAGCAGTAGCTTAAAAATGAACCCAGTCAAAGGAACTGGGATGGATAACCATTTTCAAAGGCTCATCAAGACAGGATTTTTTCCCAGTTGGTAAAAGGTTATTAAAGAATATGTCTGCTTTGTTTCTGTGTCTGCTAATGCTTCATCTCGAAGTCTGCTCTGCCCTTCATTAAAGTTAGAGCCAGAAATCTTGTGTATGCTTACTTCACTGTAGTCTTATTGCCATGGAACTCAGTTTTGTGATTGTGGTCTTTTCTAACCAAGTCTTTTAAAGCACCTGTCTGGAAGACTGAAACCATCAGATTTCTACTTTCAAGTTTCTGCCTATTTTATCACTGTCTGTTTTGTAGCCTCTTACATGGTGGGTTTTTGTTTTTGTTTTGGGACAAGCATCTTTCTCTAGCTTTTTTCCCTTCATCTTTCTTAAAATAGTATGAACCCAGATTAGCCTGTATTAATTAAAAGAAAAACTGACATACTATCATTTTAAAATCATGAGAAATAAGACCCTGTGGCAGAACATAACACAGATAGATGCTTTCTAAAGTCTTTTGATACTTAAAAAGGAAAGCTTTACATTCCAGGATAGGGTGGACAACTTGTGTCTGCCGTCATGTTTTGGATTACAACTCTCATTATCTAACCATTGGCTATAGCTCACTATAGGAGTTGTCCTTCAGATCCTTTGGCCTACAAATCCCCACTCCGCATTCTAGCATTTGTGGGGTTTTTTTTACGTATAAGAGCAGTGATTTATGTATAACAGTGAGACCCAGGGTACAGATTGGTATTGTTACTGAAACAGTGGTGGTTCTGGAATGGTGTAACTAATGGACAGAATGGTGTAAGTTGTGAGCAATCCATTCCTCACCACTGCTTTTGTAAGAGGTACAAAGGATCTTGCAGCTCTGAAAGTTAGAGCTTAATTTAGCTTAATGCATTTAGGCTGATTGACATTTGTGAAAGTTTGCATTTCTCTGTAGAAACTAATGCAAAATCCACACAGCTTTGTGTGTGTGTTGGAATCACATGCAGAGTATTGTAAAATTTATCTGCACTGGAGCTTTTCCATGGCATTCAAGGCAATAGCTGGCTGACTAGTTTCTTGTGAAGAAGCTTTCTAGGAATGCCTTGGCTTTGTCTTCATTGCTGTAAAGGTGCCAACACTCTTTTTTCATGGTACTTGCTTATCTAACATGTTGTGGTAGCCTGTGAAATGCTCACAGAACCAGAGATAAAATGCCTTTACAAATTTGCTTTACAGGGGATGTGGAGACTGCAGCCAAATTTGCTTCCCAACTTATTGACTTGGGTGCGGATATCAGTTTGAGGAGTCGTTGGACAAATATGAATGCTTTGCACTATGCTGCCTACTTTGATGTTCCTGAGCTTATTACTGTAATTTTGAAAAATGCAAAGCCAAAAGGTAAATCTTGCTAAATGTAAAACAACTGTGGTTTGTACTGAATGCCTTAATGTTTATTTTTTCCATACTCCTAATGGAGATTAGGGGTGGAAAGATGGCAAAATCAGCACATTTAATTTACCTGTGTATCCAGATAGATACATACCATCACTATTTTCTCCTGAACATGTTCAATTGTGTATCTTTATACCATTAAAGTGGCATATTTTATTTTTTAAAATATGTAGATCTTACACTGTGGATCTAGAAAGCAATAACAGAAGCATTTTTTGTTCTAACTAGTGCACTGAAGTTCATAATTGCCTGTAATCTAGACATTCATAACCCGTTTTTGAATGTATTCTCATATTCTGTTTTTCTAATTCAGTTTTACCAACATGTCAAGTCAGTTACAACCATGTACTTGCTTATGACAGTTTTAAAACATCCAGCAACTGGATAGTGTACAAATAAACTAAAAACAGAATGTGCAAGAAAATAATAACTGCAATAAACAGCGCAAGATAAAGCTTGCAGTGATGAAAACAAAGCATTCTGACCAAAATTCCTACTTACAAATACATATTTTTGCATATCAGTTGATAGGATGCTATATTAAAGTGCTTGTATTTACCTTTTCAGATTACAAACTTTAGCATGTGATCTTCATGAATGCTAGCATTTTCAGCTTTAATTGGCCTAATGCAATGAACTCATCTGTTAGAGGCTATTGTTAATTATGTTTTATTTGGACAAAAAATAAGTACAAGTTTTCTGAAGTCTGTGTTAACTGCTAATGGGATGCATGGAAAGTTCTGAGAGGAGAAATGAAGTACATATTTGGGGTTGGCCTCCTCCCAGAATGCTGGTTACATAATGTAAGAGCAAACTTGCTTTAGTTGCTGGTTTCCTGACTTTTTGATCCCTTTTATAGGAAAGGCACTAGAATTGGAAAATATAGCTAATGCGTTTAGTAGGAAATGTAGCACTTCTCTGTGCTGGTTTTTTCTTACCCTTAAGAGCAGGTGCTATTTGCTTGAAAGTGGATTCTTTGGAGAGGATTTCAAGCTGGAACTACATGTTATGCACACCAGGAGGAGCTACTGAAGATGGCAACCTTGTGCTGAGTGCTTTTCCTTTTCTGGATAACATGTAGCACTGCTTACTCTCTTTTCAAGATTTTTTCATGAGCATTTTCCTTTCCATCTTCCACATTGCTGGCTCTTACTAGCAGGAAAATGTACAGCACAATGGCATCTCATAGCAGAAGAGAGAGGAAAATCTTCACACTTGTCTTTGGTGTTGCAGCCTCATATTGCACACAGTGGCCATGTTGAGATGTGGTAATAAAGCAGAATTCCAGAGGATCTTGGCTTACTGTGAATGAACTGAGTGTTGGTACATGCAGTCTGTTTGTCCCCTCTTGTGTGCTCATGCCTGCTGGAATGGCCAAAGTAACCTGAAACCAAAAGGTTGATATTCCTGGCTCATTGTGCCTCTTGTGAGTCAGGATTGCAAACTAGGGTTCTTGGTTTATGATCCTGGCTCATTGAGAGCAGCAGGTCCGAAGTTCCCATTCAAAGAAACATAGCGAGCCAGAAGCAGCCTCCTGGGCCATCCAGTCTGACCTCAGCACAAGCCAGCTCTGCTTATACGATGTTCAGCAAGTGGGTGTGCAATCTTTCTTTGAACACCTTCCCTGATGGGGTCTCCACCACCTCCCGTGGAAGCCCTGGTAGGAGGGGCCAAGCGGGTATGAATGGGAGCTCATCTTAATCCAGGATTCTCTAGAAGTGTATGCAAACCATGTTTACTTATCAGTGAACATGCCTCTTCTTTGGAAATGGTGTCCTCTGATTTGGGAGACATGAGTTAGAATGAATGCTGCTGCTCTACCTTTGTGCCCACACTTGAAAACACTTCATGTTTTAAGAAAGGTGCCCTGTCCAACATCCTATTTTAAGTTATTTGCATGTTTATCTATTATATTACTGTGTCATCGATTGCTAAAACTCAAGACTATTAACACGATGACATAGTAAAACATGATAACATCCCCTACCCATGTTTAAATCAGTAAAACATTTCACAACCAAAGTAAAAAAAAACAGGAATTTTAACACCCACGACTGATGATGTGGTTTAGTTCTTAAGTTTTCCAAGCCTGGCTGTACAGGCAAATGATTGCATTGAGAGGGTCATCTAGAGACCATTGTAAGCAAGCAGGTAATGAGCCCTCGCAGTAGGGAAGTCTCTCTTATCCTGCTGCACTAACATGTTAACAGTCAGATTTCTTAATATTTCTTGATTTTAATACAGTTTAGTCCTACTTTATCTCCAGATGGATCAGTCAGAAAAGTGCCTGACAGTTGCCCATCTCCCTCTCACATCTCCCCTTGTAACCTCACAATAATGTTGTCAGAGTAAGAAATCCAACTGGTCTGTGGCAGACTGTGTAGGGATTGGAATCTGGAGCTCCCATTTCTAGCCAGCTACTTACTGTGCTGAAGAATTAGCCTTGGGTCTCCAATATACCACTTTCAGTAGTCTTTCCATACAGGGTCCCAGGGAGAATTCTCTCTCCATAGTGTTCTTGATTTAGGGACGACTTCTCGGCTTGCAGTGCCTAGTGGCTTATGTTGTGAACCTCTTGCAGCTCGGTTCTCCAGTTTGGGGGCTGGGGTTGTGAAGATGCTTTCCCTGCCACTTCTTCTCACCAGTATCCACATGGCCACTATAGCCTCTTTTACCCCTCCAGAAATAGTTGCACTGGGCTCGAAGAGGCTGACAGTGTTAATCAACCATCTACAGACAGTTACACAGTTCAGGAGCACTTCCCATAAGTCTTGGGTGCTGGACAGCCACCTTGCAGCACTTTTGTTTTGCTATTTGGTAAACCGAATCGGTGTGCTAGAGTTTCTTTTTGCATTTAGAGACCGTTGCTGCAATGAGGACAACAAGCTGAAAAAGCGGTCAGCCATCACTTTGGCTCACGTCGGCAGACAGAAATCCTGCTGTTACACGTAATTCCCAGCCAGCAGTAGCCTGCTGTGCTCTCTCTGGCACCGACCAGATTTGCCTGCACATTCTTGGGTGCACATGCCCCCTGTATGCCTGCTTCAGGAACGGAAGGGTTTTATGTAGCACTGAAAGAGAAATGTGCCTGATTGAATCCCGGAAGACTGAAACTCTCAACTAAGGAAAAGGAAATCTGGAAGAAGTTGCAACAGCCTGTTTGATTTTAGCTCATGGTGTGCATTTTAATACTTCCAGGGGTTTTATCTACAAACAGATTGTAGTTAAGTTTGTGACTCAACATGTCTCTCTGTTAATTAATCCGCTACAGTGCAGTTGTCAAGACTGAAACTGCTCTTGCCCTGAAAGTTAAGATGCTGACAGGGTTGGGGTTCTTACAGAAAGGGGTTTGTGCATGTCAGCCCCACTGGGTCATTGTGCCTACCAAATTATCAGGGATGCTGTGGATTTCCAGAACAGCTGTTCCCTCCACCACATATACACACAACACTTTCTTGCAGGTCCTGAATGTAGCATCTGACATTTAGGTATGTTGATCCTTGGGTTGTTTCACCATATGTCCAAGACTTGTCCTTTCAGTGTAGACTAACATTTTACTTTTCAGAGGCATATGGAAGTTGGCAAGGGCTGAATACAAAATTAACTCCTTGGCCATAGTGGAAGATTGGGACTTCAGTATGGAACAAAGCAATCCTACAGCCGTTGCCATGTGTCCAGGTTGAGCCCACACACTGTTATCTCACATTTCAGCCTGCTTTCTGGATCAGTCAAACTGGTGTTAAAAATGATCTGGAAAGGATTGAGCTATGCTTTAAAAAAAAAAAAAAAGGCAAAACAAAACAATGTTGTTTGGTTTTCAAAGCAGTAATTCTACATATTGCATAACAAATTAGCTTGTCTTGCTATACAAACTTGGTAGGTTGGAACAAGTGACTGAGTGGTAGTTATAAGCTACTGGGTTATATTAATAAGATCCTAAGGCATTGTTTGAAGAAGCATAATACCTTGGGAAAGCCAAGGGTTACTTGATGGGGCAGTATTTGCATGAGTGGACAGAACCTGAACTGCAGGAAACTGGAGGAGTTTAGCTTTTTCCTCCACTGTTGTAATCCTGACAAAAATCCCATTCACAGCTGTTATTTGGGCTTTCCAATGCATATAGCAGCTGAGAAGAGAATTCTGTTGGGATCATGGTGGGAGGTGGGGGAATTAAACTCTCATCTGTGTCCCCATCCGCCCTCTTGCAATCCAGGGCCCATTGCAGCTCCTGACACATATAAAAGCTGCATACAGGTCAATATAATGCCCATCTTGTTTGGCTAGAAGCAGCTCTGGACTTGATCAGAGCAGAATGCATGACTCCTGCGTACTCTGCCTTTGCCTTCTAAAATGGAAGAAACCCAGGACTTAAATATATGTTGTACCACTGCCGTGGCTGATGACTGTGTTTAGCATTAGCACTTAGATCATGGGTAAGAATGGCATGTAGCACCAGGCTAAACTGTTCAGAGTTGTTGGATGCTCGTTCTCTTATGTATCTGATGCTTAATTGTAGATGTGGATGCCACCTGCAGTGACTTTGATTTTGGAACAGCCTTACATATTGCTGCCTTCAACTTGTGTACTGGAGCTGTGAAGCGTTTGTTGGAGCATGGAGCCAATCCTGCCTTTAGGGTGAGGTTTTGATTCACAGCCTTCGTTGGCTTACTTGACTGTGTTTGACTGACCCTTAATTTTACTATGGTTGTCCGAAAATGTTCCTGGCATGCTTCAGGAAAACAAGTCTGTGTGCATTTGTCAGACTTACAAACACATTAGCCTGTCTTTAGGCACAGCTTTTGATGTGGTCCATGGGGTTTTCAAAGAGATCGTATCAGTCAGTCCTAAAGGAAATCAACCTGGACTGTTCTTTAGAAGGACGGATGCTGAAGCTGAAATACTTTGGCCACATAATGAGAGGGAAGGACCCATTGGAAAAGACCCAGATGCTGGGAACGATTGAAGGCAAAAGGAGAAGGGGGTGGCAGAGGTTGAGGTGGCTGGATAGTGTCACTGATGCAATGAACATGAATTTGGGTGAACTCTGGGAAACAGTGGAGGACAGGAGGGCCGAGCGTGCTGTGGTCCAAGAGTCAGGTACGATTGTGCAACTGAACAACCACAACAAGGCACAGCTTGGAAAACCATTTAAATTCCTAGATGCCAGTACTGAATGTTTAGGATGCACATGAACAGTTGCCTCTGATTTTTTTAAAACACCATTGTTAAGCATTCTGCTGGAATACTATTTAAATCTCAGTTGTTGGTCATTAACCATTTATCAGTGTATGATAGCTAAGCACTGAATGGCAGTGTTCATTTGAATCGCTCTTTTCCTGCTTTGTTGCTGTTTTTCTGCAGAATGACAAAGGGCAGACACCAGCAGATGTAGTTCCTGACCCAGTAGACATGCCCCTAGAGATGGCAGATGCTGCAGCAAGTGCCAAAGAAATCAAGCAGATGCTCTTAGATGCCATGCCTCTGTCTTGCAACATTTCCAAGGCCATGCTTCCGAACTACGATAATGTCACCGGCAAAGCCATGCTTGAATCCCTTGGCCTAAAGCTGGGAGATCGAGTTGTCATTGCAGGACAGAAGGTATGTGGAATGAACTGTGCAGTAGGAAAGGATGCTATGTTGAAAAAATACTCTGGGCTTAACGTGTAGAGCCAAAGAGGTGGGCTGACCCTGTCTAATTTACCATATGAGGCTGCTAAATGTAGGTCAGATCCGTGTTGCAGCTTCTTTGTTTGTTTGTTTATTGCCTGTCTTTCCACCAATGCCACCAAAGTAGCGTGAGGAGAGAGTTAATAGAACTAGCATAGTATGTCAAGATATTGCAAAAGTGTGGAGTAAGAAAGAAGACTTCAAGTAGACTTCAAGTAGATTTAGACTAGACACTGGGAAGAATTTCCTGACTGTCAGAGTAGTACGACAATGAAACTTATTACCTGGGGAAGTTGTGGGCTCTCCCTTGCTGGAGACATTCAAAAAGTGTTTGGGCAGTCATCTAAATGGAATGGTATAACGTTGTTCTGCAGTAGCAGAGAGTTGGACCCAGTGGCCTTCTGGCCCCTTCCAGCTCTACTATTCTACGATTCTATGAAGTGCCCTATTCCCAACCTCTGGAAGTGTTTAACCTAAGGGCTCTAAGCTTGTGGGTACAGCACCCTGATTATATGTTGACTGACAATTATTGCTGTCCATGGTTGCTTGTCTTAAAACTGCCGTATTTTTGAATGCTATGGTGTCTGATGGCAGAAAGATTCACAGTAATTCTGGGTAAACTGGACTCTGAGGTGCCAACGAGTCCTACTTCTGCCCTGAAGAACAAGGCCAGTTCCACAGTTACCCAATGCGAGCAGGAAATAAATCCTTTCCTCAAAGCTGTATACTTTCACTGTGAATGCTCCATGTACACTGTAGTGGGAGAAAGCCAGTTCCGGATTGTTTGTACATGGTTCTGCCAAGGTTTCTCAGTCATTTACTCTGATGAGCCAGAGGAGATTAATTCTTAAGGGCTGTCCTGTGGGGTGTGTCCACATATAACAGTCCCACAAGCCTTATCCACACAAGGAGTGTGCAGCTGTTCTCTGTCCTAAAACTAACCATTCAAACATGATAACAGATTGATTTACTGGGACGTCACAGGAGCTGGTTCCTTCCCTTGCCATTTATGTAAAATTGCAGCAGATGTTGCATTCAGACTCAGTTTTGCAGACGGTAAGGATTTGTGACTCTGCTCTTGCTGGCACAGTTACTGAAATTCACAGTTAATAACTGATACTGGTGTGTGCAAATTTACAATTGTAATTAGCTGATTACCTTTAAAAAGGGACTCTGATATAGTTTGGATGACAGGCATCTATGCAAACAGATTCCATTATGGAATACCTACTAGTCTTGCCTCATTATTGAGCTGTTGGAAGAGTTCTGTCCGTCATTACTTTCCTGGTTGCTGCTTTCAGAAAGTGGTAAATGGTAGATTTCTTAACCTTTAATGATTCACTCTTTTCACAGTGCAGTGTATCTGCCTTTTCGGGAGTAGAAATTAAAGGCATAATCCTGTGTAAATTGAGAGAGACAAAATTCCTACGACATTCCTCCCAACATTCCTACAAAATTCCTCCCAACATTCCCTAGCCAGCATTGCACGCTAAAAATGTAGGGAGAATTAAATTAAAGAGTCAGCTTTTTGTTAGTGAAGTGTAATGTTTCTGCTAATAATTCACAAGTGCATCATGTAGTGCTTTTATAGCTTATGTCATTTTGTTTTAATAGCTAATAAGTGCTCCGAAATGGCTGGCTTGTGCATTGAAATCTTCACAAAGTTGCTTAATTTTCCAGGAGTGCTGTATTTTGTTATTCAGCACATATTTGAGTTTCTATTTTTAAACTTTAGAAGCGCACACACAGAATCAAAGAGTTTGTGGGGTCTTGAAGATCACGTGATCCAACGTGGTGCTTGGTGCAGGAAGCTAGGACTGGATAGCTGCCTGGTGATGACTGTTCCACCTCTATTTGAAGACTTTCAATGAAGGGGGACCACCACCCTTGCTGGGAATTAGTTCTGTGGTTGAACTGCATGCACCAGCCAGGTGTTTTTCCTAACGGTTGACCCAAATCTGTTCTGTTGTAACTTAAACCTATTAGATCTAACCTTGGCCTCAGAGGAGGGAGAGAACAAACCTCGGCCCTCTTCTGTGTGATGAAGATTGCTGTCATCACCCCACTGCTACGCACATTGTTTTCTCTTTTCCAGGAAACTGACCTGTTCTTCCTTTTTCTTACATATGTTCTTTTCAGCTGTTCAGTACCTTACTCAAATGTGCAGTAATGGTTTCTGAGATCTCCTTCCAAGAGGATTATAGGAGAGATTTCCTTGAAAGCAGACAATTATTGGCACTTGTTTAACAGCATCAGGAAAGGTCACTGGAGTATTAAATAGAGAGCACACATGCCGGATAATACACAGTCTGGGGGGATGCAGGCTAAATAGGGAGCTCCGTGCCCTTCACAGCACCCTCTGCCTGCTCCAGCTATTACTTGATTTATTTATTTAGCACTTTTATATACTGTCTCGTAGCCACACGGTTTACAGAATAAAAGCCAACAACATAAAACTTCGTAAATAAAACAATTAAAAGCACAGTTTTAATAAATAATGAAAAGAAGATAACCTAGCAACAGATTGGAAAAATCTTAAAACATCACAATTAGGAATACTAAAATGTAATTTAAAAGACCAATTCAAATCAAATTCCAGTTGCTGTCAGCAGGATGGGATGGAAGAGAGAAAAGGTTGCCTGGACCATTTGCTTTCCAATGTAGGTTTCTCCTTCCAGTTCTGTTAGGCTACAACTCCCAGCCTGCCTCAGCCAGCTAGCGGGGATACTAGAAATTGCAATCCAGTGCACCTGGAGAAACCAGGTGGGGAAGCATCATTCTAATAGGTGATCACTTCTGACCAGTTTTGATTGCATCTTGGGAAATATCTGTGTGTCACACATGGACATTGCAAACTGGATCCTGGTTCTTTCCCTTCTATAGCTGCCATTTGTGCTAGCATGGAGCAGAAACATGAGCAAGAACCAACTGCAGTTGGAGCCCTCTTTTTTCTATGGATGAGAATGACCTGAATATACCAGGAATTGGCAACATAGTACCCATGAGCCTTAGTATACCTTTGGACATGGTTCTTGGTGCATACTAAGGTGCTGTACCCCACTCACTTCATTTTTTTTAAACTAATATAATTTCTTACAAGTAATGGGTTGATATGAAATATTTTTCTTGATGTCAGAAACGATGCATTCAGGGAAGTCGTTCAGAACGTCAGGACTCATTGCTCACCTCTGCCTTGCATTCAGACATCCGTGTGGGTTACTTGTCCTTTCCTCCACCTCTGATGGCAGCCATTTTCCGATGGTGCCCAGGATTGTTTTCCAACTTCCCAGTGTGCCCATGGGCCCAAAAGTTGCCTACCCTTGAAATACATGAGCACAGTGGTCACATCCTATGTCTTTTCTGTTCTGATTGGAAAAGGACCCATGTGAAAGTTAGAAAAACTCTTCCTCACAACTGTCTTTTCCTCAGGTTGGCACCTTACGATTCTGTGGCACAACAGAGTTTGCTAGTGGACAGTGGGCTGGTGTCGAATTGGATGAATCTGAAGGCAAAAATGACGGGACCGTTGGGAGGGTGCAATACTTCAAGTGCGCACCAAAACATGGTATTGCCTTTTGTTTTAAATGCACTGCCTTGCAGAGTGTTTCATAAGCCTCTTCTTGACTCAGTCACATAGCTGTTATGTTAAGCAAATTGGACTTTCTCTCATAAAATCACATTCATGGTCCATAAGTAGCTCTCCAGCTAAGTCGTTAAGTAGGTATCAGGAGTGACTTCCTCTTTTCGTGCCGAATAGATTGCACTGTAATTTAGACTGACATTTCCTATTGGTATTACTGGTAGCAAAGTGAGCAGTGCACTGTGTCCCTGTTATCTGCAGTAGCTCTGGAGTCACTTACGTTTATAGTACAGAAGAATGATGGTTGATGGCGAAGTTTAGGAAGGCTGGAAGCAACGGCCAGGTGTCTGGGACACCCTAATGAGCCCAGTTCTCCTCTCAGTCAAAGTCTTGTGCGTGTGAAAGTTTAAATCTTCAACTTTGTAGTGTGCTTCATTGTCTAGCCATAAAAGGGAAGCATTAGCACCTGGGGCTCTATTGTAAGGAAGAGAATTATATTAAGGGCAAGTATAAATTTATCAAGTATTTAGCAGTTCCTGAAACACTCGAACACTCATAAATATTTGAATAGGGCTGTGGAGGAATAGCTGAGCTCTGCGATTAATAGTTTTTATCTCTCTTGCATGTCTTCTCTACCAGGTATCTTTGCACCTCTTTCTAAAATAAATAAAGCTTCTGAACCCAAAAAAAATGCGAGAGTTTCCTCCTCACGGCCTTTGCCTACATTCAAGTCCAAGAAAATTGATGTAACACATGTAACTTCCAAAGTTAATTCTGGTAAGCACTATGGTCTGTAGTTTTTGTACCAAAGCCAAAGAGCGCATTAGGAAGATAGGCAATTTTCTACCTCAAATCATAATCCATTGTTGGTAGGCCATTTGTGCTGCATTGCTCTCGGCACCTCAGCCCTCATAATTGCTGTGATATTAGTTTGAGGCAGAATGGGCAGCCGTAACTCCCTTGTTCTGATATGAATGGGTTTTTATTCCATCTCCACATATGCTCTGTTCTGTGTATTTGTGGTTCTTACTGTTTTCATTTTTGTAAACCATTTGACCTCTGATAAATGATACCTATTTTTAAAGTAGCTCAATAGTATTTATCTTGATGTTGTGCCCACAAGCTCGGTGTTATCTATTTTGGACTATAATTCCCATAATCCACAACTGGAGTTTATGGAAATTAGTAGTAGGAACTTTTATTGTCATAGCAATAAAGTCTCCCTCAGCCCTTCTGGCTCAGGGCAGGAACTCAGTCTGGGCCCTTCGGCACGCAAAGCTTATCCTCTGTGTATGGGATTAAGTGCCCTTCCCTTCTCCTAAGGTTCTGTACTCTCCAGAGTCCTCCATCAGGAATTTCAAATGCATGTTGCACAAACTCACTCTTTCTTTTCTGTTTTCTGTTATTTAATACAATCTGCACATCTCAGTACAAAGTAGTTTAAATTGTCATGTGAATATTTTTAGTCTCGTTTCAGTTCCACAACCTTCCACCTCCTTTTCAAAATTAGTTTTCCAATTTCAACTTTCTGGTCAACCTCTTCCAGAAGTCTGTGGGACTTAAACTCCAGGGAAGAGCAGCTGAAGGGTTGTTGGATGTTGCATACTCCACTCTCTGTGCTGGACTTCCCTCTGTGCACAAGCTGAGAGGCATCGCTCATGCTTGTGGGAGTGCAAGGCTATGCTGCCATTGCTGCTCTGAATGTAGTGGGGGTGTATTCAGAGCGGGGTGCATGGCGTGCATTTTCCCACCCTATTTCTTGCATGCAGCTTCAAATGTGCATGTATTTCTACACATTTGATTTTATGACCTGCATCACAGACTTCAGAAAAAGACAGGTCTCAACATCTGTGTTCCAGTCTCTGGGTAGGATTGGGCAGTGTGAATTTGTATTGAAAGATGAACCAAAGAAATTTCTCTTCTGTAATTACCACGAGCTGCTGTACTTATTTCCCGTCCTCTTGAAACCAATGAGCTAGGGACGCTTTTTTACCGGTACAACCAGCAAGGGAAAAAGAGGCAAGAGAAAGGCTGCCCCCCACCCGCCTTCTGCCCTGGCTGTCTTGGTGTGTGCCCCCTTTAATTGGCATAAAAATGAGACTCCCCAAACCTCATCCTATTTAATAGAAAGACGAATCCCCCCCAGTGCGCCCCCTAACTTGGTGGGACCTATGGTGGCAGAGATTCTTTTAAGCTGTAGATGAAAGAACTAAGCAATTGTACTTTTATGTTTTTCTGGCATTTTTCTGTCAATATTCGTTCTGTCTAAAGAAACTATTTGTTTCTCCTCTTGGTTTTTAATTTGACAATTCAAATTCTCATAACAATTGCTCTTTTATTAGATCCATTTCCATAGAATAAGTCTTGGTAAGTTGATCTGTAAACACATTTGTTCTTGCTAGTCTTTTTTAGGCTGGTGTGATAGAACATCTAATAATAGATTACATTCATGAGTTAGTACAAAAAATCCCCTCGTGCAACAGCTGGATCAAGCTAATAGATATGATTTGGTTGATGAGAAATAAAGTTTTGCCCTTTATGATTGCTGCCAGCAGGATCAGATGCAGACTTTTGTTCTTTGCTAATCATGGGCAGGTTGTCTGTTCTTAATATGGAACAGAGGATGCATGGAACATTTTGAAGCCTCATTACTACTTTCCCTGCATATTCTATTGAGGGTTGGTGCTATTCTAGCGTAGGCTGTTCTCCTAGGCAAATGGTTCTTCTGTCAATGTGCTTGTATATGTAATTTTTAAAAAGTTATAATGCTTCAGAAGGTTTTGCTGCTCACGCTTATAAATCTTTGGGGCACAACTTGTGATGTCAGAGAACTGTGGTCTGAATCTGCAGTAATTTAATTAATAGTGGCCACATTGCTTTGGAGTGCTTTCAGATCTTGATGGCTGTTAATTTTATTGCAAAAATGTCAAGAAATTCTAGTCCCATAAAGCATTTTATTGGTTGCCTTGTTTAAAAGGAATGTGATGCAAGAAAGCCATATTGGATCTGAATAATACAATTCATTGTTCACAGCTGTATCAGAATGTAGGCTTGTGAGATCTATTTTATGTTTTATTGGAATGCCACTTCAACCAGTGTATACATAATAACAATTTATGGATTGTTTAGCGAATTGGGGCAGTGAGTGAACATGCTGTCTCCTGACCAGTTGCTTCTTTCACTTTGGGAAACTGTTGATTCAGACTCTGAACTTCAGCAACCTGGAATGCTGGGTCCAGATGTCATGGCTAAGAAGCCAAGACCTGTGCATCCCTGGGCTGCTGAACAAACTGAATGCAAAGTGGAAGCTTCACCGTAGTTCCAACTAGTTACAGCTTGTTTAACCCATAATTAGTCATTATGTGTAAACTGAGCCACACATTAAAAATACTGAGCCCAGGAATATTGAGTTGTAGAACTTAACTGACCTCACAGTTCCCCTATGTAAGGTTTAGCTCAGTTGTCTCCCACACCCTGCTTTCTTCAATTTTATAAATGATGTATGCACAGGGAAGTAATGTTTTGTGCCATTGTTAAGAAACTGAAAGTTGGAAGTCTTTGCTGATCTACTTCAAATTATTCAGAGGTCTACCATGGATCTTGAATCCATGTTGTCTGGAGTGCAACGAGGTGTGTATTTATCATTTGGTAGATTTATACCCCACTGTTTTCTTATACTGAACTCAAAGTGGCTTACATCATTCTCCTCCTCCTGCTTTCAATCTCATACCCACAATGACGGTGAGTGAGGTAGGTTGGGTGGAGCGTCTGTGAGTGCCCCAAAGCCACCCAGTTGGCTCATGGCCAAGTGGGGACCAGAACCCAAATCACCCAAGTCTGAGTTCTGCTCTCTTAACCACTACACTGTTCTGACTGATGCCTGAGATTTTTTAGCTGGGCATTACAATAAACCTGCCACTTCACACCCTTGAGGGAACAGGTCTACAAGTAAGCTTCAGCCATTCAATATTATGTCTTGCAGTGGGGGAAATATGATTTTAAAAAGTACTTTTTCACTCTTCCCTATAAAGGGATGAGTAGAAGATCCCCCTATTGTATTAGTAGCAGCGAGATTCAGACTGATTTAGGGCACAATCCTGTGTATACTTAGGAAAAAATCCTGTGGCTCCCAGCCCTTGGGGCAGGACTGGGAATGCTGGGAACTGTGAGCCTTTTCCTGTTGAAATGTTCATGGATTGTGCCCTTAGCTTCACTGCCTGATGTTTCCTCACTGGGATGGAATGGGAGGATTGCTAGACAACAGTGATGTCATTGATTTGCTTTGGCTGACAGGCTTATCTGCACAGAAGAAAGAGCCTACTTCAGATTCCACATGCTTGGGCAGTGAAAGAATGAAAACTCCACCAGGCAAAGAAGGTAAGGTGTCCTCCAGATGAATATTGGTTGCTGTCGCTGGCATGAGCCTGAGAAATTCCATAACTAGAGCCATGCTGATTCTTGCAGCTGTGGAATTTCTTTTCTTTTGCAGGAGGAGTAGGCAGAAAGAAGTTACCCTCAAAAATAGAAAGGGGAAGTTCAGGGCAGAAACTTCTTGATGGGGTGTAGAAGTTTCACACTAACGTTAAACCTTAATAACATTATGAGTTGGCTGATGATGCTGGTGATTCCTGAAAGGCCTTGTGAGGACATCAAAGTGCAGCAGCCTTGGAGGTTGACTGCAGAGCCCCTGGAACCAGTGCAGTGTGTGTGTGTGTGTGTGTGTTTACAAATTAAAATGCCTTCCTAAGCAGCCCAGTAAGCTATAGTATCCAGCATAAGAACTATTTTAATTAGGAACACACACCTTGGTCACATACCTTACGATGTGATCAGGCTTTTAAAGGTAAGCTGTAAGTCACTGCTGGACAGAATGTTCTCTACAGACTCTTTCATGGGGAATGGCCAGAGTGGGGAAGATTTTCTCAAAAAGTAGAGCATGGCACAGCACTTAAAATAACTGCCTCTTGCATTGGTGTAGAATTAGACTACTGATTAGTTTGTGCCGGTATTCTTATTCCATAAGGCCCTGTGACATCTTTATTAAGAGGAGTAATGAACTGTATGACATCTCTGCATGTCAGTGTAGGGGGACAAGATACATATTTTTTCTAAACGGCTTCAGTCTTTACATTTCACTTTGCAGTTGGGATGATGAAAGATTCTCAAAGCTATCGATTAGGGTATCATTTCTTTATAGAGACACAGAATAATTTCTTACTATTGTAAGCACCTGCAAATATTCATGCCCCTTGGAAATCCCGTTTGCTTATATGAACCCCACTGATTTTGAACCCCACTTATTCTACTTACATGTACGTGTACCTGGCTGAGCGCCTAATGCGCTTAAACATGCACTTAACATGGAATAACTCACTCTTAATTTTAGCTAGATAGGCCATTCGGGTTTGGTACCACCTGTACTGTAGGGAGATTGAAATTTCAGGATCATTCATTCATTTGCTGCTTTTCCACTAGATGGTGCCCAAAGTGGCTCATGACACATGAAATGAACAGCAGTAAACTCAACAGTTCAAAAGCATCGTATGGACAATTACATATAAGCCATGCTCAAGAAGTGAATCACTAAGAACATCCATCAGTCCATATGGCTAATACAACCACATACAAGATGCAATTAAGCTGATCTAGTGCAGCATCTTAAAACAAAATGCAAACTGAATAAAAGATAATGTGAAGATTCACTTCCTACAAAGGTGGGGTGGAGAGCAGGTACAGCAGTTCTCCAAAGCGTGATGGACTACAACCCCTGTTAGCCCTGCCTACCGTAGCCAGAAGTAAGGGTGGCAGGGCCTGCACTCCAGCAGCTCTGGAGAGCTACCTGTTCCCCTTCCCTGCACAAAGGCAACATGAGCTTCTGTGCAACTAACATTCACACAACTCTCCCCTGCATCGGCTCCTTTCTTTCACCTGTGGATGAAAATATTGCCACCCCTTCAAATGGCACCAGTGCTCACTGTTTGGCCTCGCGTAGTCCCTTTCCACCACGCATCCCTTCAAGCATTGCCTTCAAGGCAGCAGGCCGAGGTACTTGGTTGTTTAGTCTTTCTTCACCAAACACTCCTTCCAGATTCTCATCCATCAGCACTGTAACTTTACTGAGTTATGTTCCATATCTCGAGAGTCTCATTTCTGTTGACCAGTTGGGATTTTTTATAATAAATACGCACAGGCCTGACTTGCAACTTGCACTGCTTTGGGGGATCTCAAGATGTCTCAGAATGCAGGGACAGCTTATATGATATCCATGGAAATGGTAGTAAGAGCACATGATGTAAGGAGCTGCAGCTGTCTGGGATCTCTGTGTCATGTTTTCCCCACAAACATACAGGTATATGCCAAACCTTAGCACATTAATTCACCTGAAACTTTCACAATTTCTAACAGAAATATGGTTACCTCAGCTTTGTGGGTGAGTTTGCTGAAATACACTAGTGGTCAACATCTTGCCATTCACTCTTCAGTGTTGGTTAGGATAGGCCCGAAGAAAAAGCTATAAAGAGAAAAGAAAGCTAGAAATCCTCCTTATAGGTAGCTTGTACATCAAGATTTCATAAATTGAAATGAAAATGATTTACTTCCCAATCTTATTTTATAGACTTATTTTAATATTAATACTGTGCATAATAGCATGCAGTAGGCACTTCATAATTCACCCATAAAATGTCACTCCCCCTGTTTCTCATCAAAGATTTAATAGGCTAGCTATCAAAAGCAAAGGGCTGATGTCTTTTATTACGGGAAGCTGCATTATTTGTACAATTAGGCTCATGCTTACAAGTACTGTATTAAAGTAGGCTTGAACGACTAACTAAGGGATGTTTATCATGAGCAATTAGCTGTAGGAATATGGGCTCCATTCTTCCCTTGTAGGTGGGAATGAAAGACCCAGCAAATGAATATTTCCTGCCCTTTGTGTACCTTGTGTGTCTTCCTATATCTGAATAACTCTTTGTTTGTGTTATTTTACGTAGCTTCCCTTGGATCTAATAGCTCTTCATCTTCCACGACATCACTGGACAACAAGCAGAATTGTCCCAAAAAGTGGAATTCCATAAGCAATAAGAAGAAGGGAGAAGGGACTTTGAAGGCAAAGGCTGTTGCACCCAAAGCAGTTGCTGGCAAGTTTTTTTCTGTGTGTGTTTTTTAATGCAATTGTGGTGGACGTGCTGATAAGGATAGGAGAAATAGGCCTCTCAGTACTCTGGGTGAACCTAGACTTCTAATGCATATGCTAAACTTTTGCATTAAGGCATGCATAGATTTTCCAGGTAAGCTTTTATTGTTATTTGGTGTGATGGTGGGATTCTAGGGTTATACATGGTGGAATAAATGTTACACCTTGCATGCTGGAATTCAGTCAACAGCATCTCCACGTTAGGGTCTGGAAAGACTTTTGCCCAAAACCCAGGAGAGCCACTGCCAGTCAGTATCAGCTCCGCTGGGCTAGATGGACCCGTGATCTGATGCAGCATGATGCGGCTTCGTATGTTTTTCTGCAGTTGGACTGATATGGCTGCTCATTGACACATGGTCCCTGACCAGGTGACAAAACATTTATGTAGTGGTGTTGTAACTAGGCCAGTGGCTTTCGCATTGTCCTTTTGTTCTGCACAGATTAGGCATGCATAAAATTGAGGACTGAGCCTGCTGTGGAAAGGATATATAAAATGTTTGGTCAGCCATGTAGTCTCTCTTGTGGAAGAAACCAGGCATACATAGTGCTGAATTGCTGGACCCCTTGATGTCAGTGTGTGAAAAACTGAAATCTGAGGTTGCAATCATGTGCAAACTTCCTTGGGAGTAAGCCCCATTTAATTCAATGGGACACTTCCAAGCAATCATGCAGAAGGTAGAGATGTGCATCAGGGAAGTGGATCTCTCTTTTGTGGTGCAAAGGTGATAGAAGCAGGACTCTCACTGCATGAGGAAGCTTGTGAACCAACTCCTGATTTGAGGTATTCCTGTTCTGGCCCTTGAGTATTCTGTGTACCAAATTGTTATTCTGCCCTCCTGTGTACTATATCAGTATATTTCAGTTTGTGAGTTGCCTGTTGCCCAGCTGCAGGAGGCTTTCAGCTACTGTGAATACACAGAGGTGTGTAGCACAGAAATACTGTACCTTGTCCATCACAAAGGAGAGTGCAGGTCAGAGTTCTTTGGGCTGCTGCAATTTTAGTTTGACTTTGAAGGCTCCATTCTTGAATTTAAGCCCTCTAATCATGCTGATCTTGATTTCAACTATTCTATGCATATTAATTTTGCCAAACTTTTGAAGAGGGTATTTGATTCTCTGGCTTGCTGCTGAGATCATGTTTAGTTCCATTAATGCACTATCTACTGATGTGGCCAAGTATGAATAATTTGTAATAGTCCTTTCCTCCTTTGATGTGTTTCTAATATTTCATCTTTACCATTTTTGTCGATCTTAATTGCACAGGAGGAAATAACACTTTTCCATCTGCAAAGAGAAATCCTTTTGATGACGGAGAAATTCAGATAGGAGACCGAGTGCTGGTGGTAGGACAGAGGACTGGCACCGTGAGATTCTACGGGACGACCAAGTTTGCACCAGGTGAGCTGTCCGCTTGTCTCACAGGACAGACTTTTGCTGGATGGATAGTCAGAAACCTTGCTTGGAAGTGGCAGATAGGCAGCTTTCTGAGGTGACATTTAAAAAGAAAATACCCTATTTGTTTCTTCCTTGCTGCTCAGTAAGCAGCATTCAGAAATAACTGTATGTTGAAAAAAATGCTGAAATATTAAATAACAATTCAAAACTAATCAGTAAAACCCCTTTAACAACTGAATCATATAGCAGTCACATTAACTAGAAGTATTAACATAGAAACAGAATGAGTCAGAAGGGCCATCTAGTCTGATTCCAGCTCCAGCCGGCTCCACTCATGACATGCCTTCCATGTGCATGTCCAGCCTATCCTTAAACACCCTCACCGCTGGGGCTTCAACCACCTCCCTATGATTAGAAATCATAACTATTCAGTAAAAGTTGAGAAAAGTCATAGGTTAACCTGATGACTGAACTGCTGAAGAAAAATACTCCATAACTAGGGACCACAAACGGAGAAAGCGTTACTCCTTTGCTGGCCCCTGCAGAGTCTCTAAAGACAGAGGCCTCAAAGCAGAGCCTTCAGAAAGCCTCCTTATGCTTTGCCAATTTCATGTGGTTGATGGTGCCTTGGAAACACCAAATCCTTACGAAAGAGGGATTTAAGTGTAAGAACCAGGCCTTTGAACTCTGCCCATAACCCCACACAAAACCACTGGAGAATATTAATGCTGTTTAGATCTGTTCTAGCTGGTCCTGCCCAATAATCCAACTGCTGTATTTTGACCCAGTTGAAGGTTCAAAGAAGTTTTGAAAAATGGCCTCATCCACAGTTTGCTGCAATAAGCTAACTTGAATATTTTCAGGGCATGGATAACTGTGGCCAGGCTGTCTTTTAAAACACAAAGAAGGACTATTTGATAAATGTCTATTGTCAAACTAACTACAGGAATGGAGACTATTTAGTTCATTTTCTTTTATACCTGGGGATGAATGAATCCATCAAATGTGAAATGAAGTGCAAAATTCAAAATATAATTGCATGCTGGATTATTTATTGTCATTGCTATTTATGATTTAAAAGATTTTTAGCTTCATTGTCCCTGCAAGGCTTAAAAGAATGCAAAACAGTTAAAAGCACAATTGCATTTTAACACAGAGACACATGTATGATTGCATGGTACATACAGACACATGTGCCAGCGGCTGTTATTAAAGATTTTATAAATACCAATTGCAGACTAGATTGGTTGGCATTTTCAGGAACTGGAAATTAGATTGGTTTGTATTAAAGTGTAAACCGAATGAATTTAACCTCATCCCTAGTATAAGCACATCTCTCCAATCAAGTTAAAAAATAGCACAGTCTTGGGTAATACAGTCTTGAATGTAAGTTGCTGCCAGAACAGATATTGACAGAACAGAAAATTTGGACCTGCTGATGCTTCCATTTTGATATGATCCCTTGAAACTTTATCTTGAAATGCTGGTGTTTGCTAACATTAAGATTTAATGTTATTTTTAAACATGTAAGGGATACAAAACATTGTTACACATTGGCCTTAATAAAGCCGTTTCTGATTAACATGAATGTATGATACTGTCTTATATGGTCAAGACTTTGGTTCATCTCAGCCAATGTTTGGTCCTCTGACTGGTCCTCCTTTTTAACTGGAGATACCATTCAGGACTGGAGCTGGCTCTCATCTGTATGCAGAGGATGTGCAGAGCTGTGGGTCCTTTCAGAAGCAGTCGTGTTAGCATGGGGAAAATATTTGCTTGCATTTTTAGTTAATGTTCACTTTTTGCTGAAGCAAGCACTTAACCTCTTGCAACTGCACACTCAAATTCAGCCACTGTTGATCAGACTTGTTCAAGACAAAGGCAGGCACAATGAAAGGGTCCCTCTTGTTTCAAAACATTACAGTCTCTTCCAGAACATCAGCTTGCAAGGAACAGGAAGCATGAATGAACTGGCCTTCCTTTTTGCTTTAGTTTAGAAGCTGCAAAGGTGCTCTGCCAATCAGCAGATTGTGCATGCTCATTAATTATTGTTTGCCTCTGCAACAACAGCACCCAATTTAGCTATTTAGGATCCACTGAAGCTTGCCTCTGTTTGGCCACTTCTCTTTGCCTCCTCTCATTACTGCCCTGAAATTACTTTGATTCAGCAGATGCCTTTGCATCTCACTCCACGTAATGGAAAGAAAATGCAGTGTAATTTCAGGGAATCTTGCAGATCGCACCACTCTTTAGAACTGCGCATTTTTGCTGAGTTCTTATGTAACTGCCAGTGTGGGTTTTCTTTTGTGTATGTGATGATACCTCTACTGCAAACATAGTGCTTTTACTGTGAAAAAGTGTGTTGGGGTGGGGAGGAAAATTATCCTGAAAAAAGCCACCTTAATGTGAGTTTTGACCTAAGGGAAAATGTTCTTCTCGTGGAAAATGTTTTCACTGTAGCATCTGACAGCTTTAAAGTATAGCAAGCAAAGGCGTATGTGGTTGCTTAAGCATTGCTACTGATAAACCGGCAGAAAATCTGTCGCTGTTGCTTTTTGAAGGCCAAAGGAGAATTGTGCCTCCCCAGCTGAGCCTTTTTAATGCACGATAGAATTCTTGCTGCTTCTGCTTGTAATTAGCTTTGCCCTTAAAACTGCACCCTAAGCTCCAAATGACTTGAATTTTAATTTTAACTCTTCATAGGACTGGATAATTTAAGAGACTGCAGTAGGGCATTATGGAGCCTCTCTGCTTCCTATAGAATGAGCAAATGTGTTGCAAATTTTCCTGCCTAAATGTGCCTGATTGTCTCAGTGCCCCGTGGGGAGATGAATTATTTCTGGCAAAGTTCTTCCCCTCCTGTACCTTCCATTCCCAGTCCCCTGTGCTTCAGAGGGAAAGTAACCAAGTGGTCAGTTTGAAGTGATTATTTCCATGTTCTTGGAACACTTTTAGTGCAAAGGAAGAGCTGCAGCAAAAACTTTTCAGAGAGAAAGTTCCAGGCTCATCCCCTAGCATATCCAGGTAGGGCTGCGAAAGGCCCCTTCAGTCTGAAACCCCGCGGAGCAGCAAAACCCAGTCTGTGCAGGCAAAACTACACTAGATAGATCAGTGGCCTGACTGTTTAAGGCAGCTCTTCAGATTCCTAACAGAAGGGGCCCGGGTAAGGGCAAGTTAAACAGAAACAAGCAAGTGTTCCGTTGGAAGTGATTGCTTCCATCTTTTTGGAGCAAGACTGAACAAAAGGAGAAATCTTGATTGTGCTTCTAAATTGGAGGCGATCTGATTCTTCATGCTTTACCGATCAATTGTACTTAGCACTGTGATGCTTTAGAACTTTCCCCCACCCCTCTTTCTTTTCCTTACTAAAATCATCATCTTTATATGCACAAATAGGATTAATTGCTACTCCACAAGTTGAAACCAAATTTGAGCGCACACTTGCCATCTCGATCATTTATTCAAGCTGCTTTATGCAAGACTCTCTCTTTTTCCCTGCCACCCCGCAATCCATTCCTCCTCCTGACTGACTGTGCTAATTGCAGCCTCATGTTGGCTCAAGCATTTCTGTACAAAGAAAACCCTTCTCTGCAGGAAAACAGTAACGCTTTTTACGAGTGTGGTGTTTTTCGTTCTTCTTTTGCTTACCCGTGGCTCTTCAAACCTCTGATTTTGACTGTTGCAGGGTTTTGGTGTGGAATAGAACTGGACAAACCTCATGGCAAGAATGATGGCTCAGTTGCCGGGGTGCAGTACTTTAGCTGCTCTCCAAGATACGGTGTCTTTGCACCTCCTGCCAGGGTGCAGAAGTAAGTATGGAGTGCTATGATGACTGGTCAACACGATTTGTTCTCCACTTTCATTCAGAAAGTACTTTAATTCAGAGTCTGCTGCCAACTAGGGGGAAGCCTAGAGGAGCGCCACACTGTTCTGCTGCCAAGATTTAGATCATCCCTGTTCTGAGACTGGATGAAATGAAGTCATCAGTCTTTGGTGCTAATATGGGAACATTCAATAAAGCTGAGATCTATTCCGGGCTTGTTTGCTGTAAAGAAAAGTGGCTGTGTCAAATTTTCTTGACTTTTACAACTCTTTCCTTAGTAACAATAAATTCTAAGGATTTAAGATGTGTTCTTGCTGGAAGAGGTCTAGTCCTTGCAAGAAGGCCTTTTAAAACCTCAGCAGAACAAGCGAGGAGATGCAGCTCAGTGGCAGAGAAGATGCTTTGCATACAAAAGGTCCCAAGTTCCATCCCAGCACTGCAAGGCTGGGCTAGAGAAGACGCTCAGCCTTGCAGCCTTTAGGAGCTGCAGCCAGTCAGTTTGGGCACTGCTGAGACAGGCAAACCAGTGGCTTGACTTATATAAGGCACTTCTTCATATTCCTAAAGGGAAAAAATTAAGTCAAAGCTTTTGTCTCCCCTGGAGCTGATCAGCATCTTTCAGCTGGGTCATTTCTCAAACCCTCCTTGCACGGTAGTGTGCTAATGCGTAGCAGAGCACAAATGAATGTTGGTGAACGGGAGGGTTTGCAGGCTGTGGGAATTTGAGCCAGGGATTGCACTAGAGGAAGGGAGGAACCTGGTCAGACAAATGACAGGGCTGGGCCAGAAGTAGGACGGTGAATAATGCAGCGGGGCAGAGGCACAGGTGTCTTAAAGATCCCGAAGTGGAAAGATGATGAGCTGAAAGCAGAGGTGGGTACGGATACAAGGGCGATGTGACCTTGGCGAAAGGAATGATCGGTGGTCCCGGGATCCCATTCTAAACTGACTGAAGAGGAGATGGGATGAAGGAGGGAATGGTACTGAGCAGGAACACGGCAATAGCTGGATATGCGGAGCAAGTTGGGGAACATTCGTGATTACCCAGCACCCACTAGCGGCACCGTCAGAAGGTCTTTGCCCAACGTGCCTATTTTGCATGTCTTCAAACAGCAGAGAGTTCTCATCTTTAGCATTAAAAACTGGAATAAAAGCAATAAAAAGCATATGAAGAGAACTGCTGCAGAAATGCAAAGAACAGTGCATCCCTGGTGGGTTTAATGTGCCCATGCAGAGATTGCAATCCTGAGCATCCTTGCGCACGGTGGGAGCTTCAGTGCGTGCTGAGTCTCTGTCCATCGTGCAGCCATTCCCGGTGAGGAGAAGTGAGGTATGTGGGGGGTCAGATTGCAGGACCATGGCAGACTCTGTACTCTGCACAGCCAGCTCCCCACTCTTTGTATTCTGGAGGGGGAAAAATAGTTCTTTTCTAGTGATGCTGCTTAACCAATTACCGTGCAGAGGTAGCACAGCTTTCTCTTTACTCTCATTGCATTTAGTCTTGATTCCTTCTGATCAGTAGGAAATTCACAGGCTTTGGGGAATTCTCACTTTTCTGTTGATTCCAAGTGGTGGGTTTTGTTGCGTGCTGAAATTAGTCACTGCCAGCTCTATCGTAAGTGAAGAATTGGTCCCTTTTAAATCCTTTTTCAGAAAGAAAGCGCTAATGCATGATTTCATTTTCAGGCTAACAGGATCTCTAGCCTCCCTCACAGATGCTTCATCAAGTAAAATAAATCATTCTTTTCCTGGTAAGAACTGGACATGTGTCTTATTCTGTTCCTATGTTACCTGAGTTAATTGCAAATGCCACATTTTGGAGACAAGGCTGTGAGTGAAGCTGGAATGGGAGGCCCTTGAAGGCAGGAGCTTTCTTCCTTTGTTTAAAACATGCTTACAATTTTAGAACACTTCCTTTAAAAAACCAACACAAAATACATATGTCATTTTCCTGATTTGAATACATATTGATAAGAATGTTCTTTCCCAGCTTAGGTATAGAGTGGCATGCTGGGATTTTTTTTTCCTAGTGAAATATGGTAAACCCTTGGCTACATATTGTGCATCAGGTCACCGTCCTTCCTTCCTTACGTCCGTCTGTCTGTCCATCCTTCCTTTAATCTTAATATTTATATACTGCCCCATCTCCATAGACTCTGGGCAGTTTACAGGAAATTAAATCAACAGTGAGTAATATTTGTATTATTAATATTTAGACTAATATTTTGCATTAGTCAATATACAACTAATACAATATTATTTTTAATTTATTTATTAAAAGTTTTTCTAAACTGTCCACTACAAACATCTTGGGATGGTTTACAAAAAGTGAGTAGAATAAAACAAATCTGACAATTGATACACTAAACCCCAGTTAATAAAACTGACACGAGAACTAATCTGGGGAGGCCAGTCAGAAGAGGTCAGTTTTTAAATTCCTCATAAAGGTGGGAATTTGGGAAATTTGCATCTCTCTAGCTTCCTTATATGGACTCCACTTCTAAGATCCAAGAGACTGCTCTGCATTGGCATTGTCGTCTCCGGTCTTCAGGTGCGAAGCAGTTCACTGCAGGCCTAGTCCAGCAGCCTGTGTGCGGTGCTGTGCGTGGCCCATGACGTTCAGTCATGCTGTTCATAGCCAGACTTCAAGGCTGGAGAGCCGCATAGGCAGAGCACGCCCCTCTGCTGCAGGCAGGGGATGGGCTGAACGGGCAGAGAGGACGTGGCTCCTCTCCACTGGGCGTGCTGATCCCTGTGCATGCAGCAGCCTGCCCCGTCCGAGCCCCCTGCAGGTGTGCAGGGGAGGGTGGCTAACGGCCATGCTGGCTTGGCATGACGAGGGCTGCAGTCTTACATGCCTGGAGGGCAGCAGGTCGGGCCTGCTATGGGCTTGCCACTTACCAGACTGGCCGATGAACCTTCTCTCTCCTCCTGTCTTCAGGTTTTCGACGCAGCTTCAGTACCACCTCTGCATCCTCCCAAAAGGAGATACACAGGAAAAATGCCTTTGTCAAGTGAGTGATTCCTTTGCTTGGGCAGAATGTGTGCATTCTGTCAACTGCTGTGCCTAGAGCAATTAACCTCTTTCTTTCTCTCTGGTGGCTCACATCTTCATGAGAAAGGCAGCATCTTGATATAGGCATGTAGCTCCCAACTTTCATCCCTAATGATTTTAGGAAGAAAGGATGTCAGTGGTGGCTTTTGCTTTCCTGTGTGCCTTCTTTCTGCACTGGGTGATAGTGACTGGAGACAGCCAGATGTGCTTTTAAAAAGAAACAGAAAGAATGGTAGAAAGAATGGGCCAGAAATTCTGCTCCAAGAATCTTGGCTTATCTTCCCTGCCTCTTCGAGAGAAGCCAAGCTGGCTGACCTTTTAAAACAATGTTACTTTCCCTACTTCCAATACCCCTATATTTCCTGCTACCTTTTAATGGTGCCTCACTTTGGACCAAACTGGATGTGCCATAAAAATACTTCTCTGCATTTACCATGGACACGTCTGTTCTAATGAAATAAGACCTGCTCTGGGAAGGGGCATGTGACAATTACTGGGATCACAGAAGGTAAGGAGGAGAGTTTAACCTTTTCCTCCAGTGCTGCATTCCGACAAGAAAAACCGGGGAGGAAAGCAACCAAATTATCCTTTCTTTAACACCGTTGACCTTGTTGTACCTAAAGTGAATAAAGTGAAAGATGTGCAAGATCTGAAGAGAAGGCCGAGTATAAAGTGAATCAAGCAGAGTTCGTGCAGCGTTTCCTCTTGAATTGGGAGTGAGTGTGTCGCGTGTCCTTTAAAGGAACCAAATGTGTGTTTTGTCTTAGAGACCAGGTCAGTGGGAAATTGGTCTTTGTAAAGAGGGATTCCTGGAGTCGTAATATGGCAGAAGCAGATCTCCTCTCTGAGTGCAGGGCAGTCTTAGTTTTGTTCTTACGTTGCTTTGCATCGGCTGTTGCCTTCTTTTCTGCCCAGGTCCAAAAGCTCTTCGCTGCGACGCAGTTGGAGCAACACGACGACCGCAGCCAGCACCGAGGGCCCCGTGAAGCTCCGCGAGGGCTCACAGGTTCTCCTCAGCAGCTCCAGCGAGATGGGCACCATCCGCTACATTGGGCCCACTGACTTTGCCCCTGGCACGTGGCTCGGTCTGGAACTGCGGAGCGCCAAGGGCAGAAACGATGGCTCTGTGGGCGACAAGCGCTACTTCACTTGCAAGCCCAACTACGGCGTCTTGGTGCGGCCAAGCCGAGTCACCTATCGTGGGATTAATGGGATGAAACTTGTTGACGATGTCTGTTGAAGAACATGGTCTGGCCCTGGGATGTGGGCGTTTTGAGAAATAAAGCGCGCTAAGGAGGCCCGCTCACTGCCTGCTTGGAGTTCTGTCTTGTCTAAAGTCCTAAAGCTGCACCGTCGTGATGCGAGCACTAAACTAGCCCGATTGGAGCACATTAGGACTCCAAGGACATCCGTCTTAAGAGTTTCCCCTGCAGAACAGTCCTTGCCTGAGCGCTTCTTGTGCAAAAGACATTTGGGGGTTGAACTGCCATATTAGTTGAATAATAGGCTGTTTTCTCCCTGGCTCTGTATTGCTGCGCTTTCCCACTTCACAAATGAGCTTTTTCATCCGATGTCCTAATGAAGCCATAATGAAGCTCCGCTCTTGATACGGCGGAGCTGGTTAAACAAAGCAGTAAGATTTGTCAACTCTCTTCATCTTCTCTGGAAAGAACAATAACAATAAGGGAGGGAAATGGCAACATTTGCGGGGTGGGGAGAAATATAGAGGAATTGGTACTTCCCCCAAAGCACAGAATGCCCAGCTGGAAAGAGCCTAAAGAGAAGAATGCGTTCCTTCAGTGCTATGTACGTGAGCAGACTGAGTAAAGGGCTGGTGGGGGGGGGGGGCTAAGAAAAGAGCACAAACATTTTCAGGTTTGTAGTAAAAGCACTTTTTTAACAGTATGTGTGCATGTGTTTAGAAAAAAGATAGCAACATGCCAGAAGCACTTTCAAAAATACGGTCGGCACAAGAATGATGCACTTTTATTTCTCCTCTCTGGAGAGCTTTTCTTAGTTGTTATGGAGAAATCATGTTCTTAGTCGATGCTGCAGCTAGTTGCTCTGCAGCGTTTTCTATGTATCAAAAGCTCTGCAGTAAAGCTTTCCAGCCAGCATCTGGATTGGCTGATGGATCTCTGTTAAAGTCAGCTCTAAGATCATGTATACGTGGAGGTGCCCCCTCCTGGCATGGGCAGGCGAAGACGGAGTGTATGCCCATTTTGGTTTCTGACAGCAGAAGCTGTTGCCAGAGCTCCCCTCTGGATTACACGCCCCTGCATGGTTCAGTCGTAGCCGCCACCTTGGAGGAGGAGCTGTGGCTGATCCTAGTGTTACTGCAGCAGGGAGTTCTCCCTTAAGCCAGCCTGGGATCTTTAGTTGGAATCTCTGTGTCAGGTTAGTCACAGCCGAAGGGGTGAGCTCAGCACTTGACCCTTGGGGCTCATCAAAGCTGGAGAGTGTCCAGACCAGCCCAAGGCAGAGGCAAAATCTCAGGATGTTGAAATAATATTTATAATTGTATTCCTTGAAGTACCCAAGTAGCTTCTTGGCCTACTTCAAAGACTAAAAACTGCACATACACATTTTAAAGTCTTTGTTTCTTTGTTGCAATTTGGTGCCCATTTGGCCACAAACTGCTAGTTGCCAGCTTGGAGGTTAAAATGGTCTTGGTGCTTGCATCCACAAAGCCATTTGCTCTTCGCCGTTCTGTACAATGTACAATAAGAATTCTCTATCACTGTGGGCACATCTTTTGAAAAAGTGAGTCATAGCATTTTGTGTTTAAGCCTTTGCTATTTTTCTGTAATTGCTACAGTGTCACCAGAAGCATGCATCCTAAACAAACAAGCAAACAGCATTTAAAACACTTTTAAATAACAGTGATTATGAATTTATAATTTCTCTTGCTGTGAAAGACATCATGCACCTTAATAGCTTGGCTTATTTTAACTCTTATTATATGTATTCAGGTAACAGAAAAGCCACAAAAGCAACAAAATGGCTTCACTCTTGAAAATGAGGTGTCTTGTCAGCTTGCACTTAAAACAATTTAAGTATCCGTCTCTTTTTTTAATTTTTACTAAACCTTAGCTATTCATAAAAATAGGTATTCTATTTTCAGCGCTGCTGGAGCAATTTTCCTGATCTGCATTAAACATGAAAAAGCTGTATTGCTAATGAATATTTTTAAGGTAATGCTGATTGTGAGCTTGTTTTACTTATAAGCCATCTGAAAACTGGTGAAATGTATTGCAAGATGCAGATGTACCTTGATGCACTGAACCTTGCCATGTCCAACATCTGTTTCCTGATTTTATTTTTGTTGTTAAGACTGCGGTTGATAGTTGTCTGTAATGATGCCCATTGCTTTTAAAATATTGAGCTATCACACTTACTTTTAAAAAATGCTTTATTTTAATGTTGCCCTACTGGTTATGTATTTAGGACACTGAGCAGCAGTTGTAATGTCATGAAGCAGATGTTTTAAATACCTTTTTATGCCTGTAAGATATTGATGTACCTGTTAGATATGCCAGTCTTGAACATAAAGATGTTTATGCATTCCCTATATATTTGTCAGCTCGTATTGCTTGTTTGCCCTCCTCCGCTATTTGAGTGATGAGGCTTCCAGATAAGATTAAAAAATAGGAATGTCTTGATACTTGCCGATGGGATTGCTACACAGTGGGAACTCTATCACCAAAATATCAATAAACATACACAGTAGTCACACATTATTACTTTTACTCTAGTTAAGCTTTTTAGAAAGTCATGGAACTCTGCTTGCATCAATCCAAAGTTGTTCAATGGAGTGAAGCTTTGCTAAGCAATTCTACCCAGATTTAAGCCCCATTGAATGCAATGGACTTACTCTTGAGTAAACAAGTATAGGATTGCGACCTGGCTTTGATGTATTAGAGTTCTTATCAAATAGATATTTTCATGCAGTTGCGGTAATGCACGAGGACATAAAAAGAGCCATCCTGGGTCAGACCAAAGGTCCTGCGAGTCCAGCATTTTGGTCATACGGTGGCCAGTGAGCTGCCCATGGTAAGTCTGTAAGCAGGAGGTGAGTGCAACAGCTATTCCTGCCCAGGTTGCTCAGTCACTGGTGTACATAGGCAGACTGCCTCTCTCACAGGAGGCAGCAGCCTGCCACCGAGATTAGCAGACTCCGATAGCCATAACCTCCATGAATTGTCCCATTTCCCCCTTGAAGCTATTGAAATTGCTTTCCATCAAACAGCCATATTGAAGTACAGTATTTCAGATGCAAGTCTGAAATATGTAATCCATCCTTGGATTTAAGCATATTATTGCATGTGTACTGGAGCAGGCAAGCTCCTGATACTTCATTATACGTTCCTCACTTTGCTGAAAGGGTTGGAGTCTTACAATCCCATTTAGCGCCTGCCAAAATGGCAACAGTTCGTTATTGTTTGTGCCGCCTTAGGTTAGGTACAGGGTCCTCTTTGCCAATTGATGTAGTAGTGTGAATCCTGTACTCACATTGCCATCATATTCGCCTGCTTGCGTCCAGCAGCTCCTCACCCTGTTCATGTCCTGGGCAAGACTGAAAGGGCATCGGCCAGTGAGTAGCTCCTTTCCACCCTGCCTTAATCCCACATGGGGTGGGAAGACTGTAAGATTTTGCAAGGAGCTCCTGGAGCATCAGCAAAGTGCATTGTGCCATCCCGTGTTGCTTCCCCATAAGAAGTAAATGGTTCAGGAAGGGGCTGGGCTGTGATTTTTTAAAAGATTGATGCCCCCATCATTCCTGACCATTGTCTCTGCTTGCTGGTGTTGCATTCCAAAACATCTGGAAGAGATCGGCTTGGGGAAGGCTGATATAAATTCTAGAAAACTGAAGCCCCCTAAATTGTCATAGGTAAGATGTTTAGAACAGCTGTACCTTTCTGCCTCAGTTAAGGGATTTCCAAAAACCAATGGCTAGAGGTTAGAATGCTGACCTCTATCAAATAGCCTAGATCCAGATGAACATTTCTTGACCTTGGAACCAAAATGAGGTTTGTTTAATATTACTATTTTCTATTGGCTTGCAGCATAGCAACCTTGCTGCAATCATCATTAAATGATACACAGTTATTCCAGCTGCCAGTCAGGCCTTATCAGTTCATAGACAAGGCTAATGGGGTACTGTGGAGGTAACACACAGGCAAACACGTCTTCCTTTACAGTCAGTTTATTTTGTCTTCATGCCTTTAGCTTCACTACACTTGATTACAATACAAATACAATACAAAATACTTAATGACCATATATTAGTATTTTATCTTGAGAAGGATCCCTGAAATGCATAGGCCCTTGATTTATGAGCAATGTTGCATAAGCTTCTGTACAAATGTGACACACATTCCTCATGACAACGCTTTGATACGGAAGGAGAGGCTGGGTACAGACATCCATGTGAGGGATTATGCAGCTGTGAAAGAGAGCTGAAACTGTAGTACTTGCTTAGGATTTAGGCAGAGCTGATGGCCTCAATTACAGGAGCAAATGCCCCAAAGGACATTGTTAATGTCCGACAGCTGGACCTCATCATGCACTGCAAAATGACCATGGAATACTTCAGCAAAGCTGCATTTCTGTAAACATTTTCAGAATTAGGATAAAAGGAAACGCGAATGAGGTACTGCATCCGGTGGCACTGTGTTCCTATGCACACTTACGCTGGGTCGCATCCCTTTTTAAAAAACTGAGTCAACCTTCCATTTGAGTGTTCATGCACTGAACATGGCAGGAAGAGTGGTGCACTCAGAGCAACAGTCGGGGTTACGATTTGTCTATTGTCTAAATGGGCTCCCCTTTTTTTTGCACACTTCCAGTACCGCAGGAGACGGGCAACATGAATGTTCAGACTAGCGCTCCCAAAACGTTCTAGGAAAAGAATATTCTGATGCAATGGGACAGCTTCCCCAGCACTGCTGCGAGACTTTCGCTCTCCTTCTGCAGGTTGTTCAGCAAAATGCTCCTCCTCATAGACTAACTTTTTGGTCTGCAAATAAAGTAGATGATTTTTGGTACAACTGTGGGTCTAGTTTTACTAGCTTAATGCTGAAGGGAGTAGTGGACTTAAACCCCCCAGTTCTCTTTTATTAGCTGATAACTCCTCCTTTCAGTGCTGTAACTAACACAGCCTTCTCCAAGGTTAGACCCTCCACTATGGCATTGCTGTCTGGAGGTGATGGGCAATGTAGTTGCAGTCCAACACAGCAGGCAGTATCCAAGTCGGGGAAGGCTGAACTAACATTGTTTAATTCAGCACCCACTGAACCACAACGATGCAAATTCTAAAAAATGATCCAATTTTGCCAGTGACGACTCATTTGGATGACTCTGGATGAAGCATTTGGTGGGGAGGAGACACTTGCTTGCAACTTCTTTTTGCTGTACCTTTTCTCGTAATGCCACAGAATAGCAATTCTCTGGGGCTTGCCTTAATTGTATTTGAGTCTCTTCCGCTGTAATGCAGCATATTGTACCATAAATAACACCTTCAAACACAGGCACTGAAGTAGTTCACCAGAATTTCTGAAATGCCATGTACTGAAACTGCTCCATAAGTTGGTTATGTCCTTGGAATTGGCCCTGAGCCTCTGAGCAGAGAGTAGTTAGAAGGCAGAAATGGGGATAGATGCCTCTAACCATTTTGTGTCCCTGTCTGCCTATCCAACTGTAAGCTTATAGAACTGCGTAAGAACAGTGCTGTCCCGCATGGGACAAAACATCCCTCTATCAAACATCATTATTCCCATTTATATCTGCATTTATGCCTAGGCTGGTAAGATACATGCCTTGCAAATTACTTCCTCCCCTGGAGTACTCCTCCAGTGCTCTCCTGCTGCAGCATAACTCAATCTCTTATCACCCACCTGTGCTAGAAATGTAAGAGGACTGAAAGTTCCATTTCTACAGTGATGCAACCCTCCAAATAACCCTGCATTGAGCATTCTGAGCACCTGCCTCTGTTGAGATGCAGAAACTTCACTAACGAGTATCAACATCAAGTTCAGCCTATCTTTTGCTGCCAGGTATGCGATGTATATACACTTGGAGACTTGTGGAACAGTCCTGATTTTAAAGCTGTCTGCATGAAACAGTCTGGCTTGGCAAGAGAGGCTCTTGGCCCCTGCTGTAGCCCCACAGAAAAGGACTCGGGGAGAAGCTCTTGAAGTACGGCATTCTGGCAGGGATGTAGGATACTGCAAGGGCCTCAGCAGATGCGCTTGCCTTCATGCTCTTGCGACTCACATTTTGCAGACTCCCGAGTTCTACATTTAAGAATTAACCCTGTGCAATTCCTGCAGGTAGGCATGAGCAAGTGAGACTCGCAAGCACAACATCTCCACAAATTTATTAAAATCAACTGCTTGCCTCTGCTACAATGAACAGGGGAGTCAATTTAAAAAGGAAATCCCCTGTGCCATGACTACAGAGCTGTTTTATAAACACGGGGGGGGGGGGGGGGGGAGAGACAGAGACTGTCAGAGGAACTGCAGGCTGGAAGTACGTTTGAGCTTTTCTGCTGGAGCTGTCCTTCAAGGCCTTGGTGGTTGCCCCATGAAGGGAAGAAGGCACCTTTAGTGTGCAATTGGGATCCAGGTTTTGATCTTTCCAGCTAAGGATTCAGGGTCATTCCCTTTGATTTACTGCTCCCCTAGCTAATTTGTGTCCATGGGGAGTGGTTGTCTTCTGCCCACCATTCAAGAAGGTCACACTACCAGATTTACATATAAAATCCAATCAAATCAATGGGCAATGTAACTGGACACAATTGCTGCTGCATTAACTTAGTGGGAGAAATATGATAAACCCTCGAGGCAGAGGCAAAAGGTACGAACTGGCCTTCTTTCTCCTCTTGCATTCTTTAGAACAAATGTGAGAGCTGAGTTAGCAAGAGCCTAGACAACTTCTGTGGATTTCACTGAGGCTTCTGCAGTGGATTATCCCCACAATTCAAAACATCCCTGGAGCAACCATCTTAAGCATCCCTGATGGTCAACAGGCCGATGTGTTACCTGTCCATAGCAGCACCACAACTTTCTAACAAGTGACGTCACACAGCAGCAAACTGTCCACCCCACCCCATCTAACCATTCTGCAAAATGCAGTCACCTAAGACAGTCGACCTGGCACCTGCTTCACTGGCAACCCTTTTCATTTCTGGTATCACTAGTGGCTGGTTAGCACAAGTTTCCAAGTGTGACAAAATGTGACTCTCTGGCATGCCAGCTGATGCTGAGAGTGTGATGAAGTGGCAAGCAACTGTCACGCCATATACTAATTTTTCAGTATGCACATACATGGACTTTGCCTGGGCAAAGGCTTGGAGAGTTGACCGGTGACTGTGCTCTAGAAACATCCCTTCTCAGAATACATTGATGCTATGAAGAGTTTGTTTAAACCCCTAAAGTGCCAGGAATCCTGATGCCAATGTATTAATAAATAATATCCTCAAGTTCCGGAAAAATGGGAGTTGCAATGCAATTCTAAGACTCCTTTACAGCCTGCACCCATACTATTAATGCACAGATAGCCCATCATCTCATTACAAGCAGGACATTCCTAGCCTGATTCCCCTTCCTTCTAACATTTGCCATAACCACCACCACTACGAACATGCACCCAAGAGTAAGTGCTAGTTTTAACTGTCTGATGCTGCAGCAGGCAGAAGTTCTGAAGAAGGAGAGGGTACTGTCTCCTCTCCAAGATAAACCACACCATTTTCCCATGTTCTGTAACTTTCTGCAGTTTCCACCTTGGGGACAATTGGAGTGAGACCCACATTTCTGCCACCCTGGCAAGGACACCATGGTTTTTGCATGCTTGTGAAAGGGCCAAGCTGTAGCCGCAGTGCTGTTTCGAATCATCAGTGGTTTTGGGAGGCCGTGTGGCCAGCTTTTGTTTTTGCCATGAGTACAACATTTCCCCACCCTCTCCTCAAATCTAAGACATCAAAAGGGATTCCCAGGACCCTCCAACATGAAACACTTGGACAGTGAGTCTTGAAGCGGAGCATAAACAACAGAGAGGAAGCAATGCGCAGGGACGGGCATAGCGAGCAACCATGCAGATGATGAGACGCGAGAGAGAGCAGGGCCTTGCTGATAATACTGGCGGTGTCCTGGGGTGTTCTGGCCCCCGTGTTTTTTGGGAGGGAAAGGGCTCTGACAAATTGGAGCTTCTTCAGGGTTTGGAAAACAGAGCTCCGGCGTGGCACTTCAGAGCAACTTGGCACATAACAGAAGGGAATTTGGTTCTGTTCTCGTGCTTGCTGTATGGGTGATGATGACTTCTGTTTCAAGGCTCATGAGTCACATGGGAAGAGGGTCAGGCGGACTGGAGGCTTGCAATGCCCCTGGTGGCACTAGTCCCTAAGGTGAGGGCCCTCGAAGCTGCTGGCACAAGGGTGGGGCCGAGGTTTCCAAGGGCAAGCCCTGCTGTTGGTATCCATAGTTAACGTTACCGCAGGGGAAATGGCGGAGCCTGAACAGAGGCACTTCCTTAACGCTGGCTGTCAGTGAAGATGGTTCTAGAAGAAGGGAGGAGCTTGGCAGCCTTCCAGTCACAATGCTGGGTCCCAAAGTACAGTTCCCATCATGCCCCGAGCCTTCCCTCTCAGTTGCCTCTTTCTCTGCCTGTGAAGTGTTTTTGACAATGGGCTTTTCTGAAAACCAGGAGCCGTACGTTGGGTTCCAGAGGTTGGTGGGCTTGTTTCTGGAGCCCCAGCCTTTGTGGAGCTCAGTTGCAGGATTGGACTGACTGTATGCCATATTGACATGTCCCCCTTCCAGGGGAGCCTGCATGTTAGCACACACCGGTGGCTTGACACCAGCCACATTCATGAGAGGTTTTCCTGGCGGTATGGCTGAGGCCAGAGAGGGTGGGGAAGGCAGGACCTGCTCGGAACCCTTTTTCTCTTGCTGGGGCAAGACCAACAGAGGAGGAACTGCTTCGGGGTCTTCGGGACGCACTGGGACCTTTTCCTCTTCTTCAATGCATGGGCCATATTCCACAGGCAGAACAGTGTTGATGACATCGGGGTCCTACCGGGAAGAAAAGAGGAGATATCAAAGCATTGCTTTTTATTTTTAATGCTTGACGCCCAAAGAGCTTTGGTGGAGAAATCTTCCTTTTACTCATAATTAAATATTTTGTCTCTATTTTGTTACAGTTTGATTTTGATAACCATTTAGTGGAACATGCAAAGTTCTCCAGCTTTAGGACAAAACGTGCTAGTAGATAACAAATAAAAACCAAATGTGGGGAAACACAAACAGGCAGACATGTTTATCTGGCGCCAGGGCTTTGAAAGCTTTGCTCTTAAAAGTTTGGGTTTGGATCTTTATGCATTCAGCCATGTGAGAACGGGACCACGGCTGCCACCTCTTCATTTCCATGCTCCGCATGCTTAACGACTCTCAGGCAGCCAGCTGCAATGGGAGTCCCCCTGTGCTGGGAAGAGCTGCATCCCTTGCGTCAGCTGGGGGCTGACGGGTGACAGTTTCGTTCCACTTAGTTCTTGATAAGAAGGACCAACATTTGCAAAGTTTGTCATACTGGAAGAGGAAGACCTTGACTGCAGAAGAAAACAAAACTGATGGACTCACCCACTTCTATCTGCCTCGCATAATATGAGAATTCAGGTACTACCACTCCATGCAATAATTACGGTAACAATCAACTATTGCCATTTATTCCATTTCTATTCTGACTTTCCTCTAAGGAGGCAACACAGATGGTTGTTCCCCCACACCCATTTTATACTCACAGCAACCCTGAGAGAGAAAGGCTGGCCTCCGCTTGCCTGGTGAGCTCCAAGGCTGAGGTCAGATTTCAACTGGGGGTTCCCCAGTCCTGGACCAACATGCTATTACCCCTTGCAGGCTCTCCTGCGGAATCTACTGCCCCAAGATGTCGCAAAGGACTCTGCCTAAGCCGGCTTTAAAAGGATATTCATTGATATACGGTCCATTAGCCGCTGCAGGTCATGGCCACCTCTGTGCTCTGGCACCCCGGTTCCTGGGAGCAATGGCAGGGAAAGGCCAGTGTTCTAATTTCCTACTTGCTGGCATCTGATTCGTCACCACTGTGGGAAACAGGATGCTGGGCTAGGTGGACCTTTGGTCTGACCAAGCAGCACCGTTTCCTTGCGTTTATAACAAATCTTTCCACCCATGAGCCACTTAAGTGTTATAGTAGATATAGTCAAAATAACTACTTTATTCAGAAATATTGGGATCGAGCAGAAGATATATATTTTCGAGAGTCTTAATCTTTGCCTCCAAAACTCTGAAAAAAGGTGGAATTGTACAGGAAAAATGGGGCATACTTTATGATGCAGATCTATTGGAAGTGCACCCCTTTTGGAGAGAGGTAATGCATGCTGGGAACACATAGGGATAGAATAATTCTGACCTGTCATATTTTTTGTTGTTTAGTTAGCTACTTTTATTACAGAACAATATTTGTCTTCATGCATCTAATTCTGGAATATATCCCTACAAGGTGGGCTATTCAGATAGGGTGTAGGTGGAATTATAGACCTGCACATACTGGTTGTATAAGTACAGAAATGGGGTTTAGTATCACTGGGCAGCCGCTGAGGCCCACAACCTTTCAGGGGTTCCTCTGCTGACTCCCAGTTTCTTCTGTCACTCCCCCCCCCCCCCCCCATTAGCATCTACTGGCCAAGATGATTCAGATACCTGCGTGCAGTATTCAATCCGTTCCAGTATGATGGCAAAATTTGGCCTGTCTTCAGGCTGGTGCTGCCAGCATTGGGTCATGATCCGATACCTACAACAGCAGCAGAAAACCACATGGTGATTGGCGGGGAAGGAGCGAGTGGGCTGGTTTAGGTGGATGCTTGGTTTGTTAGAGGAGATGGGGAGTCAGCACCATTGAACCCTGTGCTTTCTATTTATATCGCTAATGAGCTGAATCCGGACTTAGTCATAGTCCCAGGGCTCCTGCAGCAAAATGGACCAGCCTCTCCTTCCCCTCTACAGGGGTGAGCCATATTCAGCTTGCCATGATTTTCATTCCATTTACCCATTCCCTCCCCGCCACCACCTGCCCCTGGCTTGGCAGCTTTTGCGACTTCCTTTCTGACAGCCCCTTCAAAGCACCTTTGCTTGCAAAAGGAGGAGGGCGAGGTTTACACCCCTTTGTACCCCCTTTCTAATCTTTTTGCCCTGACACTCCTCGGGTTAATGCAGATTTCACACTTTCCTCAGAGAATTTGGCTGCTCAGGAAGGTGCAAAACTGCATCCCACCCCCTTTCTGGGCCCACTCTGTAGAAGGGGGTGCGCAGAGATCAATGGGTGTTCCTGGACAGGGACACATGGATGCCCAGGCAGTTCTAGGCATCCCAAAGTGACACTTGGGCATGTGGGGCAGTTGGTATTGGCAGGTGCCCAGGCAAACTTAGCAAGAACACCAATGGGTTTCACTTGCCGCTTCTCCTTACCCACAATGGGGGGGGGGGGCTGTTGCCTGTGTTGGATGACACACCAACCTAGCCTGGGAACAGCACCACCTGGCCCTAACCCAGAGCTTGTCAGGACAACCTGCTGCCACCACCCCGTGCCAATTAGTTTGGGTTAGCACGACATGACCCATCATAGGAAACAACCCACAACGGGTGGTTGTGCTGTGCAAATCCATTCATTGTATTTAATCACAAATCCATTCAAATCTGGATTTCAGGTCACGTCCCCCTCCTTTCTACTAGTTCGGCACAACAGTGAAGTTCACATTTTCAAATTATTTTACATCCCCAAGGCAGCAATCGCAAGCACATTTACTAGGGAGTAGGCTTCACTGAAATTAACCGGACTTGTTTCCAAGTAAACAAGCACAGCTCTGTTCTGCAAATGCAGCTGCTAACGACATGTCATAAAATAAATGGAGCTAACTTTGCACACCACTTACTAGGTAAGTATTTTTATTTTAAGCTGTTATGAATATATCTGAGTGGTGGGGTATACCATAGCAATGCATGCTGTTTGAAGATGGTGCTTTCTCCATATTTCAGGAAGGCACTCAAGGGTCAAATCAAAAGGAATACAGAGGAGGTGAGGATAAGCTTTGCAGATGCGCTGCAGATGAGACCGGAACCAGCGCAGCTGAACTTGGTTCAAAGCAATGGTGCTAAAAGTGGCTAAAACCCAGGTATGGAACCTGGAGTGGGTTGTATATTAGCTCGTTACCCAAGGACCGTCTGTCCACATGAGGAGGAAATTGGTGGAGTCCTTGACGTGCAATTTCCTGGCAGCATCAGGACATATATCAGCAGGCTGTATCATTACATGCACTGAATTCAGTTAGAGGCTCTTAGGCCATTTGCAAGAGAAGACAAAGACTTATGGCTGGAGGATGGGCACTTTGCACAAGACAACAACATTGATGAGTATCTGCCACCATGACAGGGACTGCTACCTTAAAAGGGCGGCTACTGGGGACATTCATCCTAATACGGTAAGAACAAACTCATTATTCAGTTGCTGATCCTAATGTAGCTAAATTGGCACTAGCTGATCACAAGAGAGAAAGAGAGATCAATAGTTTGGGGGAAAATCCCAAGGGTTCTGGATGTGTAAGAAAGTAGTTAGAAAGTAAAACTCTCAAAGAGGGGGACCCTGAAAACAGTCCTATTAGTACTGCACATGGTGACAGACTGCAAGACAGGAAACCAGGGAGGAGAGTCAATGCAAGAATGCATGGCTGGCTAACTGGAACCAGATGGCAACATTTTGCTGTAGGTGTTACTTGTTTTAGCACATACGGCAGACATCCATCCAGGGCAAAGTAAACTCAAAATGTAGGACAAATTGCACTTATGGAGCATGATTCATACACGGGGCCAGGGCAGTTCTTGGGTGGATCCATCCGTCCTCCATTGGTTACAAAATCCAAGACCTCCTGGTTACTTTTGCTGGGATAAGGCATGTATCCAAGAGAGAATATTTCCCACAGCAATACTCCGAATGACCTGGACATGGAAGAGCAAGAAATAAGGTCATGGATACACATGCTGAAACTCAGGCATAGATATCTGGACTGGGACCAATGCCTTCATAATCCCTTTATGTCAGGAAGCCATAATTGTTCTGCTTGGCTGTGGCTCCTTTAGCAACATCAGGGATTATCTTGAGCTTTCTGCAGTGGGTCAGTTCAGCCAACATGGTAGTCCAGGGGCTCCTGGGGGTGAGTGGGAGAGAGTAGGCATCCCACCTGTAGTGTGTGCATAACTTCTGCTTCTACTAAGCATTCCTTGTGCGACTCCATAAGATTGTTTTTCATATCATCTGAACACGGACTATAGGAACTTTTAAGGGTGAAGAACCCAATGGGAGCCATGGGTTCCTCACTGGGTTATTTAGTGCTTAAACAGCCCTGTATTCTGGGTTGCTTAACCCATGGGCTGTCATGTTGCATGAACCAGGTCACTGTGCTACCTGCAATCATATGAGAGAGGGACGTATCATCACTCCTCTCCACCCCAGGATCACTGCCCGGCATGGGGAAGAAGATGCTGACACTGGAAGGAGCTGCGTTGTGAGATGGCTTCTGACGTGACCAAGTGGCCCAGGAACAAGCCTCTGCACTGCAGATCCTCCACCGGTTAAAGGTAACCCTGGAAGCAGCCCCATGTCTTTGAGAAGCAACATAGGCTGCTGTAGGAAAACAAGGGCTGCTCATCTAAAACCTTCGCTAGAAAGGCCCGTTGTAAAAGGGATGGGAAATCTTGAGCAGGCCTACCAGGTATCTGTTTTAGACGTGAATATCCCTTCCATGAAGGCCTCCGGGGGCATCCACTTGACTGGCAGCATCGCACACCCTCCTTTTCTATAGTAGCTGGCCCTGTTGGAGAGGGGGAACAGAAGAACAGGGGTTGATTTATTGGCTCAACGGTTAGCTGGGACAGTGGCAGGCATTTCTTTTTCTTCTGCTTAAAAAGAGCCTTGTGGCCCTATTCTGCAGCGTATCGATGCAAAGGAGGGAAGATGTGCAGGGCACTCCAAACCCTGCAACGGAACAGGGAAAGTCGCACTTGTGGGAATGGCTTCCTTTCATGGGATAAGCAACATTCATGGATTTATGAACAATATTTGGACCTCCCCTCCCCCAAGGCCTTTTGATAGAATCTTGCTCAAAGGCCTCTGTTTGCATAGTATGAGGAGCCCAGTCATGGCAACGGGCCCATGATGTGGGGTTAGTGGGAATTCTGGGGTGGGGTGGGGTGGGGGACCACAGCGTTCCTAAGTCAAGTGTATCTGTACCATATGGGTGTCTCACAGGGCAGATAGCAGCTTTGCAGGCAGGGAGAGATTTTATTAGGGAAATGATACAAGGGGACAGAAAGGCTTCACAGACCCAGTCACGGGCAATATGACGGGGCCTGACACAACCCATCTGCAACCCGGGAGAGTTGTAGTGAGGCGTCCACCACAGGCGCGCATGCCCCCAGTTGTGGCACCTCACGGAGACGTGGCAAGTGAGATGCACAGCCCTGCGACCAGGGATGCTGAGCCACAGGCCTCTCTCAAGCACTGCCCTTAAAATGCTCACAACCCTCACCTGCCGGTCCCTGTTTTTGGCAACGCTGGAATGAGGCCTCGGGAAACCTCTCTGGATTTGAATTTGGCCTCAGGGTGAGGAAGGTCTGATAGCTGAGATGTAAACAGACCCTCCTGATCCTGGAATTCTTGTCTTCCTCCTGCTTTCAGAAGTCCCATCGACTTTAGGAACATTCATGTCACGTTTTTATTATGCCGGATTGTATTCTTGTGGACAGGAAGCTGCAGCAGCAAATGGCCAACATTCATAGGGGGCACTGCTAATTAAAAGTCGTACCCATCTCTGATGGGGAAGGGGGGGGGGTTTCCACATTGTGTCATGTGATGATGCACTTCTCTAACTTGACATTAGAGGGCACTGTGGGAACAGCAGTGTTGCATTATGGATGAGACGCAGGTATTAACGTCCCCTGCACGCTTTCTGAAACTGCAGAATCATTAATCCGAGTATCCTGGATAAATTCCAGGGTGGATAATTATGTTCCCCTGCCATTTCCCCCTCTTCCTTTTATATACTGTAAACTGAAGATATTTACCAGGGACACAGAGAACGAGTGTGACAGGGGTCAGCGGACTTTGCCACTCAGTGTGGAAAAACTGAAGAAGTGGGCGTATGGTTAGACTAGCACACTCACAACAGAACCGAAGGAAAAGTCTCATCAAAATGAGTAAGGAAACCGATCTGAGAAGGTGGCGTGCGTGTGTGTAGCAAGGAGGTGGCTATTGCTACTGTAAGGCAATATTTGCAAACATTGCAGCACCTTTGACTAGAGCAAAATGTAACAGCCTCCAAAGAAGTTAAACTAAGCAAATGCAGAACCCTTCCAAATAAGTAAACTTTCACTCATGATGCGATAATAAGACACTTCCATACCTGTATATGTCCCGGGCCATCCCAAAATCTCCAATTTTAGCTATTCTCCCAGGACCTTTACAAGTGAGGAGGCAATTTCGAGCTGCAATGTCTCTAAGAAAGGCAAAGAGAAAGGAAGGAGTTCTTTGAATAAAGGAAAATTAAGGATTCTGTAAAACAATGCCACTGGATGAGCACCTGCTCAACTGAAAGGTAGAAACACAACTGATTGACTATTGAAGATCGTCGTTTGTTTTTCCTTAGAAAGACAAGATAGGAGATTTGCTAGGATGGGATTTAAATCTCCACAAATCACTCCAGTCGCAAAAACAAGTCATGCAAAGAATGAGAGGGAAAAATGGCTTAGCTCCTCAGCTGGCAACTGCTTTGAAAGCAAAAACCAAGCAAATGCAAACAAACAAAGCAACCTAGACCTGCAAGTAGGTTTTTCTTCCTAGGTGACCTGTAGCCCTAGGGACATACTGTGAATACAGTGGTATCTTGGCTCACGAACTGAATCCGTTCCACGACTCTGGTTGTGGCCCAAACCGGTTGTGGCTCAAGTCAAATTTCCCCATAAGGTTCAATGTAAATAAGGTGAATCTGTTCTGGCCCCACTGAATGTGGTTGTGAGCCAATTTTTGGTCACAAGCCAAGTCAAATTTCCCCATAAGGTTCAATGTAAATAAGGTTAATCCGTTCTGTAACTATTTTTTTTAATCAGAAAAATTTGAAACAAAGTGACCAACAAAGCAACAAAGTACTGTACAGTACAGTGCAGAACACTAACCTAGGTGGAGGGGGGAGGTTATTGTTTGGAGGGAGAGTCCCCCTCCATAAGGACATTGGGGAGTTCCCTTTCAGGGGTTTCCTCTCTTTGTCTCTTAGCTGCAGGGTCAATATTGGTGAAAAATCTGTCTATAGTCACTTGTTTTTTCCTGTGCTGCATAACCCTCTGGAAATGAGAGGCCACGTTATCGTTCATCAGATTTGACACTCTGTTCATTACAGTGAGGTTGGGGTGGTGGCGCTCAGAGAAATCCTGGCACAGGTGCACTCCTGTAGGAGAGACGGCCGCAATCTCCCCAGGTGGGGAGATGGGCACAATCGCGGTTGCGTTCGTGCAGGGAAGGTGTGTGTGATCACGGGCGCGCTCCTGCAGGAAAGGCGGGCGCAGCACAGCACAGCCACGATCACGCACGCCTTCCCTGCACGAACGCCACTCCGATCGTGGCCATCTCCCCACTCGAGGGAGTGGGGAGATGGCTGCGATCTTGGTCACTACCCAGTGTGGAGTTCGCAATCCAAGTCAAAATTTTCATGAAAGTTTTGTTCGCGACCCGATTTGCTCATGAACCAAGGCGTTCGTGAGCCGAGGTACCACTGTATATTTTTTAAAGGGCTTAAAGGCACATGGCTTTTGAGACTTTTTTCCTATCTACACATGCATAGGATTGTGCCCTTAATTATATAAATTAGGCTAGTAAGTTACTTATATAAAAATGTTTCAAAATGAGTAAGTGAATGATTGCTGTTGGGACCCATTTTGAATGTTGACGTGGAAATCCAATGACTCTTCCCCAATCTTTATTCCTGCTTCTGCTCCTTGATGTGCTGCAGCGCTGAACCTCTAGGGGGCAGTAGTGCACAGCTATCTTTGCCATTGCATTGCTCATCTATGGAGTTTTAGTTAGCCCATTGCATATATTAGGGCATTTGGAAATGGTCCCTCAACAACTAGCGCTTCTTCGGCTTACCTGTGAATGAAGTGGTTTTCTTCCAAATACTGACAGCCACAAGCAATGTCGCGAGCCACGTGTAGCAAGTCCAGCATTATAAGTGAGGAAGGATGGCTCTGAGAAAAACAAGAATGAAAAGAGTGACACTTCCAAGGACTCTCTTCAGCCATATAATCTATCATTGTGGTGGGCCAGTTTTAAGCAAAGGACCAAGAAATCCAGAGGAGCTCGCTATTTCTAACGTTTGAAGAATCACAGTGTGGACCTCTATTGCAAAGAAAGAAAGAAAGAAAGAAAGAAGGAAGGAAAGAAGGAAAGAAAGAGTGTTCAATGCAAGCTGGAAAAAGTGGAGAGGCTCCCATAAAGGGTATGAAAGCCAGTGGGCTCCTGAGCCTGGTTTTCAGGAGTTGGAGGGTGAACATCTTATCCGGCTTTGCTCCTCCGTAGCAACCATCCTTTTGTTCTCTAGGCATCCCATTAAACCTTCCATCCAACCTCTCTTGCAGTTAACAAACATGACTACCTTCATGCAAGATCAAACATTTTTAATGGGGAAATTATCCTAATTGGATTTTTTAAAAATCAATACTCAAATATGATTTTCTGCTTCTCAAATCAGGATCTTTCTTTCTAGTGCAAAAGCTGGATTCCCATAGAGACAGAATGAAAATGTGCAGACAGGGGAACACCTCTCACCCAGTCCTCCTTGTTCCATCAGCCAGGTTGTTAAGCAGTAGCAACAGGTGCAGAATAGCAGGGACACAGAACCTGCAGCCTGTGAGGTGAATCTTGGGCGTCGAGGTGCCTCAGCCAGCCCCGAGAGAAACCTCTGCAGGTCCTGCCACTCTCCCCAGCCTGCCCACCTCTGACATCATTTGTAGAATTCCCTATTTCCACTTTCCTCTGTGCAGAGAGTGTTACAGAATTCCAGGCACATGGAAAGGGACTTGGCCAGCAGCTCCTGCAAGTGCTGGATGAGTCGCCTCGTGTGCTGCAGGCCATCCCAGTCAGAACAATGGACGGCATATGATTCAGCCAGTGTTGCTCTTCCAAGTGCCAGCTGGATCCCTTTGCATGCCCCTCCAGTTGGGCACTTCTGTGTAAATGCCATGTAGAGTTGGCAGCTTGATGGGTACTGGAAGCACTTGAAGAGCTGGATAGCCCCCGTCTCTGTGCCTAGAAAGGCACAGAAGTTGGTGACTCTCCATGCAAGGGGAACAGGGGAACAGGCGGTGGGTGTGACCTTGTGATGTCAGAGGTGGGGCTGTGGGCTGGGCTTTGTGGGGAGGATCCAGCCCTGAGGTCACCTAGCCTTGCACATGGGCCCAGGGTGGGAATCCAGCCCCTGCCGGCAAAACATTCCCTGCCCATGCACTGCATTCTTGCAAGAGGATTCCACTGTGGAAACAGCATGCTTGTCTACATGTCAATTGCCCAGGTTGTTAAGTGGAAGCAACAGGTGCAGAATACCAGAGGCACAGGGTGTGGAATGGGCTTCCATGGGAGGTGGTTGAAGCCCCATCGCTGAGGGTGTTCAAGGAGAGGTTGGACATGCACATGGTAGGCATGCCGAGAATAGAGCTGGCTGGAGCCAGGGTCAGACTAGATGGCCTGGGAGGTCCTTCCGACTTGCTCTGTTCCTCTATTTCTATGTTACTTGGATCAGACCTGATATGGGCTTGAAAAAGGTGCTGCACAGGAAAGCTCCACCCCTAGGCCGAGGCTCAAGGCTGTACGCCCAGCATCCCTTGGGCAAAAGCAACCTGGTGAGAACTGACAGGACAACCTGTTTAGAGAACCGACGCGACAGCAGCAGACCATGATTGGCAGGCAGCTGCTCTGAGGGGAGAGCCAAGGGGACGGCTCCTGCTGCAAGAGAGGATCTCTGGACGGGGACTTTGCTCTGCAGGTCTGGCCCTCTGTGTTGCTGCAGTGAGCCGAGCAGGAACTGTGCCTTAAATTGCCTCTAGTAAAAACTAACCATACCTTTCGAAATAAACTCAGCCGTGAAATGCAAGCCTTTTCAGTATACTCACAGACCGTGCTATTTGTTTTCTACATGAGGCTATTAACTGCTGTATCTGCTTTGGATTTCATTGCAAATCGAGTTCTAAGCTCTACACAAAGAACTTTTCCTGCTTTTCCACTATCTACCCTCCAGATAGCTCTGTGCTATAGTGGAATAGTGTGAATACATAAGTGGGAAAGCAAACATTGCCTTTGCTTTCAGAAACAATACTCCTTTTTTCCCACTCAACCCCCCCCCCCCCACACACACAAATTGCTCTTTGAAGACAGAAATGAATTTGCAGGCTCTTGATGCTGTCTAAAGAACTCATAAATGGCTGTGAATAAGAAATTAGGAACACAGAATCAATGTATCATATAGAAAAGCTCTGTGAATGCAAGGTAGAAAATCTTGCTGCCCCAAGGTGATGTTACTGTCCTTAGGGATGTGAAGGCAGTCGTTTCTGGGATGCCATGCAACTTTGCTGGATTTGCTCTCTCTGAACCTGGGGAGGCTAGAGAAATTCTAGCAGGAGACCTGAAACGGTCTGTTTTGAATGTGGACAGACAGCATCACCTAGAAATTTAAATCTGCACTGTCATGCTTTGCAACCCTAAAATCTATTCTTCCTCTCTCTCTGGGATTCTTTGAGAACCTTTTCCAATTCCCTCCCCACCTCCAACTGGTCTCCCCAGATCCTCCCCATTTTAAATTATTTGGCATTAATCCCAGGCTTATTAAAGCAAACAGCAACAGCATTCCTTTTCTCTCTGGCTTAAGTATTGTTAAAGAAGCACTCTGGACAATAAGAGCATGATAAGGGGGCAGTAAGTGTATTATAATATTTATATTTATATCATGCTTATTCCAAGTGATTGGGGCAGGGTACAGCAATGGCCAGCTGGTTCCTTTTCGATGTGCTCAGAAAGAGCATGCCGGAAATTATGGCAGGGATTTATATTCTAGCTGGAAATGAGCAGGATCGCTCATAAATAGGTGAGAGGGGTTTCCAAGAGCCTCTTGCTAACTGTAGATCTTTATGTGTGGGTCTATGGAAGGAATGCTGGAGTGATTACAGTTTGGGCTCTCAAGAACCTTATCCAGAATTACTGCTGCAGCAGATTCACTTTGCACAGGAAGAAAGCAGTGCTATGTCAAATGCCAGCCTTCTTCTTGCTCAAAGCTGTAGCAATTCTCAGCCATTTATACCAGAGAAAAGCACATCTTTGGACAGATGTGAATCTGTATTTCTGCCATGGGCTCCCTCTTCTGCTCTTATATGCTTTCCTTTTATCCTATTTTGAAACCCCTTAAGATAGGAAAAAGCTGCATTCATGAATTTATTTCAGTCTTCATGTTTCTGATTTTTTGACCTTGATGCAATCCTGGTACCTGAGATCCAGGTTATACCATTAGGATTGCTCTTGGCAGAATTGTAGGCTAGGCTATGTTGGGAAAATTTGGATAAATTCTGTCTGGAAAGCATTACTTCTGTGTGCTTTTGCCTTGTGTGATCAAATCCTGTACTCCTTATCAAAACCAAGCTAAGTCACTGTTTAAAATGGCATTGCAATTCAGTTTACCAGGAAGTATCTTTCTAGCCCAGAGGGCTTCATGTGCCCTGGTCATTCAGAATGTCTAGAATCTAGATAAGGGTCTGAGCTTATCATGAATAGTTTCTCAGTAGCTTGAATTTACATGTCTAAGCAGACCTGGAGATGGGTTCAAGTTACTGAACTAAAGTGTTAATACCCGGCAATTAGAAATATTGTAATCTTATTTTATTAATGTCAGTCACTGTATGATTGACTGACATTCCTTTATCTGTTCTGTATGTGATGACCTCAGAATCTTATTGTAATCTCTGCATTCTGTCATCAATTGCCCTGTACCTGTGACGTGACTGGTGGTGTATAAAAACTCTGTAGTTGTGTTGAAACTTTGCAGCAGAGTTCACCTCTGCCTGCACGGTAATGCATTATCGTGAGTATGGACCTGCGGGGAACCTGGGTAATACAATAAAGCCTCAGATGGTCTGGATGCTTGATCTTTCCCATGAACCCGAGTTTTATTTCCTCTTCTCAAATTGAGATTCCGGGATTCTGTCAGCTACTACTAAGTTTTATGTAAAACTTTTCTTAGTTTAAAGGGAAAAGGAGATCTAGTGCTGCCTTTTATTCTACCTCTGCTAAAGTAGAAGCTTTTTCCTCTGCCAAGGGCAATTTAACAGGGTAATTTGTTTGAGACATGAAGCGTTTGGACCCATTTTGTACAGAGCTGTGGAGCCTGGAGTGGCCTTGAAATGCTGAGGAAATTCACTTTACCATTCTTGCTGCTCTTGTTCTCCAGATGAAGGGATGATGCAGCCAGCTGGAAAGGATGCAGTTGCAGCTCCGAGCCGGGATTGGCCGGAAGCATTAAAGCTATGCATCCCCCTTGTTAGGGCAAACCTTCGGAAAGGTGACCGCAAAAAAAATGACTTCATTGTTCAGCATAATCACCGCTTTGAGCAACAAGCTTCCAGACACAAAGGAGGCTGCTTATCTTCCCCAACCTCTCCTGATTGCTTTTCTACATGCAAAACCCTTGGAAGAGAAGCCTTTTAACTTCTTGGGAGTTTGTTTTGTTCAGAGCTTGTTCATGTTTCCTTTGCAAGGATCTGGACAGCCCCAGGGCTGCTGCCTCTCAATTTCATGTCCATTTTGCAGAAATAATGACCCCCTCACAGATAATTTTCTGAACTAAGGTGAAATGGAAATCCTAGCAGTACAAAAAAAAAAAAAAAAAAAAAAGAGGGAGAGAGAATGGTCTACACAAACTCTGTTGAATCAGATTCTTAGTGTGAGTTAACACTGTCACATGCATAGGCTTTTCTTCCTTATCTGAATTCCACATGGCTCTATGTTTGTATTAAAACCCAAAATGGATGGGGAAAAAATCCTACTACACCTTGGTGATTCCATGTATTTTCCTGGAGACCCTATTGCGTGTTTGCTCTGATTAAGCTTCCCCTTTGGTTGCTTGCTTCTGCATTCGGCAGCACCTGTTGAGGTTTGATTCAGCCAGTCGTACCTAATTTTCAAACAAAGGTGGCAATTTTCCTCCACTTCTGATTTGCCTCAGGAGAGAGGTAATACTCTGTTCTACCACTAGGTGTCACTGCTTGCGGTTCAGGAGGGCAATTGCCATCTCCTCTCAAGGAGGGTCACTGTTTTTTGACATATTTTCAAAGAGGGGCTGGTTTGAAATGACATCAAGAATTTCAAAGCCATTTCATTCATATCAAACGCCCAAAGATGCTTTGTTTGGAAGCAGGTCTGAAGGTGTTAAAAAACTGTCCATGCCTATTTGGGGGCAACAGGAATGAGGGGTTAATTCTGTGAATATATACATAGAAGTAAGCCTGACTGAATTCTGTGGGACTTTCTTCCAACTAAACATTCTGAAGAATTTGCAAACTGAATCAGGAAAGCAGTGTGTGTGTGTGTGTGTGTGTGTGTGTGTGTGAGTGTGAGAGAGAGAGAGAGAGAGAGAGAGAGAGAGAGAGAGAGAGAACGAGTGAGTGAGCGAGCGAGCGAGCACAAACAAACAAGTAGATAGGAAGCCATTTCAGGAAACCATTTCTCCTCAAATGACTAGGTCAGCTTCATGCATTTTTACTGAAACACTGCAGCTCATGAGCTCTAGTAAGGAGGCACATGGCACTGTGTTATAAGCAGCAACAGCCATGAACAAACAACGTCCTATGCTCCCACCTAGAGAACGTGCACTCTTAAAAATAAATTCTACCAAGGAACCAGAAGGGCAGTCTCACACACTGTGCAAATTCACTCTGAATAATTCCAGAGGGATAGTTTTATCAGTGTGATGCAGGTAAAAATTGTCCTCCAACACCTCCAACGCTAGCAGCGTATTCAGGCACAAACTTTCCCAGGCCAGATCTCACCTTGTCAGATGCAGGAAGTATTCCTGCAGTCCTTATGCACAGAATGAAAGCTCTTTTTGAGTAGTTAATTGAGTAGCTTTGAGTAGTTTCATAAGAAAGGCAGATCCCAACATTAGAAACAAACGATCATATTATATTTCTTTATCAGGTATGGATTCAGAGAAAAAAACCCAGATGGTATAATCAATTTTTTTTCTCTAGGATGAGTATAGATTCAATTTCAGGTCATTTGGCCTTGCTATGGTTAACTGCAGGACACTTAGAAGATGGTTCTATATTAAACATACAAGTTGATTATGTTTAGAATAGTAGAATGGATGCAGATTTAGTCAAATAGTAGACTAACTGAAATTAGTGAGATATTAGTTATGAAGAGCTTACAGCAGACCCATTGAAATCAGTTTGCTCCTGGCTCATAACCCACTGATGCCAAAGTGTCTACTTTGAAATATGACTAAATCTGCATCCAACCCAACATCTTTGTGATTGGATTGTTCCTCAACACTTGAAAATCTTTGAATTTTCAAAAGAAAACCCAACAATTCAAGCATTAGATCCAACTATCAGTTATACCACAAATCCAGGGTTTAGCAAATTGTGTCAAACCTTGAAAGCTTCCACTAATCCACGGGTGTTCAACCTGTACTGTTCCAGGTGCATTAGCCTTCAGTTCCTAAGATCCTTCACTACTGGCTATTTTGGCTAGAGATCATTGCTGTAGAGCAAAATGTCTGGAGAGCCCCAAGTTGGGAACTGGGTCTCTTCAGCCTGGAGAAGAGGGGATCTGTTGGCAACATACAGGTATGTGAGGGGATGTCACACAGAGGTGGGTAGAAACCTGTTCTCCCCCTGCAAAGGAAGGCAGGATGTGCTCAACGGAGCAAGGTTCAGGGAACCAAGGTTCCATTTAGATGCCAGAAAGCACTTCCTGACAGTCAGGACCCTGAGGGTCAGACTAGATGGCCCGGGAGACCCCTTCTGACTTTCTATGTTTCTAAGTTGCCCATTCCTGCACTAATATAAGCGTGGTTTTGTGCTATGTCTGCAATGGTCCATTCTTTATAACAACAGAACTCAAGATCACTGAATGACTGGCAGCAAACCAAGGAGAAATGAAAATACTTATGGAATTTGCTGCCACTTGATGTAGTGATGGCTACAGTGTGAAACAGTAAGGGTTAGATAATTCATGTGACTACAGGTCTACGAGGAATCAAAGAGCCTCCAAGTTTATAGGAAAGGTATCTCTGAATGCTAGTCCCTCGGGGTCCTTGCACTTGCCTTCAGGGCTTGCTAGTTGATTTGTTGCAAGAACCCAGTTGGGCCCTGACTACCGGAAAAAAGCAGTCCAGGCTGATCCTTAGTCTGATCTAGCAGGGCTTTTCCCCAGCCCACATTTTCCATCCTGTTTCGAACTCTGTTTTACTATTAGTTTTCTGTTTCTTGGGGCAAACCTCCATTCATCAGTTTTTATTGCATCTTTTCAAATATTTATTTTTCTTACCATTCAGCTAGTCAAAGTGTGACACTACTAGAATCCATCACATATTGTATCTGTCCTGACTACTGGTGCCTGTAAATTATCTGCATGATGAGGTGGGAGGAAGCAATTACATGAAGTTAACATCTCCATGCAGTTGGTGCTGGTTTGTAATGGAAATACATTATAGTAATTTAAAAGCCATTTTAAAATGAAGGCACTATTCACAGTGTTGCTCTCAACAGCACAAATTGCACATCCAGACTTTTCGGTAACATTTCCAAAGAATTCCGTCTTAGGACCAGTTCTTCTTCGTGGTCTCTGTCCATCACACATGTCGCGACAGAGCCCATTGTTGGGAAATTTCTACAGCTACTCGAAGAACGACAGTTACAGGAAAGCAACCTGACGTTCCTTTTGCATTTTCCAGGGAGACTGCCATGCTCACCCTAACCCAGTGATGGCGAACCTTTTAGAGACTGAGTGCCCAAACTGCAACCCAAAACCCACTTATTCATCGCAAAGTGCCAACACTGCAATCAAACCTGAATACTGAGGTTTTAGTTTAGGAAAAACAACACCCAGCCAGTCCAAGCAACTATATATCTATCCTTGGCAGCGCAATGACCGGCCATGCGAAAGCTCGGATGAGTCACGGCTAATGTGTCGTGGCTCGTGACGTCATCGCCTGGTGCTGTTACTCCTTTCTGAGCATGCGCATGGCCCCTATGTGCACTGTTATCCGATGCTCGGCTGCTGGGGTGACTTGGCTCACGTGCCAACAGAGAGGGCTCTGTGTGCACTGCGGCACGTGTGCCATAGGTTTGCCACCACTGCCCTAACCCCAACCCTAACCCCAACCCTAACCCAAACCCCAACCCTAACTTTGGAACCATACGTCATTTCAATATATTTATGAAATGTAGTATGTTTATGCAGTGCCATTTCCTTGCATTGAGGAATAATCATGGTCTCTTGAAAGCTTGTAAATTTTGAAATGCCAGCAACGATCAAATCTAAGAGATCCCTTCCATCCCAGTGGACAAACACAATATCAAAACCTCCTGGTTCATCCCTTCCTTTCCCAGTCAAAGATGTCTTTTTAAAGACCCCCAGGGTTTTCACAGTAAAGCTGTCAAAACTCAATCTCCCTAGGAAAAGTGTGTGTCTCGCAGGGAGAATGGACATTTGCACTTTCCGGAGCTCCTAGAGGCTCAAGACAAATTGCAAAATGTGCGCCATAATGGGAACTAAATGGATAGCCAGGAAGGTTGGGATCTTGCTGCAAACAGGGTGTGAGTCCCCTCAACTCTTTTCCCAACAGATCCCTCCTATCTTTGGTTTCCCATCATAGTTCACCTTCTGACAGCTGTCCAGAGGAACCACAGGATAAAAAGTGGCTTACTTAAAGTTCAAAAAACCAAAAGGAAAAAAGGGAGGCAGAGAAAAATAGGATAACTACATCAAATGCAAAGAATTTTATTTCAAGCTAGTAAAGGAGAGACTAAAAACCAGGCCAGGTTTGAGTTAGTGTGCGGTACAAGACAAAAAGGAGCTACAGATCTCAGATTCCAGGGTGAAACAATCCTTTTTCCTTACCGGCCTAGGCCGTGTCTCCCTCAGGAACGACTTCAAGTCTCCTCCAGCCATTAGCTCCAGCAGAATAAAGCGTGGGAGAGCCTGCAAACTCACCCCGATGCAGCGCACGATGTTCTGATGGTTGAACTTGCTGAAAGAGAGATTAAGAGACAGCTCTGAATTTAACATTCAGCTCTGATCCTGAAACAATTTAATAACCAACAGGTTACAGCTATTGGGCCTGGTTGCAGAATAATACTGCAAGACCAGACAAGACCAGTGCCCGTGCCTCCAAGAAAAAAACCAAATTTCCGTATAGTGAAGGCTGCTCAGCATGGAATAGCTGACCTAGAGAGGTGGTGGGCTTTCCTTTGCTGGAGATATTGAAGCAGAGGCTGGGTAGCCATTCAAGGATGCTACAGCTGCATCCCACACTGCGCAGAGCAGAGGGTTGGCCTGGATGAACTCCTTCCAGCTCCATGATTCTGCCTAAAAATGGTGGGCAGCCCCCAGCCACGGCGGCCACCATTGCTCCACATCAGCCCTATCCCTTCAGTACTTCCCTAAACTTTGGAGCCATTATACAAGGATGTAGGAATGAGCTTACTATTTTCCAGTGGCAGTTCCAAGGTAATTGCCATCGCTGAAAGTCAACATTCACTTTGGGAACATGTTATTCTTTATTACTGTGTGAGGTCGGTGATGTATAGAGTCCAAAAAGATTTTACAGGAAGCCAGGAAAACTATTGTTTGAATCTTGCCTCTGCCATAACTTCACTAGATAGTTTCCTTAAGCGAGTCACTGTTGCTCAGGCTTAGCCCCACTGACTATAGTAACCTACCTTGGAAGGTTGTTGTAAGAATTGGAACAGGATAATACACTTGAGTCTCTCTGAATGCTCTTATATAAATGATTAAATGAATGAGTTAACCTAAGAAATGATCAGAATGACTTTGGCTGCATAAACCAGGCAAAAAGGCAGTTTCTCTCCCCCCACCCCGGGCTTTAATTTCTGTTGATGTGTTTGAAGTGGAAAAGCCATTGACCAAGCTGAATTAACATACCTGATTATAAGAGCTTCCATGAGGAAATCTAACTCATCTTGCTCTGAACAAACCTCTGGCAAAGTCTGGGCAAGAAAGAAACAAGAGTAGAAATATGAACAAGCTGGTTTTTTTTTTTCCTTTGTGGATCTGTATGACCCAGCTACAGATGCTACTTCTTGCATAAGGATATCTTCCTCCTTTTAAGAGTTGCCGCATTTTTATAGACTAGTATTTCCCAGTCTTGGATCTGGGGGATCTTGTTGGACTGCACCTGTTTCACACTCCTGAGCCATGCTGGTTGGGGATGATGGGAGACGTAGTTTAACAGCATTTGGGGACTCCAATCTGGAAAGGCTGCATATAGACAGAGGTACTCTGTACCTAGGAGCTGTGGAACAGGGGGAAATAGCATGAAAAGTTTTCCCCATCACTACATCTCCATGTGATGAAAAGCTACCATTGCTGATTTTTGCCCATAGTGCCAATCCTAATAATTTACAGAGGATCGGCCTTCCTCAAAATGGTTCCCCATCCACATTTGGGATGTCAACACACATCAGCCTCAGCTCGTGTAGCCAGTGGTCAGGAGTCCTGTCATCCAAGCACCATTAGCCTGGGTTGGTGCTAGGCAACATTTCTGGCCCAGGTGCACATCCGGTCATTTGATAAGTACTACGGGCACCACCAAATGCTTGCCACTGGATGCTTCACTAGTGACCAGGGACATGTGTCTTGGGCAAAGACTGAGTACAAAGCAGAGGTGGGCCTTAACTCCAGGTGGCATCTGAAATGTCCATCTATAGGTGGTTCTTGCAAGGAGCTTGGGCCTCGACGTATCTCCTTAGTTGCTGAACTGAACTGATCACGATTTTGTGAGAGTTTCTGGATTTGTAGGCCTCTCTGAATGGCCATATTCAGAGCATACACACTTTCCTCTCAGGGAAAATCAATCCAGTCATTTCATCTCTGTACGTTTCAAAGCCAAAACTCTCTGGGTGATTCACCACAACTCAGACCTTCCATTAATGACAGATCAGCAGGCAAATTTTTAATGGCTTTCTTGTTTGCCTCAACCCACTACACTTTCAATAGAATATTGCACAAAATATGCCCTCAGAGCACTTCCATTGATCCCTGCCAATGATTTCTCCACTTACTTTTACAGCCACTTGCAAAGGACTGGGGTCGCTGGGGATCCCAACCACCTGACCTTCGTACACCTCCCCGAAGGCTCCATGGCCTAAACCCCTGGGCAGAGCAGAGAAGAAACAAAGCTGTCAACATATCTTGTATAGCTTGCTGTGTCCATTTCGAGCAAAATGAAGTGAAGTCAGGATGGTGTGCATTCTGTAAAGTTTTCATCTCCTGAGCAACATCAATATTGAACATTCCCATTGAAAGGACTCACTGCTGTGTTAACTGGGCTTACCTGTTCGGCAAATACCTGTGACTTGAGTGCCTGCTTACACAATGCCAATAATAATAATAATAATAATAATAATAATAATAATAATAAAAAATAATGGAACTGCTTCCTCAAAAAGGGGATAAAAAGGGACACAGATTTGTACGATATTTGCATATGTTGATTTATATGTATATGTGAACATTTCTAAAGAATGATTATAATTTAAAAAGCAAAAGGCATGATCACCTGCATATTTAGATTGAAAAACTGCCTGCAGTTATAGGGCATGCTGGGAGTTGTAGGCTTTTTGTCAGTCCAAACCTGCATGGGATTGTGCCTAGACCAACTCATCTCTTATGGAATAATTTTCTGTGGGAAATGACCTGCAGTTTGACCTGAGGAAGTGGGCTGTAGCTTATAATCTGTAAGATTCCACAAGAACACACTAACAGACTCTGTCCCCTCTGGAACTAATTTAAATGCAAATACAAGACATCTTGCTGTATTAGGAAAGACTGTGCCTAGCTGGGCTGTAAGCCTGCTCAGATGCCAACTGTTGAGATGCTACTTCTGGGTCCCTGCTTTTTATTCTGAGAGTTTTTTTACTTTAAACTGGGCTTAAGTAGGCCTTGCCTTCCAACAGACGACTGTGCTCTGTAAAGTAGGACACATGGCCACCCTAACTGTGGTGTTTTGTAGCTTGTTCTGTGCTCCGTCTCTTAAAAGCTGCGTTAAAAGGTGGTTAAGTGGGAGAGGGTTGTCATAAACTTATGGTTGGTACTAGTAGCCACTCATCAGAAGAACCTGCTAGAAGAACCCACTTAGTCTCCCCTGAAAGACTGCCTGAAGGCAATGTGCCCTTTAAGATTGCTGGCATCCACTTTACAGATGAAGTCAAACAGCTCTAGTTTGACCCCCATCATTCTGAGTATGAAGTTTAATGGCTGAATGCAAAATATGTATAGACCTTAACTGTCTTTTGGTGGTAAGCATCTGCAGCTATAATTTAACTGGACCCACCAGCAGGTTCAGCACAGGGGAAATATATTCCTAGCACCTGCTCCCAGTTAGCAGTCTTGCATCTGTACCCTGAACTAAACCAAACCATTTTCAAAGCTAACTCCATTTCCCATGTGTTCTAGTAATCTAACTTAGAGGGTACCTGAGTATGGACAACTAAAGTTGGGTTATCTCTGTCCAAAACTGGATGTAGCTTGCATGGTAGTTAACGTTCATGGAAGCCACTCTGTGCCATCAAGACTGCTCATTTCTCCAGTGGGGGCTAGATCTAGGAATGCCATGAAACGGTAGGGTTGCTCCTTTAGGGAGAGTGCAACCTTCCGGAGGAGAGCTTGAATTCTACTAGCCTGGATAGAAATCACTCAGAAATCGTCCTTTCTGTGATGCATTACAATTTACAGGTTCTCATCCAGTATATCACTAAACACCAACACCAGTTTGCTGCTTCCACCACTTTATCTAATCAAACAAGAAGTAGAGTTGGGAGTCATCAACATATTGGTGCCACCTCAGTTCATATCTTCAGATGACCTCACATAACCTCTTTAAGTATATACTGAACATCATGAAATAACAAGATGGGATTCTGCGGGACTGAGCAGCATAAATGTCAGGGGGAGAAAACAGATGTTTCACAGTAGCACCTTCTGTAATTGTCCTTTCAAGGAAGAACTGAGCTACTGCAATGCAGTACCCCCAATTCCCAAATTAGCCAATCCAGAAAGAAGAAAATCGATGTGTTTGAAACATGGTGTTGGAAGAGAACTTGTGAATATCCGAGCCCACAGAAAGGTGAGTTAATGGGTCCTAGATCAAATCAAGCCACAACTTGCCCTGGAAGCAAAATGATGAAACTGAAGCTGTTGTAGTGCGGGCACATCCTCACAAGGCAAGACTTAATGGACAAGACAATCATGCTAGGGACAGTCAAAGGCAGAAGAAGCAGAGGAAGACGAACAATGAAATGGATCTGCTCCACAGAGGAAGCCATGGCTCTGCATTTACAAGAGCCAGGAAGGGCTCCAGGGCACCCACTCACAGAGTCACTGTAAGTCAGGGATGACCTGACAGCAAGTGACAACAACGTCCAGAAGGATGCCGAGGCCAATGGCACTGGAGGCAGCTGGAAGATGCTGTTGTGGGCAGTACTGATGGCTACCGAGCAGTCCATGAGAATCGACGGGGCCCTGCCCTCTGCCTCAGCCCTGGCACAGGCCACCCAGCAGAGAGGCCAAGCTGGTTTCTGTCCCGATCGCTCTCGCAGCTGTGGCTACAGTTTGCTGTCTGGCACACAGGTAGGCTCCATCTATAGAATGGAAATAACCAAATTTTGCACTGCGCCCCACCCTCACTGTACAATCATTGTGTGCCAAGGCTAAATTATTACTGAAGATGTTGATTTTTTTTAATAAAATGGGCTTCACAATTAATTATTAAAAGAACACAGACAATGAGCAAATAAATGAATCATGTACCCCGTTAAGATGGATTTTCTCCTGTGGGCTCATTACACAAGCTTTGTGTCACTGCTCGTTCCAGCCTACGATTAATAAAAATGTAAAAATGTTGTACGTGCAGCAGCAGTCAAATTCCATGTGATTTTTGTGAGTCCAGGGCTACCATATTTCAAGTGTGGACTTGCTGAATTTACAGCTCTGGCAGGTTTTAATGGGGGCGGGGTGGGGGTACGGGGAATAAGGAGAGGGGAAAGAGAGCAAAGTGCCTCACATGTTAAGGGGGACAAAACTGGCTGGGTGTATTTGTGCAGACAGGGAAGGATTGAAAGCAAACTTCAAAATGCCAGGAAACAGCAGGAAAATAAGCAATAAACACAGCATAGAACAACATAGGCAGCCCCCTTCCAAGAAGAACAACAGAGGGAAAATACCACATCAATAAAACAAATTTCATCTCAGAAACCACAGTCAATGATATTCTAGAAATCAACATAACACTAAATAAGAAATGGAATTTTCTGTACTTCAAAGGGACACTTGTGGGAAAAGACAGCATTTTTTGACATGTATGTGATGGTTTAGTTGTCCAAGAGACAGGAACATTGCAAACTATGAATTTTATTATTAGAACTTTAACATATCAATACACAGCAATGAACTTTTCATGTTGTCTAGAGGCTTGCATCTAAGGGTTGTCCGAGCAGCTAGTTTAAAATCAGATTGTTACTCATGTGCCACACAGGATCCTCTGTCAGTAGTCATGCTACTGTTGCTGCAATATTGCATTCCCCCAGGATGCGAGTTGTGATTTGTTCTTCATTGGGAAAACACAATGCTTCTCTCAGCCACTTTTGCAACTGCTGGCTGCAAAGAACAAATTACAGAGAATAACTGTATAACGAGCTGGTCTCTGGGTGCTCTAGGAGGCTGAAAAGCCATGCGGAGGCAGTTTTACAGGAGAAGGTCAACCCTTCCTGGCTTCTTGCATCTATTAATATCTGTAGGGTTGATAGTGGAAATAATTCTGCACTCAGGTCATCATCTGCTGTTGTGTCTCTGCAGAAAGCAAAATAGCACCGCTGCCTCCAGGAACCTGCCAAGTTGGCATAAGGAAAAAGAACCAAAGTAGGCATGATGTGGGAGAAATGCATTGTGGGAGTGTGGCATCTGGGTATGGGTCCAGTTCCGACTAAAGCTGACAGCTGTGAAATCTTTTCAGGCATGTTTTTTAGCTGGAGATGGATAGAGTAATATCTCACTGTCTGGGTTCAGACAACACAATAAAGCATACTAAAGGTTGAGCTTGAGTTATTGTTCAACCATGGGTTGGTGTTGAAATGTGGGTTATTCAGCTGTCTGAACCCAGCCATACTCACAAACCATGGTTGGTTAACCAAAAACAGCCCACAGTTCACAATGCAACAAGAAGCCATGGGTTTGCTTCATGATTGATTGTGGTTAATAAACCATGGTCTGGTATTCTGGTGGGAATCAGAAAACATGATAACGTATGATTCGACAGCAACCTGCAGTTCAAGGACAATGAGCAGTCAATGAAAACCTTCATTCAGCCTTGCATGTGAGTAATAGTATCTGAACCCAGCCAATTTCTCACTTTTGTAGAGGAGGGTTTCCACCCTTTTCCATTGCTCCATTTTGCCAATCCAAATTGCACCCCACCAAGTTGTGATCAGTTTTGCTGGAAAGTGCCACAACACCTTGCCAAATACCGTAACTTAGTGGTAGAGCACATCCTTTGTACACCAAAGGCTTGATTCCTGACTGCTCTAGTGGAAAGGATCTCAGGTCTCAGTTTTTTCCTTTTTGCATGAAAATTTGTATGTACTTCTATGTGTGTATTTCTTTTTAACTGTATGCATCAGTTGTGCAAGTCTTTGAAATACACATAATTTTCTCACGATTAAAGTGCCTTTGTGTGCATTTTACAAAAAGATACAATTTTAATGCACACTGTTCATGAATCACATTGCAAGTTTGGAAATGTATGGACTTTGACCATTGATTGCAATCAAGTCTCTGTTCAGTTCAGGAGATGCAAAATGGGTAATTTGATTAAAAATGGATTGAAACAAAGTTATCATGTATTCCTACTAGTATGAGACTGTTGGCACTTCTGACTTTCACTCATTTCTTTTAAGGCTCCTGGCCATGTATGGCAAGCTCTAGGATATCATTATCATCATCACATCACATTGCATTCATGCCCTCCCTCCCTCCCTCCCTCCCTCCCTCTTTTGCTAAATAGCAGAAGCTCCCTGGCTGGTTTACAACAAGGAACCCAAAGTGGCTTACAAGATTTTCCTCCTCTCCCTTTTAGCCTCACAACAACAACCCTGTAAGGTAGTTTAGGCTGAGAAGCAATGATTGACCCAAAGTCACCCAGTAAGGTTCAGGCTCAGTGGGGACTAGTACCTAGATCTCCTGAATCCCAATCCAACACTTTACCCACCATGCCACAATGTTAAATGGTATGTGTTCTGACCCGCCTGTGCCTCCAATTCAGTTCAGTCATAATTATTATTTCTTATTGTTAATATTTATATACTGCTTTATCTGTTAAAAAGTCATCAAAGTGGTGTTCAACCATGTGGATCAATAAAACAAGACTACAGGCAATCCATGTTCCAAGACCATGGTGATGGCCTTCCCTCAATGCAGCGACAAGATACAGAGTAATGCTTCCACTTTTGTTTCTCACCATGCCCCTGCTTTATAGATACAATAAATCAAGAGTTACTTCTGTGCTAAACTTTCCCTACGCTTGATGAAGGATCCGAGGCCCCGTGCTTTTCTTGCCATCCTGGGAGCACACAGCATGGCATGCTTTTCCAGTGATCAAGCATCATAATCACATAGCTTTATAAGTCAAAACGTCCTTGTCCTAATAGCAGCTATCAATTACTCTTGGTGTCAGCACCGAAAGTCATTCTTATCTGCACAGAGCAATCCTTGTGTAAAAAATAAAAAGTAAATACAACTTATAAGCTCCCTTATTACTTCCTTCTGCCACTTTCCTCCGCTCTCTGCCAAATGTGATGATTCCCTCAGCGTCAGTGTGGGGAAGTCAGCATGTGGGTGCGATACGAATGGAAGGGCAGCTTCTGGGTCTCACCTGGCCCGAGTGGTGCCACGTGCTAGTTCTGATGGATTAGGTGCAAAACGAGCTTTGATTATGAAAGCCCCCATGGTCAACCTTTGATCAAGGGATCTCGTGTACTGGAGTGGAGGAAAATAATCACCTCCATGCCATGGCGAAGCTGAGGGTACAGCAGTGGAACATTTTCTCTGACCCAGAACGAAGCAGCTGCCTACCTCTCATCAGGGCAGCAGCCAAGGGGCACACGGTGCTCCCGCGGCCGACGTGGGGCCAGAGCGAGGGGCCGCTAGCACCATGCCCACAGCACCAGCTGGTGTGAAGGGGTGGTTTTGTCCTAGAGTTACTTCATGCTATTGCTGGGTCAGCACCGTGGGATGCAGCCCTCCCAAGTCGACCCCTCCTGCTCGTTGGGGTGGGATGGAGAACTAATCTACTATGGGAACTAGTAAAACCCCAATTAAGGCAAATCTACACCAAAAAGTGGGCATATTTAACACTTCAGTTTCCTACATAGCATAGTTTTTAATTTCTTTCTCTTCTTTTAGGATTGTTCTTTATAGCACACAAGAGCACCTGCAGGGAGGTGTTCCCCATGGTATGTAAGCACCCCCATATTTAAAAACCTTTTCCTCCATGCTCAAAATCTCCCTGCTCAAAATCTGGGCATGCGGATAAGAAGCAGATACTGAGAAGTTGGTAACCTTTTATTCTAAGTGCTGTATCAATATAAATTGAGATGAAATAGCCTCTTGTTAAATTGGGAAATGAGTCTTCAGCCCATCCCTTAGAAGGGTATCACTTGTTATACTGAGGATGCAATGCGTTTTGTACTTGAATGCAATATTTGCAATTATTTTCAAGCTAAGTACAACCTTCCTTTGTAGCTATAGCAAATGGATGATTTTCTTTGCAATATGGCACTTTTTACTGGTTGATCATAGATATGTAGCATATGGAACAGCCAAGTTTCTTGTCCTGGCTCTGCAGGGTTGAAGGGATATATGTGAAACAACACTAGGATTTTTTTCCTTCTTTGTTGTGGCCACATCCTGTGGCCTCTCAACCTTGTCTGGGGGCCCATAGGATTATTTGGAGCCCCAACTCTAGGGTCCTGCAACCTGGGAGCTGTGTAGAAAGGATGGTGCCAGCTGCCTCTCTGAAGATGCAACTGGATCTCAGAGAGGAGAAAAAGGCTGGTGCTGGGGTGAGGAGGCTAGGACTGGGAACTTACACTGTTTCGGATCAGTACCTCAGTCCCCCTCCCCTCCCCAAAAATGGCCATCTAGAAGAAACTCATAGCAAGAGGCACTACAGCAGCAAAGACTGCTGCAGGTGTGCCTTGCTCCATGCCTATGATAATGAGCATGGCTGAAAGATGTTATGATTCAGCTGTTGTATGCTTTGACCAGGTTTGGAGCCTTTTAGACTCCAAAACCAATAATATGCATTGTTTGATTTCTCTCTCTCTCCCTCTGTTGACTTATTGCCTTTCAGTGAATGCTTCAATTTCCACATGTGCATTTTTAAAAAAATTGAACATGTCTGTATGTGCATACAAAAATATACAAACACAGAGTAATTTGCCCCTTTGCAGTGGGGAAATCAACTGAATATGAGTTGACACATGCTTTTTATGCCCCACTAGGGACATCTCTAAATATACATAGAAAAGAGGGTTACAAATATTTTTCTCATACCATCATTTCCTTTAACTTAATAATGCTTGTTCTGGAAGCCCAGATGTGCTAATACCATGCCAGTGGGATTCTTTCCTCTTTCTTTAGCCCCAACCTTTTGTGGAGGGTGAATTTTGTGGGGTGGGGGGAACAGCTGGGAGGGATGGTTTAACCTCTCTCCCTGCACATGGTGGTCTGTTTTGGATTAGGATCCTACATGCTTATGCTAAAGTAAAAAAGGAAAAGTTATGATAGCTACACACTGAAGGTAGCCTGTAGTTAGAGGCCACAGACTGGCTTTCCCATCTCTGGGTTTCCGATTGTCACCATAGCAAAACAGATGCACTTGCCAATGTCACCCTCGCTGCCAGGAATCCAGGTGCAAGCAATGAGAGACCCCGCTAAAGGTCATTGCATCAGATGCCAGCGCTCTCTAAGAGCTGGGCAAATGGTGGCTGGTACCAGAGGAATTACTGAGTTTTATCTCGGAAGGCTTTTAGGATTACCTGCAAGAAACAGATGGTGAATTTTTTTGCCCACCTGGCACTGGGGCAGGTGGCAAGATCAAGGTTTCTCATCCATTCTTTGCTGTTTACAAGCTAAGTACAGGAGATGGCTGGAACTGCAATAGTAGTCTTGCATGCTTGCGAATGAAGATTGTGAATGAAGACGGTGTGTCTGTGAATTATGATTGGCCTGAGCCCAATCAGAAGTGAATGGGTGTCGTTACTCATGCACACCTGCAGCCGTGTGTATGTACGCACAAATAAGTCAGACAGACTTGTTTACCTTATCAGAGCAATATTTTTCCGGGGAACCTCTTTGAGATCACTAATGGAAGTGGTCTTTCCTGCAAAGCAGTAATTGGGATTGTAGTCGGTCATGATGGTGGAGGTGCGCAGCTTGCTCAGTTTATACTCAGGGCTCTGTAACTCCATCTGCATGGCTTGCAGTTCCTGATGTTTCCGGCGGTACACTGTAAACAGAACACAGCAAATTAGGGATGTGGGATTCCCCTTTGATCATGCGTCAGATCTGTGTCAGATGGTGATTAATGCTGTGAAGGCTCAGCCCACTGCTGCGGATCTCACTCTGAGTGGAGCATCGGGCTTAAGAAGCCACATCTGCAGTGATGTGGGTTGCAGCCCACGAAGGGCTGTGCTGTTCAGACACAGCCCCACAGAGTGACGGCCAGGAGGAAGGCGCAGGTGGGGAGTGGCACACTGATCGCCTGCTACTGCTAGGAGGAGAGGGAGAAAGGACTTGTGGTGTGTCACGGCCACAACTAGGGGGATCTACCAGTGAGATGGACAGGCCTGCAATGTGAGGAGTGAGACCGCTTCTCTCCAGACCTTGATTCACTCTCACAAACGCTTTTCCTTATAGCATGTTTTTGGACCATGTGTGATTAATCCTCAGGACACATCAGGGCCTTTTAAAGGGAGGCCTAAGGTAGAATGAGCCTCAGAGGCTCTACTTTATCTGACAGCATCTTGTGCTGGTGCGTGCGTGTGTGTGTGTGTGTGTGTGTATGGGGACTCGCTGTGAGTGGCCTGCTCCACCAATTCTGTTCCACAAGCAGCTCAATGGATTCTGTTCCACACTTGATCAATGACTATAATGCCAGAACAATGCCATAAAATATATGTTTTAAAATTTAATTTTTTAATTTCACCAAACAGTTTGCTTCCAGCTTAACCACTTTTTTATCTTTTGAATAATTGACCATCTTTATTAAGCCTTCCAAAGTACCATGGTAATAGATTACAAGGGTTTGTGTGACATCTTGTCAGTGACAGATTTGTCAAGGTATATTCATGTTTTTGGACCGTGATCAATATAGCCCTGAATCGTTTTTCATCTTCAGGTAGATCCTCAAAGAAAATCAAACACAGAAACGAGGAATTTGAACAGCTTCAATTTATAAAGGCAGTTTTCATACTGCTTTGTCAAACTAGGGTAATGGAAAGACCCACACAAGGCACAAACACATCCATGATTATTCTTAATTTAAATACAAGCTTTCAGACCCTGATATTGACCAGTCATATTCCTTGCATGATCATATCTCTGTCCCCTGGAATTCTCGATGTCAATATTAGTCCTCTGAACAGTGCTGATGACTTTTTCACTTTCATTTTCTTCAACAAGAACAAAGCACAAACATCACTCCTTCACTTTGCCTTTCAAGTAGTACTGGGGGAAAAAAACAACAGTGCAGATCTGATTTGCATGAGAAATATCACCAACAGAGCCAACACTAAGGGGAAAGTACTTTTTCACTTTAATCTCTTGAATGAGTTTCATATGAATTTCATTCCCCATTCACTCAACTCAGGCATCACATATCTGCAAAGGAAATGTATGAAACACATTTTCTTCTTCTTCTTCCATGATTTCTTCAAGCACTGCTCAGGAAAAGGATCAAATGTGACAATAAGGTCCAGTGTTCCAAGGCAATTTTCATTGTGGGATAATCCTAAAGTCTGGTTATTACCATTAAGAGGAAGTCCTTTTTCTGCAAGAAATGTAACAGCAGTAATGTTCAAGTGTTTCCAGCATTTGATTTCTTCACACATCTGGCTGTAAGAACGGTCTTCTGCTGTCTTCTTCCTTAACATCTGGACTAAAATGCAGTTTTGCTGTGAAATGCTGTTTTCATACTCCTTGGTTTTTTTTCTTCATTTTTTTCCAATTTGAGAAACCATCTTCCACAAAGGGAGTTTTTGTTGCTCTAAATTAGTGAAAAACTTTGAAGACAAAGCAGAATATAGGCTGTTATTCTGTTGTTGCAGAATCTAACTGGTGTTTCCAATGTTTCTCCCATTTTCTAATATTGGCACAAATGTGGAGGATGACATGCAGCAAACTGATTTTGAAAACACTCAAGCCAGAGCTTCAGATTTTCTATCAGTATTGCAAACATATTCAGATCCTTTGCTAATGTGGAAATGTTGTATTTCTTGAGTAATTTCTGAAGGTTCTTTAGCAGGACCTTTGTCCACATAATTCTGCTGGTATGGTAGATTCAGGAATCTTCCACTGGTTTTGGAATCTGGAGGTTCTGGGCCACAAGCACTGATTGTGAGAAGAGAAGGACCCCTGAGGAGATTCAGGGTCTTCTCCAAAGACTGTTGACATGTTTTCTGAGACAGGAAACACTGAAAAACTTGAGTACATTTTGGGTGTTTCTTCACTGCTTCTTCTCAAAGTCTTTTTCCCCCAGCAGCTCCACTTCCAAAATGTCATAAAGACTTGCAGGTGCAAAATGCATTTATGGTTGGGCAAGCCATGTCCTGTGTCAGGTTCCTGAAAGACAAATAACATAAAGTTTCCCATTAATGATCCTTAGCCCAAACCTAAACATTTTCCCATGAAATAACCCTTACTGTTTTTTGACAAAGTTAACTTAGGTGATATAAATTATATTGAATTTAACAAGTATTTGCCAACCATCTCTCTCAAAAGACTCTTTTATAGAGGGAGCAACTTACAGAGTGGGTTGGTAGTTAAATTTCTTTAAAATAATGATGGCAAAAGCCATCATTACATTAAAACTTTAATCCCGCCTTTTGGGGCCAATGAGTACATCTGGAATGTGAAGGGAGTGCCATGGCAAGTGAACAGTCACAACATTTACTATTGCAACCAAATGTTCATTTCACAGAAGTCAAAAAGACAAGCAACTTGCCCAAGAACCTCCATAAAAGGTTGTGGTGGGGGGTATAAAGCCACCTGAACCCACCGTCTTCTGTTCTAACATTTCACAGCAGGCACGTCATCTCCCTAAGTCACCTCCAAATAAAATGCAGCGCTGATATCCCACATGCACACGACCCGTCCTGGCCCTCCCTTTTTCCTTCCTGCACAGGACCTACCTTGCCTTCTTCCATGGAGGCACAGCTGCAGCTTTTCACTCGCCTTCTCCTCTCCTTGGAATCCATGTGCTCCCCTGGGGTGGTGTCCAATGACAGCTGTTCTCATTCCCTCCTCCATGGGGGTCCCACCCAGTCAGGACTGTCCTCTAATTATTGGAGAAGCAACCAAGCAGCTATGACTGGCCACCCGCTCTCCTCTTGCTTGCCACGTCTGATTGAACTGTTCTTCTTCTCTTGCCCCTTTTCTCTGATTCTGCTGGCTAATCAGAATGGGTCAAGAAAGTCTGAGAAAACTATGTTGGTGGGAGTGAAGAGAAATGGTGGGCATCATTCTCTATGACTGCAGTGAAGGGAGCAGACAGCAAAGAGATGCCTGCGGGCACTGTGCTGAAGACCCCGTCGCATGGGTCCAACTACGGTTGAACGGTGTTGCTGCTACTGGCATGGCCTGTGGCTCTGACCACACCACGAAGGCAAAAGGGCACGACTGCCCCTGAGTTTGTGCTGTGACTCTTCCCATTAGGTTTGTGGGGCTTGTTGGTGGGATCCTGCAAGAAAAGCTGGCAACAATGTAGTAACTCCCATGCTCGAGGGGCCCCTTCCATGCATGAGGCCCCCTTCATATGTGAGGCCTGGGGCAATTGCCCCCTTTAAAATGCCCAGGGGGACACAAGTGGCCAGTTTCAGGCAGCGGCTGGGGCCAGCCTCTCCAGCAGAGCCCTCTTACTCTTCGCTTTCACAGTGGACTAGGAAGCACCTAATGGAGCATGGCAAGAAATTGAAATTGGCAACCAGGGGCCCACATATGTCGAACATATGCATTAGGATAAGCTAAGATTCCTCTCTCCCTCTCAGTCTCCACCCTACAAATGCTTCTTCTACTTAATGTCTCTCACCTTTCTTCCATGACAGGACTTAAGACTGCACACATGTTATCCCCAGGTAGTCTCTCCTGTCCAAGCACGAACGAGATTGACCTACCATGTTTTAGCAAAGTGTTTAGGCCATGGCAAGGTATTAAGCTTCCTCAAGAGGAACTCGGGGTTTGTTTTGTAATTTGGGAAGGCAGTCCTGGCACGTGCCAACAGTCACAGTAGGTCTGTGCAACCTGTGGGGGCAGACAATGCATGGACAGGAGCTCTTGGTCCCTTCGCCCGGTACAAAGTAGCATCTTGGTAGGGACTCAAAACCTGCCTTCCCCAGATGAGTGCTCTGCCCAGGCTGGCTGCAAATGATGGGAGTTGCATTCCCAATTATGGGAGCTGGATCTGGAGGGCCCCTGGAATTCTTTGAGAATAATTTCAGCAGGATTTTTTGAGCTACATTTTCTTTCTTATATTTCTGGTGCTTTTTTGTTTTGTTTTGTTTTTGCCCTTGGAAGTATTTTCAGATTTGCAAAGGGGACAACTAACTTTTTGTGGATTCCGAGCTTATCCAGTCAGTCCTTGTTCTGACCTTTCAAGATCCTGTGGGAGCTTTGCCTGCCTAGGGGGAAAGTGCAGACCAGAATTAATTGGACATGCAAAAAGTTACTTTGAAAAAGTAATTGCAGCTGGGCATGAAAGTTCCCACAGCACATTCTCAACTCTGGGAAGATTAACACCGGGCTGTAGTGGTTGAGCGGTAGACATGGGTGCACAGCGTCCCACGTCTGTTCTAATAGATAAGTTACTCAGCTGTGTGCAAGGGTGTGGGTAGGAAAAACTGATGCCATAATCCTGTTCTAGTCATTGGAGTAAAGTTTTGAGGTCATCTCTACCACATGCCTCTTGCTTTTAATAGCGAAATAAAAGATGTTCTTTCCATAAAAGATGTGAATGTCCAAGGGAAATGCACAGACACTTTCACTTTAATTTCTAAAATTCCAATGGAATTTAATTTGCATCTCATCTCTTGCCTTGCTGAACTTGGGGATAGTAAACTGGCAGTCTATGGGCCTGATCCATCACTAGACCAAATTTCATTGGTCATAGAATTGTAGAATCGTAGAACTGTACAGCAGTAGAGTAGTAGGGTTGGAAGGGGCCAGAAGGCCATGGGATCCAATGCCCTGCAGGACTCCTAGTTAAACCATCCCTCTCAGATGGCTGTCCGGTTGCATCTTGAGCGCCTCTCGTGTGGAAAAGTCCACAGAGCTGGAATCCAACTTCTGCTCTGAATTCAACAAAAGTGACATTATGCAAGCCACTTCTTCTGAGCCTCAATCTCCCATCTTCAACAGTGGGAATTGTGCTGGCTTGGCAGGATTAGTGTGAGGAACAGAACATAAAATTTGTGAGGTATTGTGAACAGCCCTTTACTGTGGCTATTAAATTGCTTACCGCTTTTACTTTTACAGAAACATTTCTGGTGTCAGCAAAATGCGTCTCAGATGTTTCAAACCACATCTCAGGTACTATTATTATTATTATTATTAGTGTACCCTCAATGCTAATTGCACTTTATGGAAGATAAGAAGACAGGGCCCTATTCAGAGTGCTTAACTATCTATAATTTGACATAAAGAGACAAAAGAGGAGGGAGACTATAGGGAAAGTTGAGGCAGGGATAAACAGGGAAAGAATATTCAAAGGTAGCTGATGGCCACTCACTCTCTTTCTTGCTGACGTGGGAACTGAACACAGGTGACACTGAAACAGATTGAACGCTCCATTTACTCTACCATATGACGGCTTTGCAAGTGCTTTGGCCTACAACACCCATCAGTTCTGACCAGCATATCCTATGAGGAGTGATGGTGGGAGTCATGAGTTGAAACATCTGGAAGCCCACCAGTTTCATGCCCCTAATCTATAGGGAGCCAGTCAGAAGAATACAACATGTGAGCCATCAGACTGTACAAAAACCTACACATGGCAAAAAAAAAACAGAATACAAGAAAATACAGTTCTAGTGTATAGACAAGACAAATTGCCCCTCCTTCTTGTAACTTTGTCCATTAGTGGCTGGGTTGGTTGCATGAGAACGATGCCCACCTCTCCAATTACATGAGCTAGAAAGCTCTAACTCTGCAACCACAACTGCTGCCTAAAATTATCCCAGTGATAACCATCCTTGCCTTATCATTTACAGTTAAAGAGGAAGGAGGCACATCGTACAGGGACCATGGATGATTTCTACATGCTCTGGGCAAAGGAGGAACTCACCTATCATGATTCCCGAGAAGGCAAGAATGAGAGCGGCAACCAGGGCTGATGTCACTACAGACAAGACCAAGGAGAGCGGGGGATTCTTGGTGGGGAGAATCAGTTCAGCTGGAACAGATCACAAAGGTGGGAGACATTAGTTGTTCTCAGAGCCATGCTCCCCGCCACACACAGAGTCGCAAACTTCAGAAGTGGCAGTTACATGGTACCTTGCAAAGGGCGTGGACATTAGGGCTTCTTTGCACAATGCACTTTTGGAATGTTGCATGGTAAGCGCACACCCAAGCAGGTAATGTGTGAATGTGAAAAGGTGGTGTTTGAAAAAGTACATCTGTGCAGCCAGGACTGGTGTTTATATATATTCTATAGTTTAATTATATATTTATTACAACAATGCACCATAGCATGATGTGAGGTGATGCACAGAACATTCTGTGTATTGGATACTTCATAGGCCCTGTTATCTTCCATGTTTCCCATTCCACTTAATAAAGGAGTGGGTGTCTTTACTTACTCTCACACAAATGGAGTGTAGTGGTGTGGCTGCAACAGGATGACAGCACACTCCGGGGATGTAATCCAGGATATGTCTCCTATGAGAAGGAAGACTCATCCATGGAAGGTTCTTTCCTCCACCTGATTTTGGGGGATGCTCCCTGTTCCTGCATCCAGACCATTTGATCCAGCAGAATTTCTGGACTCCCTGTGTAAGATTCTCAGGGGGCTGTTGTGGGAAGAGTGGGGATCAATGCAGCTGATCCAGCTTAAATTTGGAGCCAACCCCTAGTATCCAAAATGTTTTGAAGGGCAGAGGCAGGAAAGCTGTTAAGCAGATTGCATGCACACACCTGCAGGCCTGCCTAGTGCCCTGAATGAAGTTACCCATATAGTAAGGCCATCTTGGAGGTCTTTCTCCAGGCGGAGCCCTCAGAAGACAGATGACAGGGCATTCTCAGTTGTGGCACTGTCCTCTTCCATGAGAGTCAGCCTGGCATCCTCCTTCACATCTTCTTGCCCCCATGCAAAACCCTTGCGGTTCTCCAAGTTTCATATTGGCTGAGCTGGTTGTAATTGCATGCAGTTGCTGCTTTTAATTATTCTGACATGTTAATATTTTTAATTTGTCATTAAAATGTTAGGTTTTATAATTTATTTGATGGTAGGGAATAGTATAAGTTTGACAACAGGTGTGCGTAGCTGAAGCCATGGCTACTTTTTCTGTAAGTGGGGATAAAAGACTAGAGTGGCAGATTTTGCAAAGGCCTGGCATGCACACCAGAAGGTCACTGTCATCATCTGATACACAGAAACAGAGTGAGTCAGAACGGGTCTCCCGGGCCATCTAATCTGACCCCCGGCTCCAGCCAGCTCTGCTCACGACATGCCCACCATGTGCATGTCCAGTGGTGTTTGGTGGTTCCATTCAGTTATTTCACTACAGACAGACACCCAGTTGGTGGGTGGACCAACTCTCCAAAATCATTTGCTTAGTGACCAATTAGTTCTACTTTTCTTCAGCCTACCTCCTTGCCACCCACATATATTGTTTCTGGGGAGAAAAAGTCTTTCTGATCTGAAGGAATCTTTAAAAAGATAATATTCTACTGCCCTTCCATTGCTTTCTCAGCTACTTTCACTCTGAGTTGAAACTGACAGCAGCTTTGATTTCTGGACTTGCCTATTTAACATTTTCTCTCCCCCAGTTTTTATGACTTTCCTATCATATCCATTGAGTGCTCATGTTAATTTTCTGATAGAAAACCATCTGTTTCAATGGTCTCATATCTTAATTGAGGAAACTGAAGCAATGGCCCTTTGGAGGTCACAGATCCAGAAGTGGTGACTTCACCTGAGGTTTGCCCTCGTTTCTGCACAATGGAAGGACAGGAGATCGAATGAACGGGAGGGAAGCAGGTGAAATATAGGGGACTGTGACAGGAAGGTGGTATTTGCTGTCATTCCTTAGGAGGTTGTTATCTTACTGGAGCATGAAATTTGTATTTTTCAACATTTTAAATTTTTATTTAAAAGTACAAACAAAAAACCCTACATTTAAAATGCACACATAAAAATTCACATACAAAAAATAATTATCACATTACTGTGCTCTCCACCACCTGGACCAAAGATACATGTTGCAAATAAAAGAAAAAGAAAAAAACCTTGACATACTTCAGGACATTCCCTGCTTCCAAAACTATAATGATTCTTTTTACAGCTCAAATCCTTTCCCTTTCTTTTAAACAGTTAATAAATATCCCCCAAATCTCATTAAACATATTTATATGCCCTTTTCTCAATTTAATAGTGCATGTTAATTTGTCATTAATAACTATATTCCAGACCTCCCTATACCAATCAAACACTAGGTAATCATATTTTAATTTTCAGTTCTTAGTTATAATTAGTCTTCCTGCAGTAATTAGGTTGGTTATTAATTCTTTGTTATTCCAATTCCACTGTTATTTTTATCAAACATCGAAAGTAATGCAATCTCAGCGCATATGTCTATATTTCGACTTAATATTTTACTGTACTCTTATAAACCTTTCCAAAATTTCATTATATATCCATATTTCCACCACATATGAAAATTTTTAGCCACTTCATGACCACATTTCCAACATAAATTGGAGCATTTGTTACCTATACAATTTTGTAGACATTTTTCTTTATTCTTACTGACATACATTTTAGTATCCTCTTTGTCTAAGTATTTTCCCAACCTTACTTATATGTTTTCCTCAAATCCATTTCCCATGTTGCTCTAAGTGAATCCTGTTCTTCTAATGATGCATAATCATCAATAATGAAAATAAGATACATTTTACATATTATTCCTTTAATCCACGTATCCTGTTGCTTTTCCTTTTCTATAATCATATCTTCAAATTTTGTACAAATTCCTTTTATTTGTCTTTTCCTTATCAATTCTTTAGTCCAACATTCCAATTGCAATTCTACAATGTTAATACACACACACACACACACACACACACACACACACACACAGAGAAGGAGAATTATCTAGATGCTAGATCATATGTAAAGAAATGGTGGAAATCTACAACAGATGGATGTAGATATAATGGAACAAACAATTAAAGAGGAAGAAATAGAAGAAAGTATTAATAAGCTGAAAACAGGGAAATCTCCTGTGATGGATGGATTGGGACCAGAATGCTACAAAACTTTTAAAAAGTTTTTGACACCAACATTGAAAACTTCATTTAATGAAATATTAGGAGAAAAAATGCCATCTTGGAAATACTCTATAATAGTTTTGATTTCTAAGCCTAAGAAAAATTTGACTGATCCAGGGTCTTACAAACCGATATTGCTAATATATCAAGATGAAAAAACTATTACAGCAATACTGTAATATTTCCGAGACCTGATTTTAACACCTGATTAAAAGTGCTCACTCTTCTCCAGCAGATTCCCCCACCACTTCCCCTCTGTCCTTGTACTTGGAATGTTGGCTTGTATCTTGATATTCTTAGCCAATTAGAGAGTCCTGTTGGGCTATTGAGCAGCATATAAATTCAAAAATAAATACAAGGTAACAGAATAGATGAACTCTCACTTAGAGACCTTCTCAACTAACTACCCCACAGCAGAGCCTCAGCTTGACAGGGGATCTACGCAGTAATAGATTTTGCACAACGGTGATTCCAGACTTGTTGGAGGCTCTTGCTGCTTTGTACCCAATCACAGGCTGAAGGGGCTTCCAGAACAAATACGGGTGGGCAAATGGGAAGCTTCACACCTCAAGGATGAGCTGCGGGCCTCATACACTGAGCCAAGGGAGCCTCACAGAGCTTCTTGGTTCAGTTATTAACCGTGTCGCATCTCTGAGGACATGGAGGAACCAGCTCCCACTTCAGACCTTCCTTTCAATGCAGAAGTCCGGGACAGGGCCTGGAGGGCAGCCTGCCATCAGTGGCAGGGCCAGTGATGCAGCACGCATCCTTTCATTATATGATTAAAACGGGATGGAGACACGAACAGCCACATTCAATCCAAGGAAAAGCTTTCCTGCCTACTTCATACCTACGCAAGAGACGCCATCATCAGCCAGCACATGTCCATAGGCACAAGTGCAAACAATTTCCTGCGTCTTCGTATCCCGGTGGCATATGTCATGCTCACAGTGGCTGCAGTTCACATAAAGCTTAATGTTGACTTCACCATGTCCCTCTGTCACTGGGGAGGAGATGACAACATGTTATTTATTCCTGTAGGAGTGTGGAGGCAAAGGCTCCCGCAAGACAATGCACAGAAATGTCTATGAGAGGTCAGTAAGCAGCAGCTGAAGTCTTCAGCACAGAACGATCTGGGTGACTTTGGCTCTTATGCCTTGGGTGGGGATGCAGGTAGTAGAAGTCTGTGCAAGCCTGCCAGACATTTATTTATTTATTTATTTATTTATTTATTTATTTATTTATTAAAACATTTTTATGCCGCCCCATTCGCCGAAGCCTCGGGGCGGCTTACAACAAAAAATTTAAAATAACATTTTAAAATATATACAATAAAATACAAATATACACTATAAAACAAGCCGCCCTGGCTTGTTTTATAGACTGGCTTGTTTTATAGACATAGACATAGACTGTTCACTGCACCTGCTGTAGGTTGAACCTAGCAGGATGCACATCTTCCTTGCATCAGGAACCCTCCCATCCGCAGGGCCTCCCTTGAATATGCATGTAGACCAACCTTCCCCACCTGATGGTCTTCAGAGGCATTTGGACTGAAACTCCCAGAATTCCCATCCAGCAGGGCTATGGGTGAAAATTCTGGGAGTTCTAGTCCAAACATGTCTGGAAGGCACAAGGTTAGGGAGGGCTGATGTAGTCTATAGTTGTTGCTATGTGCTTTCCAGTCAACTCTGACTTACGGCAACTGTAAGAACAATCACCCTCCAGAATGTCCTGCCCTTGACAGCCCTGCTCAGCTCTTATAAATATGCATGTAGAACAGGGATTACAAATGAAACCCTTCTCTCTTCCCTTTCCCACCCCACCTTAAGATGTCATGTCTGATGTTGCCCCAGATTCCATCCATCTATGCTTAATGAGCATATCCTGTCCACATTAGGAGCCTCTGACTGAAATAATTAAACATGGTTACTTTGCATCCAGAGGCTTAGCCCTCTGACCTATAGCTATAATGAAGCAATGTGGTGTGTGCACAGGTATTTATTTGTTACATTTCTATCCCACTGTTCCCTCCCAGGGCAGCTTACATGGTCCTCCCAGTCTTCATTTGATCCTCATCACAGCAACCCTGTCAGGTAGGTTAGGCTGAGAGTCTGTATTTGGCTTAAAGTCACCCAGTGGGATTCATGGCCAAATGGAGACTAAAACCTGGGTCTTCTACATCCTAGACCAATGATATACTCATTCTCCTGTCTATGGGGAAAGCAAGTTATTTCCAAAAATGGTCTCTTCATATAAGAGTCTCCTCTCCCCCATCCAGAAGTCCTTGTTGCAGGGTTAGATGGAGGGTGTTTGTAAAGAGATGTGGGGAAGCTTGCACACATCTTTCTGTATTCACTGCTGCCTGGAAAGCTGCAGTAGGCAGGATGCAAAATCTGCCTTTGTTTCACCAGAATGTATCAGTTTCTTAAGCCCCTTCATCATGCATAATTCAGCAACTTGAGAACTTTCAGAATATCCCAGAAGGCACTCTCCCTACATTCAGTCCAATGCATTCCTTCAAAATAATGTATTTTCAATCACATCATAAAAATCACTGTCTCTGGTTGATTAGAATACCTTTTAGTGCTGGAGTAAACAATGAACCATATTGATTATTAATAAAAGACACACCATCTTCTCCATCCATCTCTGGATCATTGTGTTCTGCTGCATTACCACCTATAGAGAATGAAACATTTCTTAGAGAATATCATTGTGTAGCTAAGTTAAATACATACACACAAAATCACAACGGAGAGTCTTGTGGCACATGAAAGAAAAAGCATAATCCAGCTTTCTGCAAAGTGAGACCAAAAGACCAACAAATGTAAGAGAGATTCTGTGCAGGGCACAAATAAATGAAGCACCAACTTCAGTCGATGCTACACATTATCAGCATGGATATGATGTGCTCTTCATAGACCCTCTCCACTTATTATTTTCTGTGGGGTCTATTTGACTAGGCAAAGGAGTAAATGGAGACATTAGTAATGGCAACACACGGAAAACAGTGGAGAAGCATTTCCACAGGCCCTTCAGGTCTCTGGAAGGCATGCTTGAAGCAGGAGGTATATGGCCAAGCAGTGCTGACAACACTCCTGACTCAGGATAGGACATTCTGGCATTCATGCATTCCTTGTAAGGGAGCATCTGGAGGGAGCATCTGAGTGTGTTCTGCTTAACGTATTTGGAAGCTTCCCATAATCAAGAACACGGAATGCACAGATATCTGCAGCTCATACCCAGCAGGGCAAAAATGTTGGAGTATCTCTGAAGCCCACCTTATCTTATATCTTATCTTATCTTATCTTATCTTATCATATCTCCCAGCTTCAGGGGTTCATTTCAAAAACTTGAAGGGCTTATCTCTCTAGCTAGACTGGAAAGGGTCCATATTCCAACAAAATTTGCAAAGGTTGATTCCACAGTGAAGGTGCTGAGTTGGAATTCATTGGCCAATTATGATTCTATATTATCTATTTAGCCATCTAGAAGACTGCCTTGATGAAAAGGTGGGATAAACATTTAACAGACAGACAGACAAAGAAACAAGAGTTTGTAGCCCTAGGACGCAATACCAGGTGCAATGGCTAGCGTAGGTTGTATCCAAATTTAAGTTAGATCAACTGGGCTCTCAGCAGTGGGTCTCTGCTCCCTCTCCTTCTCCCTCTATTCCCCTAAACATGCTACACAGAGAGTCAAGGAGACCCTGCTGAATGGGGTAAGCTGTGGTCTATAGTGCGGGGCCGGGATCCAAAACATTTGGGCAGAGGGACCAACTGTGAGCAAAGCCTTTCATCTTGCAGGAGGCAGAACAAAAATCGTCCATCTCCAGATTTTTATTTAAAATTTAATAATTCTATATGTATTTATCACCAAGGTGAGTACATCTGATGAAGGGGACTTTAGCTTCTAAAAGGTCAGAGTCCACTATGTATGTGTTGGTCTTTATGGTGCCACAAAACTCTTTGTTGTTCTTTCTGCAACAAACTAAAATAGTCATCCTTTTGGCACTTGTCATTACAGCTAATAAAAGAATAATACCAATAATCAACACTACAGAATAAAGAGCATCTGACAGAGAAAAAGGCATTCATTTGACAAAATACTGAGCATGTATCACATTGGGCCATAGCTGAATACCCCTCTAGGCTTTTAGCTTCCAAGACTTCAGTTTTATAACTCCTTTGCAGTGTTAATAAATGAGCACAGTCCCAGAGAGATCTATTGAGCACCAAGGTTACGGTGAGGAATGGTACTAAATGCATTTCCACCAAGTCATTTGATTGAAAGACTGAAAATGTCACTGTATGTAAAAGTTAAGCTGACACACAATGAGTAGCAATCACCAGACAGGTTTTCTCTTTTAACCTGTTGTTCGATACTGACCCATCTAGGATGGAGGAAAGTTTTGATTGCTCAGAGGTGGCAGCAGCTGTCATACAGATTTGGGACCATTATCATGTACAGCACAGATTCCTTTCTCATCCCCCATTCTAACGCCAGTCAACCAATCATTCCCACCAATCCCAAACATGCTATTTTACTTTTATTTCCCTTGAGAAAGGGTAGGAAATAGAAAAAGCACATTTACAAATGTAAGTAATCATATGCATTTTTCAGAAACACTGGTGCATATTCTACATGCAGTTAAATAAGATTTGTAATCATCAAGCATTTTCTTCCTCTGGGATTTTCACATATCTGGCTTGGATTCACACGACTATTTTGAAATAGCAGCAAATGTAATGGAGTCACCATGAGCAGCTTTTCTTTTTGCCTGAGGGATCAGCTGCTCCTTTGTAACTCTCAGTCATCTGCTGCAACCAGGGTTGCCATGTCCAGATTCAGACAATATGTCTGATTGGATCCAGGATCAGCCTTTTGTGGAGGGAAGGTTTCTGTTTGTGGAAGGTGCCTCCCCCTAATTTGGGGGGGGGAGGGGCACAGGCCATACCCTTCCTCCTTGGTCCATTGCTCACCCCATTTAGTAGGGTCCCCTGACCCTCTGGGTGGTTTTTTGAAGGATCTGAAGGGGGTGGCATGTGGAGGAGGAGGAGGGAAATTCACTTATGCCAGCCCAGTTGCACACAGCTAACTCTGGATCCAACCTACCAGTGGGGACCTGAGATGTGACAGCATCCCAATAACTGATCAACAAGCATTTCAAGATTGCTTCATGAAGACTCCATCACCGCAGCCCCCACATCTTTCTTGTGCTCCAGGCAAAGAGAAGCCTAGCACCCCTTAGGAGGTGACCCAGAGATGAGTAGATGAAGGATGTCCAAAGCTATTAAAGGCTGATGGCAAGGGCTATTGTTCATCTCTTGAGGGTGACTTAAGATTTGAACTTAATTTATTTCATTGCTGATTGCTAGCACTAATGCCTGTTGTAGTCAGCCTTTGATACTCCTGTTTTGTTAGCTGCCCTGGCAACCATTTGTGTATCAGCCATGGATTGGCTATGAAGACTGAGTTATTTCCCCCTTCCGCAGGGATCATGCCCTCTAATATTGAGGCATGTCCATGGCAAACAATCCTCATGGCCAAAGTATTCTAGAAAGCACACCAAAAGGTTTCTGCTATCTCTTCGTCATCATTAAAGAACACAAACAGCAATAAAATACCATCACGATTCAAACGTGCTCAGCAGCATCTTGAAGAGAATGGCAGGGGTGGGGAGCATGTGGTCCTCCAGAAGTTGCTGGGCTGCAAGTCCTCTCAGCCCTGCCTAGACATCTGGAAGGCCACGTGTGCCCTACCCCTGGCTTCTGGCATGTCCTCATGGGAGAACTTCCCACAATGCAAGTCCAGTGGCTTTTGGTTGAATTTGCCTTGCGTTCTGTACTGGCAGGTGCTTCGACCAAGAAAAGGTAACATAGCAGTTTGCACAGTTGTAATGTAAATTGCAGAGTTCTGATTAGCGTTAAACGAAACCCCAACAAAACAACCCAGCCATGGGGACATGCTCTCGGTTTCTTGAATGCATGAGCCAAGATTGTTGCTATTCGATTAAAATCTATATTATGTCATGTTCATTAAAAAGCAATATATACACAGGGGCCCAAGAATTCTGCAGAAGCCACTCATCTCAACAGTATCTGCAGCTAAATCTTATGCAATTTAGTGTATTGACAAGGAGCTCTGTAAACTATAGAAGCCCTGCTTTCTGAACAGCAGGAATCCCGCATACTACCATTTTCTTGGTTTCTGATGATTTGAAAGATAAACACTTTGTTGTTGTTTTTGCTGTTGTTGTTCAGAGAAGAATTAGAATGCCCAGAATTCTGAAAGGAGAGTCCATTTCATCAATGGACAGGTATAATTATGGCCATGCAGATTCTTAGACCCCCAGCACAGACACGTTGCATTATATAGCATTCAAATATACAGATAAAGATATGTCAGCTATAGGAAAATGTTCTTTCAGCATTTTGCTGAACATTAGCACTAAGGGAAGGGAAGGGACACCTTGAACACGAAGCCACTTTACCTATATATCCTCCGCCTCCTCCACCTGAGGAGCACCCCCCTCCACCCCCTCCGAAACCCCCTCTTGTCTCCCACCCCCACTTCTTCATGGCCTGGGGGCAGGATTTTCCTCCGGTAGCGCCTTCCAGCAAGGATTTTCCGGACCAGAGGAAGGAAGTGTTATCACTCCAGCCACCTCCACCACCTGCAGTTTAACAGAAGGAAAAGCAGCTCACATAAGTTGTGGTTGCATCCAGAAAATGCAGACCCCCAGCAGGATAAAATCACATCCCCAGTAGCACGGCAATGGTGCAGGTTTCCTAACAGAGACTGAACAGGGCAGGAAAATCGAAAGTAAGGTACAGTGCATCTCTGCTGCAGGAGTAAAGGGGTTTAAGTGCCACTGCTTTGTGTAAAGGAATCCTTGGGCTGTCATGTGTGTGCACGTGCGTGGGTGAGAGAAATACGTCTCTGTTAGCAATCCACAGCCTCTCTTGCAGAACATTCTCGTGAAGGATGCAGTGGAATGTGTGCGTGTGTGCCAGTGGGGAACAGATGAAGCCAGAAATGGGTATCTGAATGCTCTAGCCAGACTTTCTAAATGTTGGAACTAGGGGAGGCACCCTCTTGGCTTTGGTTCAGGCAGCAGAATGTTTTGGGCATCAGGGAAGTGAAGATTTTCCTTAAATCATAATGGCCAGCATGGGGAATGCTCCAGAACTCTCTTCCTTCCTGCAGCCCCCACACGCAGCAGGTTAATCCCGAAGTCAGGCTGCCAAGGGGAGAATCCAGAATTTAGGGTGCAATCCTGTGCATGTTGAAAGAGACAAAAAGGCCTACAACTTCCAGCAGGCCTGAGGCTGGGATTGCCGGGGGTTGCAGGCTCATGCTAGTTGACATATTCTGGGAATTGTAAGTCTTTTTTCCGTCTAAAAATATAAGATTGGACTTTTAGTGACAAGCGCACATATTGCATTCAGAAAGGTCCAAGTTCAGTCCCTGTTATCTTCAATTAAAAGGAATATATACCAGGGGATTGGAATAGCCTGTGAGATTCTGGAGAGCTTTTGCTAACCCACATAGGCAATGCAATACTGGGCTCAGTGGAGCTGGTTTAATCAGGACTGGCACCAGATTTAAGGCATCCCTTGCAAAGTTGCCCTCCAGCTCCCTGCCATCCCTGGTGGGCCTCCCAGACCCTGGTGCCTCCCCCATAAAACATTAGAAATAGCATTTTCAATAGGCATCTAAACATCTGCTAGTAAGACTGATGCTTCTTTCTTTGAAGTAGTGTTACCCATTGAAAAAGAGGGAGAAAGCATAATAAAATAAGTGCAGATATTCTTAACAGAAGATTCTAGAAATGGTGTAGACATCTAAGAAAGTTCACAAGACCGTTTTCTCAGTTTAGAATAACAGAACAAATACCACACTCTCACAATCAGTACTAGAGATTATCACAATGATTCTTAGAATAATTTGACAGAAAAACTCACCAACAACTTGCTCTGATGTGTCATTGGTATGTATAGTCAGGATTTTAAAGAACAAGAAAAGGGGCAGATTTCCCTAATTTTGTAATGCATGTTTACAAAAGCATTTTTCTGTATTAGTGTACATCCACAGAGCATTATCAGTCTGGAATAGCTACAATTCTTTGATTCCATAGAAAATATACCATTGATAAATTTACATTTAAATCCATTAATCAAATGTAATAAAAGGATAGTTATATAAACGAATCTGAGGTTAAGTAAGAAAAAGCAAGCAGAAAGTAGCTGCTAATCTGCGTTGAGTAACTTTATGTCTTGCTTGATATTAATTGATATTCAAGACTTCTCATAAGCAGAATTCCCAGGCTATACATTTTAATAAAATGGAAAAAGAAAATCTCTTTAATGAATTGGTCAGAAGGTCATGCCTTTTCTACTTCTTAAGCACCATTTCAACAAAAAAATGTATTAAGGAGTAAATAACTCACTTTTAATAAACCTCATGAACATTTGTACTTTGATCAAGGTAATAGGAATAACTGCAGTACAGCCGAGAAATAAAGTGACAGCTGAGACTCCAAGTTCACACTCATAACTCCGGAGCAATTCTTCTTTGCTAATGATAGTGGCTGCGATCCAAAGCAGTTATATGAATGTACAGGGGAAAACCATGTGGGCACTGGGAGCTTGGCTCAATAAATTACTGCAGCGGCTCCATGGCTGAAGAGACAAGCTGCTGCTTTTTACCTTTAGAGCTGCTTGTTTCCTGGGCATGAGGGAACAGGTGTGGTGCCTGCACCAAAGAAAGCTCCAGATGCTTGGATGCGGCTTCTCTCATCCCCACCCACGGCTTTTATCAGCTACCTTGTTACAGCTGGCACGGAACTTGGAAGGAGTGCACGAACATTTCTTACCTGCGGCTCCTGGTTTCCCATTAAGCCCTGGAATAGATGTATCGTTCTCCAGCCTTTCATGGTCCACTGGGTAGGCTTTGGCCCTGTAGGCCCTGCCACCACCTCCTGCTGCAATGATCAAGGGCACTGGCTTTCCGTTCTCCATCTTAACAGGTGGAATTGAGAAATGAAGCTGGATTTTAGCTGTGTCAGACATGTAAATAACAAGTTTGTTCCCCACACGCTAGTTGTACGAAGCAAGCCCCCAGGACGGCTGAGTAGCCTAAATTACTTCTGCATTATTTATATGCCCACATCCCAAAGATTAATAGCGACCATTAGTTCTATCATGTATTGTAGGAGTGAATAGAAGTCGTAATGGTACTGCCAATGGGAGGTGCATAGAGATGATCAGGGCCTCTGGAATCTACCTTTTTTGTTAGAGAATACAATGGCTCTTCTCTCAGGGGTTATATCATGCTGGGCATTGTTACTATTCCTTATCAACCTGGTGGCCCAAAGCCTTCCTGGCATTTAAGACTGAAGGATGACATACAGACCACAGATCTTAGATTATGCATCCTTGTACTTGGTAAAATAGTGTCTTTTGTATACATGGTGTGAAACATTTAAATATTATATCTCATTTCAATTCCAATAAAAGTCACTAGGCTTTCTATGAAGAGGAGATGTACTGTGTTGCTTCTATGAATAAATACTAAGCTGGTTTGCATGTCATGGTAAACCACAGTTTGTGATGGGAATGAGCCACAGTGAGTCAAACCCAACAAGTTATGGTTAATTTTGACCATAGTTTTTTGAAACAAGCCAAGTTTAAATCACAGTGAAGAATGTCATAACACTAAACTGAAATTAATCCAAAATGGAAGCTAACATTTCTGGTCTCTTCCTCACAGCTGTGCCAGAAGAGGAGAGAGGAAAGAATACATGCCATAGGTTTGCTATGCTTCATTTCCGTCATGTCAGACCATGGTCTAACATGAGGTCCAAACTGGGTCACAGACTTAATTATGTGCTTTTAACCACGTAACAGCCACTTTCTTTACCAAGCGGAGGTTTTTAAAATTGAGCTTTAGATGACAGGCCATAACTTACTGTTAGAGGGCACACTTTTCTTGCAAAAGTTGCTAGATTCAGTGGCTGACCTTCAAGTGTTTGTCTGTTCCACCCTTCTATACAGGCATTTAAGCCTTCTGCTTGCTGGAAGATGAAGGGGAGAGTGCGAAAGGTGCTAGGCTTAACCACTGGCATGTCCAGGTAGGGGGTTGCGAAAGGCCTCTGCCTGAGATCTTAGTAGACATTTATGAGCTGCTCTCTTTATAGGCAGCTAGTTGGCAGTTTGTCCTTAAAAGGATCAGAGTGAGGAAAGTGCCAGAAAATAAGTGTCATAGACAGAAAGCAAATAGGTACATAATATGTGCACACCTTAAATATGTAACTTGCTCCTCCACCTCCACCTCCTCCTCCTGCCCATTCATGGATGCTCTTGTTTACTCTAATTTCTTCTTCAACCACAGTATTCTCTCCAATGCAGACTTTGTGTATCACATGGTTGATCTGCAGATGAAATGAGAAGTGCAGATTCAGATAGACCATCCCAGTCTCTCTGCCCATCCATCCAAGACACCAAAAGCCACAAGCTCCTGCTCTTAGGCCTCTCCTTAATCCTAACAAAACAATGAGGCTCAGAGCTGCTGCTACTGTGATAACATAATTTCAAAGTTTAGAGTCAAACTGCACACTGTGATTATTGTACAGTATAAAGTGGAGATGGATTCATTCCATAAAAGAAGCCGCAGGGTTGAGCTTACAAATGCCAAGCAGTACTGTCAAGAGCAGGACATTTTGGAGGGCCTTCCTTCTTAGGAACGCTTTAAGTTGGCCATGCACATCTACTTGCTCTAGAGAAAAAATAATGATAATGCTCCTCTATGTGCTATGTTATTAATGTAATATATGGATTGCGCCTGAGTCTGTGGGTGCTGCAGATTGAGACTACAAAAAAGAGTCAGTGGACTGCATGGTACCTTTTCAGGCTGTGGGCAAGGATGCTTTTGAACAGAGGGATTCTAGTTCTGCCAGTCAAAGGCACTGTGCAGCTGTGCCATTCTTTCTTTCTTCATTGATGCTCCATGGTAAGACAAAGGGCAAAAGAAGTAGCGGAAGAACATGTGAGCATGTTGGGAACATCTGGACACACGCGTGGACTGCTCCCCTGCAAGTCTGTGAATCAGGCAAGTCGACTGCACAGCAAGAAGTGTGTTGAGACAGGAAACACATGGTGGGCATGTCATGAGTGGAGCCAGCTAGAGCTGGGGGTCAGACTAAATGGCTCAGGAGACCCCTTCTGACTCACTCTGTTTCTATGTATCCAGGGCTTCTCTACAGGAGGCATTTATTGTGCAGTTGTGATTCTTGACTTGAGAGGCTTGCCATGATATCTTCTCCCTCTAGGGCCTCGCCTCTTCTGCAGTTTTTCTTTTACAGTGAGAAAATGTAGCATGATCTGAAGATGGTGGAATGAATTGCTAGAAGAAGGGCCTGTAGATCACACTATAGTTACACATTGGAACACATAGGATGGTAAGATAAGGACAGCCAACAGGCGAGGACACAGGCCAGGAGCTAATCTTAAACCTGCAAAGAGTCTGGATGCAGAAGTCTGAGTAAAGTGGAAGGTTAAAAGTTATAAGCTCGAGGCCTTGTTGGTTGTTCAGACTTAAATGAAGCTAAATGGGAAAAGCCTGGTATAATATGAGCCCGTCCCACCTCCTCTTGGAACGGTGCACCCCACTCAACCACCACAGGTTTCTACCTCGTGCTCTGTGGTACATGCAAGCCAGGCTCAAGCCAACTGGCACAAGATAGACAATAACTTTAAAAGCTCTGTGACGAAGAACTTCTGCTCTTGCCTGGCTTACTGTCTGGGCTCATTTGCTGCTTAATGCAATCATAAAAGAGTTAGGCACTCCCATAAAATGATGGCATATTTTTTATCTGCAAAGCGATTATCGGAAAAGAATCCTTTCTTCCTGCCAATAATTAGGGCATTTGGCCTTCATGTATATTTCAAGGGGTTCTTTAGCAGAGGTTAATTATTAGAACCACCGAGCAGGTGAGAGGCAACTGAGGCACTTAGCTTGGAGGAAAGGTCAGGGGCAGAGTGGAAATGCAGGGCCCGTTGCCTGGCCTGTGGAGGAGACTTCAATACAATGCACTTCAGACCAGCTTTAGCAAGATCAACACCAATCTCACCTCAAGGTTAGCAGCTTGCTGGGCTGCAAGCTCAGCAGAAGCGCTCCGTGTGCTCCTCGGACAGAGCAAAGAACAATGCATTTATAAGCAGAAGTATTGCTAAATAAGAAATATACTGTGTGGAGAGCAGAACCACACAAATGCTTCTTTGTGTCCTATGCATGTTTAGAAAGAAAATGGTACCACAACTCCTAGAATTCCAGGCAATTTTTCCCCCCCGAACATGCCTAAGATTGTGCTGTTAGTCTCTTTCCTTTGCTACCAAAACTGATGCAAAGGGAAGAGAAGGAAAGGTTCTGAGTTGGAATGGCGGAAAAATTTATTCACTTTGCATGTCGACACAAACATTTAAAGTGAACATATCTAATCTTGCACTTTCTTATCACAACACAAATGGCTATTCTTTAAAATTAGCATGCCTCTGAATTTGGCAATTCAGTTCTCCCATTTTTTTTTTAAAAAAGCATATCGTAAAAAACAACAGGAAGCATTAAAATGTAAGACACTAGAAAAATTGCTTGCAAAATGTGAATATTATGCAAAAATTGAAACATAAGATTGTTGGGGAAAATGAGAAATTGAGAGCAAATGCAACTGAGACACACTGTTCTTCCAACACCACAAGGTGGTGATGTGGGATGAACTGGTGTTGACTCCATTCACTCCAGAGCCTTTTCAGAAACTGGTGTAATACCAGTCTGCTTTGGGATTTTAAAATTTGCGTTACTAAAATATTTATGCATTACAATGCTGGGAGTTCCACAGTGAACTGTGGGCAATCAAACTGAGGACTCTGCATTCCAAATTCAACCTTTTAGCAACTACACAATGCTGGATTAGACCAAAGCTCCACCTAGTCTACCACTCTGCCTCCAAACGGTTACTAGCCATTGTAGACAGAACTTTCATAGCGTGGCCAAGTATTCTACTTTATAGAGGACAGTCCTCTATTTCAGGTAACTGGCAGAGAACTGATCTCTATTTGAAGAGGTCCTCTTGTTTAAAGAGCTATCCAGGCCAAATCTGATCATCAAGTCAAAGAACCATAAGGAGGAAAAGCAAGGACCTGGATTTAGCACTGCAGCACCTGGACATGAGACAGATCAGGCACAAATACAGAATTCTCTGCTATGGTGAAATGCATTGTATTTCTATTTAAATCATAGTTATATTTGCACCTATACTATGTGTATATGCAAATATTATGCACATGGTTGTACTCTGTTGTCCCCTTTTGTGCTGATGTATCTCCTCTCCTTTGCTGATGAGTAGCTGTCCAATAATCTCATATCACATTGAATGCAATGCAATGCTTTTTCAAGGGTGGGAGGGGGGAATTCAGACCCTTCACTGCTACTCAGCCAGCTTCTGTTGGTTGTACACATGCACACACAGGCCAGGCTTAAGGGTTTGGTACTAGTGTACAAAGTGCTAAACAATTTGGGACTGGAAGAACTTCTCCCTCATCAGCCTTGCAAACCACTGAGGTCATCGGATGGGATGCTGTTTGTGTTTTTGTCTCGGGCCTGATCAGAATCCACTTGGAGAAGGGCCTTCAGCATGGTGGCCCCATTTCTGTGACACTCCATGAATCTGGTAGTCAGACAGGAATTAACACTGTGCTGCTCTCAGTACCTCCTGAAAACATCTTTATTCCAAGTAACCTTCCATGTTTCACTAGCCTTTGGGTATTATGGATATTATGTTTTGATATAGGCTTTGTTCTTTTTTATCCTTTGCTGTTCACCATTCTGGAATCTCTTCAGATATAGAGTGGTATATAAATGTTGTACATAAATAAGCTTCACCCCATCTTCTTAAAACTGATGAATGACAACTGAATGTGTAAACTGACTCCATTGAAAAGCATTGCGTTTAAGGAGATGTGAGGAATTGTGGACCTTCTGCACATGGCATTAACTGTGCTGGGTCATTCAGACATTGCTTGAGGTTGTAACTGCAATTGCCAAGCGATGCACCTGTATGCAAGGCCTTGTCAGGATTCTCATGCTTGTCAGATCTCTTTGACCTACAATGCTGTAACAAGAATTAAAGTGTCTCACTCTCCCTCATGACGGATAGCAGGAATGTCAGCCCAGAGACTATCGAACATTCGCCCAGAAAGAAAGTATCCTTATGAGATAACAGGTTCAGATGATCATCCGAATGCAATTTTGCCTTGACGCACTTTTGCCTTCACACGGAAGTGCTTTGCAAGGGGAATGGAGCTTGATCCACAGCAACCAAAGCCTTAATTTATACATCTGCAGTTAGCTTTGTTGATCAATAGGACTCCCCCAGAGTTCGCCCACAGAAGGCTGCTGGTGCCATAAAAAACCAACACCTGCTAGCTCTAATTCACAATTGGAGAAGGGATGGTTAATCAAATGACTTAGTGCAATGACCCAGAGAAACCAATAGATCACAATTGGATTTTTTTAAGAAGACTTCATGGCAAAGACATAACTGATTACAATCCAATCAAGTTAAAGCCACTTCCACAAGTCAATGCAATCTCTTTGCCTCGATGAAAGAATTACATTAGCACTCAATAAATCCTTGCTAAGATTACAGTGGCCTGTAATTTAATGACTCCATATATTATACTGCACTGCAATGCCCAGATTATGGATACAAAATAAGAAAGGGAGTCTGAATAGTTCTCATTCCAAAAAAATTAAGCTCTTGCATTTGTGTGCATAATAGGTAGGGGTGCGAAAGAGCATTCACCCTCCCCGTCCAAGGCTTTTTCGGTTGCTGCATGAAGAACGTTTGCACTGGAGACCCCCATTTCTTTGGTTTGCCCTATAATGACATCATAAACATCTGGTCTCTGTTCCTTAGACATCTGAACAATGCTCTGGCCAAGACCTTTGCAGAATGTGAAACCTCAGAGCAATAGCACTATGCATTGTTTTATAAAAAACCATTTCACATTTCTCTCATTTTGGAGTTTTCACGTAAGGGCACAAAAACAAGTTCAAAAAAAGCCACTCTAGGAAGGAAAAGATCTTGTTCTACACAAAGCAGCATGGCCAGGAGCTTAATCCAGTGGCATTGCCACTCCCTTTCCCCAAGTAAATCACAATTGGCTGTTCATGTTCCCTGAATTTTATGGGACTGGAGAAGTGGCAACCTCGGAGGGCAGCTCCATCATCAGGAGCACAGAGCCTCTTTCAACCCAATGGAGAAGCTTTCTCGAGCCACATTCTAGCAGTGGATGGCGCTGAAGAGAAAGGGGTGGGAGGCCAAAAGTCAAAGGGTGGAATCAAAAGCACCAGGACACTGTAGCTTAAATCCCTGACTTACTCAATTAGGACAGGCTTGTCAACCTTTTGGGATGAGGGAACCGCTGCACAAAAGCCTGGAATCCACCCAGTGAACACTGGCTGGGAGAAGCGGGTGGAGCATGCTGGGGAATGTGGAGGGCCAGAGTGTGGCCCACAGAGGCCTAGAGGTTCTTCCCATGGCTGCATTCCTGTCCTCCCCAGAACCAGGTAAGCTGTACCCTTTGGGAGAGGGAAAGGTGTGAGTGGAGGGGGAGGAGCACAGCAAGGCTGGGGCAGGGCTGGGGCCGTGCTCCTCCCAGGATGCCACCAGTACCAGTCACTCCTCCGCACCCCAGTGCCTGATGAGCGGCGTTTACCTGGTCCTGGCAGCAGCGTCAGGTGGGAGCCAAGCTCCCACTGGGCTCCCGGTCACCAGACTTGGTGGTCAGCCACCATTTTAAATCCTTGCAATTAAAATATTCGATGTGGAGGACAGGTGGAGAAGGGACTGTGAGCGACTCTCAAGGGAGGCAGCAGCAGGCACAGGGGTGGGTGGATGATTGGCTTTTGCTTGCCTGCTTTGGACAGAGGAATGGTCTTGGCTTCTGTCTTTGCCCTGGATCACAGACAGCCTTGGTGGAAGGTTGGTCTGGCAGGAGAGCAGGCTAATTGCTAGGCCAAGTGCCACAGGGAGAATACCGAGAAGCCCAATCAGCCAAGATCCCAGCAACAAGAACAACAGTGACACAAACAATAACACACTTTTGTCAGGAGGGATGATCACTCACACTAGGACAGGCATCTTCTCCTTGTTGTCCCACCAAAATATACAAGGTTTCATTCTTCTGGAGCTTAAATATCCCCACCACATTCACACCGTGTGACCTCATTATAGTGTTCTTTCCTTTGCCACCAGCTGCCCCATAGCCTGAGATGCTGCAAGTAAAAGAAAAGAAAGAAGCCAAAGGCACAAGTGGAATAAATCTGGCACATCAAATGCAATTGGAACCATCTATTCTGAGCACAGAATAACCTTGCATTCCCTGGTGCAAAATTTTCCAGACACTTAATTTTCTCATTTTTCTTTCTTTCATTCCTTTTTTTACTAAGCTGTTCCTCTTGGCTCGGCCACAGTGATGAGTTTAATGATACCTTGACATGGTGCCCTTCCAAGACAGCCAGATCCAAGCGAAGGCCTGGCCATGCCAGCTTGGCTGCAGATCACCACCCGATTCCCAAAACAGAGGGGATTCTTGGAATCTGACCTGACAATGTTCGTGTGTCACTTTCTGTAATCCAAGCAATCATTCCTCAACAAGGCAGCCTGGACACCAGAGAAGAAGCAGCAGTCACAGGATAGGGTCCTGTGAACAGATGCTATGAGAAGCAGGAGCCATTCAGCCGATTTTTAGCAGGAAGCTATAACAGCTAATGAGGTGCACTATTGAGCAAGGCAAGCTGGCAGGGCTAATTGGCTGCAATTAGGGGCCATATTTTTCCATGTATGAGTAGATTTTGCATATAAGCAATAAAGCCAGGAACCCAGAGAGACGCTGCTAGTGCCTCATTCACCAGCTGTGAAGAAAGCAGAGCAGCTAACTCTGGGTCACGGCTACTCCACGTTTATCAAAGCCAATGGCTACAAAGAGGTTATTTGTTCTGCCATCAGTAACAGGCTGCAAATTTGCGCATTTCTTATGAGTGCTGTTGGCCACCTCGTTGGAATAAGTTGCTGGAGTAATAGGAATAGATAAAACAGCCCTCTCTATAAGCTCCCTGCATCTCGAAATAGGAATCTGGATCTGCAAAAAAGACTTGGCATTGTTGTTGCTATGCTTAACACGGAGTGGCAGGGGTCAACTTTTAAATGAGATGTCATTTGATGTGATAAAGTTTGGGAGAAAAAGCAAAAAGGAAGCTATATGCAGCTCATGGGAAAGACAGACATCAAGGCAGGTGTATGAAGCTTGCTGCCATTTTCCAAGCTTGCTTTGCTAATAGCAAAAGAGAGTCACCTTTGAGCAAAACCTTTATATCTCCAAAACTTTCTTTTGTTTTTCAAGAACTCAGGCAAAGAGATAAGGATGGTTTTGCACTTGTTCCAAAAAATGAGTACAAAATACACACGGTTATGAGGAGTACACACATTTGCTTTCAAAATGGGTGAGAAAAGGAACATTGGGACAAATGGATAGTTTTCTGCTCACAGCTTTAGCATATCTTGGAGGGAAAAGCCAAAATGCCCAGCTGTGACCCACGCTGTAATTGGCAAGCTTTGCATCAAGTTTCGACTGGTATGAACAAGCGCATGGCACATGTGCAGATCTGTCATACTTAGAGCAGAATAATTGAACTCAGTGGGAAGTGAATCACAATGAACTTACGCTCCATTTAGTTCAGATTTCGTTACACTCTAAGTATAACTACATCTGGATCCAACAAAACACACAAAACTCTGCGGAAGGGTTACCACTGACCAGAAAAAGGGGGAGGTTATGCAGTAAAGCTAAAAGGCTAGAGATAATGATTCATGATCCAGTCAGAGCTCAAAGCTACAATGCTCAGGACAAACTGACACGGGTGCTTTATTCCACTGCTGTAATGCTTGTCTCACACACGAGGCACAGGCGCAGGCCACATTGCTCTGACATGATTTCTCCCTCAGTATTTTTGCAGCTACTTCTGACCATGCTCATTTAGCCAAGCAGCCTGTGCGGTGAGAGGCACGGAGCCGTGAATTGCTGTGTGATTGCCGTTTGAGCTTCTGCTGCTTCACACTATCAAACATGTGAAGGAAGAAGAAGAGCAAAGGGAAGCCACTGGGCAGCCGACGGATGCCAGCAATGGCATACAGGACCTCCCAAAGCCCTCCGACTTCTCCCACAGTTCCACTTGCATGTGGAACGCAGCCGCGTTGTAAGCATGGTGGACAAGGCATGGCATTCATCAGCGCATGTTGCCGCAGTGCCAACTGTGTTTTGAAAAGGTGTGGGGGTGCCTCACACACAAAAGATGCTCTAGTACAGCTCCTTTGCTTCTCATTCCTGCTGTGTTCTATTCTCTCTCGTCTCCTCCCAGCAAAATCAATCTGGAGACAGAAAGCTTTCAAAGCAGAGAGCTTTTGGTTCTGCTCACAATTGATCAGGGAGAAAGGAAGGTGAATAGGGAAAAAAAGCAATTGTCTAGCTGCTTACTTGGGAGTGAGCCCCACTTAACACCGTGCAACCTACTTCTGAAGAAATTCATAGAAAGGAAGCCAGTGCAGCTAAACCCAGCTTCTCAAGTCAAGTCCCTTCTCTGGAGTCCTCGGCATTCCATCTTTGACCTAAAAGGACAAGGCACCTTTGCTCTGACGGGGGGAATTTGTCTGACTTTCTGCCTAGACTTCAACAGCCGGTGGTATTGCAGCGCTGAAAACAAAGAGGTACCTCAGTGGATTTCAGTGCCATGCAAGGAGCTACTGGGAGGGGTGGGCTTATTCTTGCAAAAGCGCATAGGAGGGATTTTTAGGCAGAGTTTTGTTAAGAGAACCCCATCTCCATTACCAAAACAGCATCTTGTGAAGAGTCAGGCAAGTTCTATTTGCCCTCAGGTGGCTTTGAAGCCCACATTTACGATGGCACATCAGCTGCACAGGCGATTTTATGGCCATCCACAGAGATGACATCAAGATGGTTGGAAAGTCTTTGGGGTGAGGTTAGCCCTGAACACACAAGCATGATAAGCCTCCGGTGCTCTGTATGAACCGGTGCTCCAAAGCACGCACTCAGAGGGGACACATTACCAATTGGCAGGAGAGGCTGGTGACACCTGTCGCACTGGGGTGCTTATCCAGTGCAGCTTTTATTTTGGGGAAGCTTATCTCCACCCCCAAAATAGGTTCATCACTGGAAAGTACCATGGACATCTCCTATGAAGTTCAAATGAAAGCTGCATCGGAGTCACCTGCCTTCCCTGCCAATTGCCTATAGAATTCTAGCCCTGTCCATAGAATTGCTGGCTGAAGCTGATGGGAATTGTAGTCCAACATTTCTGATGGACACTACATCAAGGAAGGCTGTATTTGACACTTTTTCTTTGGGGGAACTACCCACAAAATTTGACACAAAGGCTGGTATTGAAGAACCAGCATCCAATCTCTTTTTTAACACAACATTGTTCTCAAGCCAAGCATCCAACCCATGATGCACAGCATGCTTTATAGACAGTCCCAAATAGCAAAATTCTTCAGCCAGGACCAATAAGGGAACTGAGACACAGACTCCTGGGAAGGTAACAGCCAAAGGACGCAGGCCAAATTGATGCTGGTTACCAAATGCAAAAGGCATTCATGGTGGTTGCTCTCAGGGCAGGATGTCCACTCCAATTACAGTGCTTGTGTGGAATCCCAAGTAAGCTGGTATCGCCTGGCATGAAATGTGCGACTGCCATGTCTGGGCTGCGTGGAAGATGCTGCATGACCCAGCAGAACTCTAACATAACTGGCACTGATTCTTGAAAAGCAAGCCACAAAATCCACAACTTCCTCTAAAATGGGAGCCCGTATATTGATGACTTGTAACTTTTGATCTACTTGCCAAAGTATCATGGAACAAAATCAGCCCAGGGAAATGGGTGGATTTTGTTTCTTCCTCAGGCATTAACATTAAAGAAATGAGACTTCTGTGCATATAATTTACTACTCCTCTCTTTTACTTTGGGGTAATATTTTATATGCGTATATACTATATGCCAGCCTTGAAAAATTCTTCTCACCCATTCCCCCACAGGCAAGTCATTCTTTTCTGGGTGAGTGAAACATCATTAGTTTTTTCATTATCATCAATCGCCCCGAAAATGGGCAGGCGAGCAGATTTGGTGCCTCTCCTAGTCAACTTCACCAGGCTCCTTCTCTTTGTTATTTTGTGTAGCTGTAATATGAGTCACCGAGGATGGCTCAGAGTCCAATGTCTGTCGTGCAATGACATTTTCTCCCAGTCAGAACAGAGCTGCGTGAGAATCGGCTGGCACACACACATAATTTCAATTAAACTGCATGAAATTCGATGCCTCGATTCTCAACCGCGGTGGAGAAAGTGATTAGTTTAATGGGGCTGACTATATGCTGCAGTTCAGGGCAGAGATGGGAGAGAATTTAGTTTTGTCCACATTTCTCGGTGAACACATGTAAAATGCACTTCTTGGGTTAATATGAAGATAAGAGCAGTTATCTTCCAACTGAGTGCTTGATTTTTTAAATGCAATTCTTGGCTCAAAACTTAGATACAAAATGTGTACATTGGGGAAAGTCACATACAAAAATGCATATACTGGGGTGTGGGGGTTGTGTTAGAGAAAACTAAATAGGAAAATTTTTCATGCATTTTTGTATGCATGTGTGTGCGTTTGAGTGCAGACCCTGTAGAGAAATAGATTAATTTTCCCAGTCAGTACCAATATGCATATAAAATTTGTATTTTAGGCTAAAATGTATATCAAATGCATACTGTATGGTAAAATGTCAGCCAAAATGCATGGTTTGTCAAAATATGTTCTCAATTCATGCAAATTTCTGTACATTTGCAAATGGACATAAAGACAGCGCAAGCACATGTGAAACTGGCATTGATTGGAAAAAGGCTGATCTGTCTATCTCTACCTCCAGTGCTTCTCTCGTTCAACTTCTTTTTCACAAATCCTCTCCTGTCCTAGTTCCTGGGCACCATTCAGGACTGGGTCCGGTTGTCACCCCTTCGGTCAGTTTCATGATCAGCTTTCCCAAGGCATAGTTCAATGGCATATCTAGACATGTTCTTGCAACTCTAGAGATGCTAACTAAATCGCCTGAGCAACTGCGCCTTCTCAGCTCAGTCAATCTTAGTCGGAGGCTTCATTGTCACAAGAATGATGCATTACAGAATGCAAATGTGGGAGCTACTCATGCTCCTTCATGCCTGCTAAAATCTAACGTACAGATTGCAGGCCCACAGATCTCAGCCCTGGTCAGATCTGCAGAACTCTGGATTAACTGTAGGACACAGAACGAGCCATGGATGAAATCTGTGGGTCTACAGTTCACACACCATATTTTTTGATGAGTCTGCTATGCAAAGAACAAATTGATCCCGCCTGTCTCATAATAGTTGTTGCAGCATGAGAAAGCTTTGAGACACATTAAGGGACAGTCTCCTCATTATTGCTTCTTGTATTTTAGGGCTTAGTCTTGACTTAGAGCATAGGTTTCAAAGATAAGGCTTGGGGAGTTCTCTGGGACTGAAAGTGACAGATGGATGCTTACCTGTAGGTATTGGTTGCAGGCACTCTCCAAACCTGTACACCTGGAAGACTGTCTATGCCGACCATTACACTGAGGTTGGCATTCCTATAGGCATCATTGCATTGGGTCTGGGTGGGCCCTTGAGGTCCACTGGCACCACAAGTGGTGAATAACCAATTATCTGAAAGAGAAACATGCACACATGTGCTGAGTAGCAAAGACAAAGACAGTAAGCAATTGGCTTACTGTTTTCTTTGGCTCACATTAAAGTCTGCCTAACCTAAAACATCACGATCATAATCTTCACAACATCATCTAATTCTAATTCAGTTCTCCAAGTCCTATCAGCTATGTGGCCAAAATAATAGCACCTGAGATCAGGGAATTCTGCACTGTGCAAGATTCTTTAGGAAGCAATACTAAAGTGGAGCTGGTGGTAGCAATGGGGACTCCCAACACCTTACAATGAAGACTAAACATGCCCAGGTTTCACAGAATATTGACTGTCGAAAGGAAGACACTGTAAACACAGCTGCAGAGAAATGGACTAGTGTGACTGGCATCCTAAACCAAAGCATTCCAGGTTGCAATATTTTGTGGCAGATCCCATTTGTGAAAATATCATAATATCTCACTCTCCCATTATGCTTGCCTAAACACACAGTTTACAGAGAACAACAAATTAGATACAATCTGAAGACACAGACAAAGGATTCTTCATAAGTAATTTCATCTGAAATAAAAGATGAATAATTGTTACAAAGAGTTTACTATCTTGAACATGTAGGTGCTGAAGAAACAATCACAGGCAAACTGAAACAATAATGACCAACAAAATTACTAGATTGCATTTCTTGAAAAAAATATAAGAATGTGTCACTGATAACTGATTTGTGAAATATTTCTCAAACATACAGAAAGAGGCACTACCCTGTAATAGAAATAACCATAATGAAATTAGGAGCATTCCTCAGTAGAAGTTTACAGCACGATCCTAGACTCCTACAAAGCATTGTGAGGCCATAAGACTCTTTGGATTCCTAGATCCAAGGATGGAAAAGGTACCACAATCCATTGGATCCTTGGAATGGGGGATTCTTGCTTGGATCCTTCTCCTCCACCTTGCAGCCAGCACAGAAAAAACTGCTTTCCCAGGGTCATAAGACTGAACTATGAGAAGGGGTAAAAGTGACATTCTGGGGGGGGGGGGGGGATGGGAAGAGAATGGGGGAACTGGGTTGCAACATGTCCTGCTAACTGGATAGCTGGACAACTAGTTGGCTTGCAAGGTGGGAGAAGAGGGTAGGTGAAGATCACATCTGTGCTCCTCCTGCCTAACACAGAATGCCTGATATCCCAACTCTGGATGTTTATGGGCATCCCCACTGGCTTGTACCCTTAGTCTACTAAAAGATGTTGCCTGTTCCAGGGACTGGTGTGAAGGCAGATGATCCTCAGCCCTTGCTGAAACTCAGCATGTCTGTGTCTGGTCAATGCCTTGATAGGACATCTTCTGGAGAACATGCATATCCTCTTCCACTTCCTCTTTGAAGGAAAAGCAAATGTATATAATATAAAAGCACATAAATGTAATACATATATACATATTTACAGGTTAGAAAGATGTTCCTGATATCAAGGCTTGGAGGTAGTTATCAATGTGTCTTCTTTGCAGGGCAAATCTTTTTGCTGTGAAGTCCTTAAGCAGAGGTGGATGAAACAATGGTATATTTTCCAAAACGATACCAAAAAGCTTTGGTATATTTTCCATTGAGTGCCTCCTGAATTTTGCTTTGAATAAGGTATTTCTACACAGTTCAATCCAACTAGCTCTCGGAACAGTGTACAGAATATGGAAGTGTCAGCCCAGCCACCAAAGGTATTTGAGAACAATGGGCTATTGGGGTGGTTGCAGTTTAGGGGGCTCTTGCAATGGGGTAGCTGAACCATGCATTGGCTGTCTATAAAGGCATAATGATATCCTAATGATATTTCAGTGGAGGAGCCCTCGGTGCTGTATAGCAGGGCATCATGCCCCACAAGAGCCCCTGGACAGACTATAGAAATGTTAAAGACCCTGGTAAATCCAGTCTGCTTTGGTGTGATCTTGCCACCAGCTAAACTGCAGGTTCAACAGCACCTGTCCCCTGAATTCACTCCTCTGTTCCACCAGGCAGTGAAATGAGATGCCATAGAAGCGGCCAATGGTGCCCTAGAACAGCTTCTGCTAAAGTAGGTGCTGGGACCCAAGGGGATGAGTAAGGATGGGCCAATCAGCACAACCCAAGCTTGCTTAAGTTCTCCAAATCCCCCCTCAAAATTCCTTCTGAATTTAGTCTGCATCAGAGACAGAGCTTTTTTTTAGGGGGGAGGTGCACACACGCAGAAATCTATGTGTCTTTTCATCCCTTTTCCCCTTAATGTATGCATCAACTGTGCTTATCTTCCAAATGTACAAATTCTTATCTCATTGGTTAATGTGAATTTCTGTACATTTGTTAACTGTTTTTCACTGCCCAGAGAGCATTGGCTATTGAGTGATACAGAAATAAAATAAATCACCACCATACTGCTTGCATGGCCATTTTTCAAATGTACACATGCTGATGAATATATTGTTGTGCTCTGTGAATCACATTGCAAACTCAGAAATGTAAAGGCTTCAATGGAGACTCAAATTTGGCTTTCTGGAAGTTCCCAGAAGGTGGCAGCCCCTTTTCCTATTCCTACCCCTTTCTCTAATGACTCATCATTTGGAGTTTTTCAGATTTTGTGCATTTCTCCCCCATCCATTCTAAAAAGCCGAAATCTACCTCCTAAGGCTCTGTTACTGGTGCTAAGAACTTTGTGCAGTGATGTAATGGCAAATTTTGAAGTTGGGGGGGTCTTTTCATGAAAGTCAAAGCTGCACCTCCAGGTAATGAATGGAAGATGTGCACATCTCTTTTTGAGGTGAAACAATGACAGCTTCTAGAAGCTATTTCTTATTATCCTATTTATTATGAATAAATGGTTTTTGTTACATTCATACCCCACTCTCCAGCCAAAGTGCTCCTACAATGGAATTAATAAGGCAGTTCCTTCCCACTGGCTTACTATCTAAAAACGTGGCATACAAGACAAAAGAGACAGGGAGGGCAGAGGAAAAAAGGAAACCCAGGCACTTATAGAAACATATATATTACATTCTCTGAAGAGCAGCAATCTGGATTGAACAGCACTCCTTGGTTTCTTAATATTTGTGGCCTCTGCAACAACTGACTCGTGTGTCAATATGTGTGGGGGATCCTCTGTGAGTCCAGCGTCCTAGTTTAGGGGTTCCAGTTTCTCAAAATATCAAAAATCTTGTATTGTGCTCTCATTGGATCCACAATGAATCATGGATGAAGTAGCACAACTGAAGTAAGAGGATATAACTGGATCAAAAAAAACCCATCCCTGTTCTTAACCCATTAAATTCAGGACTCTTGAAACAATGGCAGCTGCCAGCCATGGACCAGCAATTTCTTGAGAGGTGGTGGGGAGGAAGAGTGACCCTGGCTCCAGGGATCCACTGGCCCCAACCCCCCAGGGACCCCTCCAAAATGAGTAGGGGCACCCTTGACTTTATGAGAAAATATATTGCTGTTCTGCTTCTGCCCCTCTTCTTTTTGGCACATGGGTCCCAAGAACTTCCTTGGAATGGAAATTGGCGCTTAGGCTGACAGGGGTTCTGCACTTCTGCCATAAAGGATGTAATCCTGATCTGTAATATAAATAGGATTTTTGCATTAACTTTACTCAGTTGTCAAAAGCATTCATGAAGTTCTTATTTTTATAATGCCTTGCAGGAAGAAATGAGAAACCATATGGGAGAATCTACAGAATTTCAAATTAATGGAGTAAAGATTCCAAAATAGAATGTTACACTTCCCACATAAACCTTTCCTTACTCATCTTGATAGTTCTGAAAACAATTATCGCCCACGGAAATTTATACATCAACTTGATTGCTAATAAGAAAACGGAGGGCCATCCTGCCAACAGTTATGGTGCCTTAACACTGTGTTATCCCAACAGACTTGAGCCAGATGCAACAGAGCATGTGTTGAATAAAATGAATAGGAAAAACCTTATACCAGGAATAATAAGAAACAGTATTGATATCTCTGGTGAAAAATTAAACATACTTTTGCAGGTTGGAGCAGATGACCTTGAAAGAAATAAAAAACCCCCCCAAAACACACACATAACAAAAGAGAAGATTAAGCAAAGAAAAATGAAGGTGTAAAGAAAAGCCCCATACCAAGTTGAGAAATAATCACCCTTTAGCAGTTGTTTCATATACCAAGCATACCAGATTATTTCCTATAGCAAGAACCCATCCCTCATGTCAATTCTTTTTCTGAGACTCCTGAAAACTGTCACTGGACAAAAAGAAACAGAAAGTACATTTGTGTGCCCACAAAGGAGATAAAAGGTGCAGGGTGTCCTTGATAAGCATCAACAGCTGTATGTTCTTCAACTGAAGTTACCTGAGTTATTTGTTTTACCAGACTGGAAGGTGAAAATGACAAGGTAGCTGGAGCAACTAAGGCAGATCTTTGATCTCTTTGGATTATGGTCAAGAAACCACCATGACTACTGGCAGCAAAGTCTCTCTACAACCCCTCACCCCACTGAATGACAAGGAAGTGACTAAAACTATGCCATCACTGGAATTACTGTCAGGAGCTGGTGTCAGGATGTGGAGATGCAGTCTCTTCTTGCGCTGTTGCTCAGGTGCTACCTCCTGATCTAATCAGCAGCTGCTCCAGGACAGCAGGTTCTCAGCCCCTTTCACTAGCCATGGTGTAACAGCGTATTTGGCTTGCCCTTCTGGAGTTGCCTCTCAGAACACTGTAATTGGAGAAAGCAAACTCATTCTTAACTCCTTAACCCCAACAAGTCAGAAAGTACTCGGCATCTAACAAGTTAAAAATGTGCAGTTATGGGTACAGAGATGCTAAACTTGGTGGCAAGATCACGCAGCTACCTGTAAAGAGGCAGCAGCACTTAACAAAGGGGAAATAAAAGGGAAGAAAATAAAGTTCCAGGTAACAACACTTGTAAAAATACAGCAGAGTCCAAATGACAATAACTAAGCAAGGTATAACAAAGAATCCAATTCTGCGTTTACAGAGAAATTCACATAGTGATTCT